GACACCCGGGTAGAATTTGGTCTGAGCGCGCAGAGCACGCGGTAAAGGTGTGGTAGGACGAAAATTGCTCAGATGGGCGATCGAGTAAGGTCAAAGCTCTTTAGAATCCATGATCACCACCCGGGTATACATACTAGGCAGGTGCATCATATATCAGGCTTTTGGTTGTAGTTAGGTTCTCTAGTTTGGTGATCTGCTCGGCAGATGCAAATGCACCCAGTAGACTGGGTAAGGGGGGTGTGTATACGTGGTCAGGCACCACTTGAAAATCCCGAAATTGAGAACTGTGGCGTACATTGAGCAGGTACATTATTCTTGTAAGGCGTGGTTTGATTTGTGGGGGATCTTCACTGTCTGAGCTCGGTCCGCTGCTTATGTATGGTTTTGATACCAGGTATACCCGGGCAACCCACAGGCATCGCCCATGCTCATGAGGCTCGTGATAAGCATATTGGATATTGACCTTGACCCGGGTTAACGGCATTCGATGCGTTGGAGGAAATAGATGTTTACCTCTCTTTGGCTTGGTTTGTTGCCTTGTCTCGAGTCGAAGTCCCGATTTGGTATATCGAACACGTATGCGATATATATTCGCACTTGACTCCGCCAGATATCATTCGCCGCAACTAGATACAGATATACCTAGAACACGCGTACATCCAATGGCAAGTTGGGTTCTAGAAGGACTTTCATGCAAACGTCGAGCCCCTGCGAGCCTTACCAGCAACACGCACGTCAGAATCAACCGGGATATATTATGAAACACCACCCCGGGATACCAGGGAAAGACCATGGAGATATACAGTAGCGGGCGCAAATTCTCCGCAGCCCCGTCGAAAACAGGATCCAGATTTACTCTAACAGACCCGAGACCTTCTATTTGGTCGTGGCCTGCGACCAGACTATACCTGCTTCTTTGGGCTAATACTGTGTAACGAGCGACGAGGCGAGATGGATTAGGCGTCATGGTGAGATTAAGGCCTACTTATAGTCTGGTAATGACTGTTGACGTATACAGATATATATATCTTCGGCTTGATACAATGTGCAAAAGCACCACAAACCAAACCTATCTCAATGCTCGAACAATACCATACAATAACCCAGACATGCATTGTACGAAATCCGCACAACCCCATGAAACACAAGCCAAGGGATATAACAGAAAAACCCCGATCCACCCTGAAACATGACTGTGATACAAAAACCCATCTCACCCTCCACTCCACGCCAGGTAAGACGTAAGCCATGACCAAAAGTCAAAGGCGAAACGCACCACACCTACCGTAAAAGATCCTTTTCTAAAATAGCACGCAGTATAGCAAGTACTAGCCTAAACCATATCAAGCATCTATTCCCAGGAATAAAGGTTTACTTCCCGAAACCGTCCTGGACATAAGTACTCACTGCGACACCCAATCCGATGATATAAACACGTTACGCAGAACGACCGCGTGTTTGTACTCCCTTCTGTGAAATATGCGAGATCAGTTCCCGATCTTTATTACGGCGGACCGGAAATGGAAAAGTCGGTACTCAGTTGTATGGACACATATATGAAGACGAAGCCGAGTACCTCCGGAAGGATGTATATACATACCAAGGCTTAAGCAGCAAGCTTAATTAATTTCAATTCCAGGAGAACGAAATACGTAAAGCACTATGCCTACCTATACCAAATCTAACCCCCCGTTCTATACAAAACGCAAACAAAAACAAGGACATCTCTAATCCCCAAATCCCACAACTAGCACGTGTAACAGACCCCCAGCAATAGACAAGCATAAACACAAACACAAGGAATACACATAAAACAGCTCGCCTGTTTCTCCTTAATCCGTCAATTTGTCATTCCCGCCTAATATCCTGTACAACATATCTGCATCTGCACGTACGAGTACACGTGAGCAGCCAACCCCCTCCAACCCCCACCAGCCCAGCCCAGTCTGGCCATATTGTATACTGGGTTTGGGAGGTTACAGGGATAGGCGGATGGGCCAGTTTGCGATGAGTGGTATGGTATGGTACGGGTGAGAATTTGCATATAAATACAGAAGATGCAATATGCATTCGGCGGTAACTGTACATTGTACCTACATGTACATATAACATATATAAAGCATGGCTGATCCATATGTATCATGACGAAAGGATCACGAGGTATATACCGCAGGTACGGGGTGAGGAGTACTTCGTACATACTGTCAATCCGTCTGACCTGCATTCAAAGCTGTTGGATATGTGACCACTACCTGTTTACCACGTCTCCATATATTTCGCTATTAGATGCTACATGTGTACGGAGTACGCCGTAATACGTGCATGATGCAAGCCCGTCCCGAAGATATGTAAGTCCGGGACGGGACCGAGGGTTAGTTCTGAGGTTGCACGGGGTTTTGATCTAGGTTGGAGGTGGGCCGGGTGGGTTGGGAAGGGGGAGGGTCTGGGGGTTATGGGTGGTCTTGTGATGTTTTAATTTGGTACATTGGTATGGTAGTATGGGTTTGTTTGGGTTGAGCGGGACTACTGGATTGAGGTGCTCGATGTGGACATAAGATGGAGGGGCTGGTATCGGGGTTGATTTTGATTTAGACTGGGGGAGGGGTGTTTGGTGCCTGATTGGAATTGGACTTGGGTATGGAGTAGATATCATATGTATGGTGCTGGTGGTGTAGGTTGAAATTTGTATTCACTAGCGTTGTAGATCAACATGGATATGAAATGGTATACTGTATTAATATGTATACCAGAAGGAATTCCAATCACATTGGGTATCGAAGGTAGAATAAGTATTTACAGACGAGCAGATAGTGGACTAGCTCGATATTCATAAAGGTCACTAAAAGTGTTGCTCAAACCACAATCAAGAGATCACAGTCTGGTTTTTATCGGCGTCGCAAGCATGAGGGTGCTGCAAACAGTACTTGGGAACCAAAGCAGTAGCCATCACACCATTAGCAACCAGGTATTCACGGAAGTTCAGAATACGCTGAGTGAGGTTGTTGGTGCGCTTTCTGCCCGCAGCATCACGGTTACCAGACCAGACAAGCTCACCCAGAGCAGCAGCGCGAGGCCAGAATGCGCTGGAGATGGTCACATCGTCGACCTGCTCGGCCCACAAGGGAGCTTCAGCGCCAATAACGTGCTTCGCCTCAGTGGCAGTGAGGTTCGTGAGGAAATCGTAGTCGTAGATGCGCTGCCAGGTCTTGTAGGGGGCGCACCAGGAGCCGCCGTCACCACCGTAGTTGAAGTTCACACCTCCGGCTGTATTGGACTGTTCGTTGTAGCGGACATCGTTGGTGATAGCGCCACCGTGACCACAGTCGAGGTAAAGGAAATCGGAGGAGGAAACGACGACGTCGTAGCCGGCCTTGGCGAGCTTCTTGATGTTACCCGCGCCGCTGTTCCAGCTCTGCATGACGACGTCTTTAGGCACTTGATGGGCGCTCTCAGTCGCAATGACCATGTCTTCCCACATCATAAGACGGCGGTGATCACCGACACTACGGAAGATGGGCATGGACTGGTCAACCCAGTACTGAGCAAGGTCTCTGTAGGTGCGCGAGGAATCATCAGCAAACCATTTGGTGACATGGGTGCTGAAATTGTAGCAGTTGGTCTGAATCTCGTCGCCACCAACATGGAAGAAGTTGTCGCCGAAGATCTTGGACAATTCCTGGTAGACATTGTTGACAACTTCGTAGGTCTTGGGGTAGATGATATCTAGCTGGCCAGGGTTCGGCTCGAGCGCGGTGTGCTCCGAGAACTTCTCGTTCGACCACCAGGTGTTGGCACAGGCCACAATCTCTGGGTCAACCTGTTGCCAGCCCGAGGCAGAGTGGCCGGGCATATCGACTTCGGGGATGACGCGGACACCACGCGCGCGGGCGTAGGCTTGGACACGGCGCATGTCGTGTTCAGTGTATATTTCGCGCGGGGAGTAAGCATCTTTGGTCATCTCGGGGTAGGATTTCATCTGCATGGGCCAGGACTGAGCATCATCTAAGTGCCAGTGGAGAACGTTGAGCTTGGAGAGGGCCAGACCATCGATTTGCTCGAAGATCTTGGGAACTGTGATGAAGTTGCGACCGGTGTCCATCATGATACCACGGTGGGGGTACAAGGGGGCATCCTTGATCTTAACGGGCTGTTCAATGATCAAGCCGTCCTTGCCATCCGAGATAATAATCTGTTGTAGAGTGGTGAAGGCGTGCAATACACCCCAGACGGTCTGAGCATTGATCCGGATGCCACCATTGGCCACTACCAGTGTATAGGATTCATCCACACCGTGTTGGAGATCGGCATCTTTGTCCACCACATGGACATCGACGTTGTGGATTATCGCAGGTGTGCGCTTGGCGTTCGCGACAGGGGTCGAGGTGGGGAAGGCTGGGTAGGAGGCGATCGGGCTTTCAATAGCGGCAGGAACCCATCGCAGAGTGGTGATTGTTTCCCATGCTCGTTCCCAAGCTTTGGTGACCACTGAAGGGTGATGACCATTCAATCTCAAGTGGTTGACTTGGATTGGACCGGAGGAGCCCCAGGTGATGTTACGGGGGGCGGGAAGTGGATTCACCTGGACGGCGGAGACAACCGTCAAGGCACCAAGCACGCTCAAAACAGAGGCGAACTTCATGTTGATGAGTTGAATGAGGATAAGAAAGAGTAGAACTGAGGCCAGGAGATATCCAGGTCTATTTATGTTCCACTGCATTGCCGATCGTTCATCGTGGAATGGAGGATTGATGCAACCTGAGATCCGAGATAGAAAAACAAACAGCCCTTGTTACATCCTCTAATGTCGTCTAATCAAGTTCGAGATTAAAGGATATTAACAGGAAATTAAGAGCAAGTGCAACCTCTACATGCAACTTCAGTGATTTAGAGGGGGAGCTACGGACGTACGGGATCTACAAGATGGCACAGTCACACTGTAGTGTCGATCTATCAGAAATTCAAATATTTCCCAAGGTATCATTTAATCTACTTACAATCCACTAGACTGTCTCTAACGACTTTTCCAATTCCATCGCTTCCCGGAATTCTTCCTGGATGGCTGCCGCGGCCTGAGCAGAGGGCACTACACAGGGCCTTCGAGGAAGACCACCATACCCACGATAGGATTGAAGACCACTCTTAACAGCCACAAAGCCACCTTTGATGGCCGCCCAGTCGGCACGCGCAACAACAGCCTGCAGCTCTTGCGCCTCTTGAACCTTCCCAGCACGATACAGTTCCATCACCCGCACACACAAGCGTGGAATCATATTAGCCAGTCCACCGATAATCCCCGCCCCACCAACTATAAGCGTCTGTAGCGTGAAATCGGCCGAACCACCAAAAGTCAAGAAATCCGGGTTCGCCGCCGCAACACGAGCCAACTTACCCGTGTTACCGCACGTGAGCTTGCATCCGATGATATTGGGGTGCTCAGCCAGAGTCAAGATATCCTCGGAGCTGAGATCGAGACCGGACTGCACGCCGGGGAAGTTGTAGATGAGAAGGGGGACGGGCGAGGCATCGGCTACAGCACGGAAGTGGGCTTGCATGGACTCGGTGCTCACCAGAGTCTTGTAGTAGCTGGGTGGGAGCACGAGGACAGCGTCGGCACCTGCTGCACCGGCGTCCTGGCAGAGGTGGATGGTTTCACGGGTCGAAGCGGCACCGCACCCCGCAATCACGGGCATGCTGCTATACCCTGCTGCATCGACGGCGCGGCGTGTGGCGGCTGTGATGGCATTGCGCTCTTCGCGGTCTAGATGGACGGCTTCGCCATTGCTGCCCTGGGTTACTAGACCAGTTACCCCGCTGTGGGCAAGATAGGTGGCGTGTTTCTCGACAGTTGCAATATCGACCTCTTCGTCGGGTTTGAAGAATGCTACGGTGGGGACGTAGACACCGTGGGGGAGAGGATTCAATTTTCTAGTCATTTTGAGATGGGAGATCTATTAATCGGTTAGTATTTTTTTTCTTCCATTCATTCCCAAGTCTCATCTTTTGCATACCCAATATCTTGATTAATGAAGGGGGAATGATGGGGAATGGTGGACTCCCAGCTATTTAGCCCAACCCTCCCCCACGTTCAAACTTGGCGAACATGCGCGTGGGAGGCAGTTTGATGCCTTTTGATCTCATTTGAACATTCTCCCCCACGCTTTTGCGGGGTTAAGGCGTATGCATTATATTCACGATACATCGCATGTTGGTGTATATATTGTCGGTCTACGGGTTTTGTATATCATGGACTATCCTGCTTGGGGGACATAAAATCGAGATCTTGCGTTGGCCCTTAGGTGTGGATATACTGAGCCTAACAGATATATGTCTACTACCGTCATATTCCCAAACTGCTACCCTTCTCAAGTTCATATTGGGAGTCATTGAATTGCCGACCTGCATTGAATTGCCGTCCCCCACACTGGCCGTGGGGGTAAGTCGTTTTCCGAGGTTGACGAGATATTCCCATTCTCTCGAAGTGATATTAATCTACAGAGAATCATTTTTCATCGATCGAGATTGAAATCCGTAGATTCAAAGAGCAAAGGGCTAGCCTTGCATGTTGTAGCTCGTTGCCTAGATGTCTCTCAAGCTGAATCAATATTAAATGTGAATAGAACAATAGAACAATAAAACAATAAAACAATAAAACACAAAGCATGGTGAATCTGTGAATAGAATCATCAAGTCGTCAAGTCAAAGGCAATCAAATCCTGGTGATATACAAACTTCAACCTCAACCTCCGCCAAGAACTTCTCTGCCCATATTTCATCCCCAAATCCCTGTAAAGGGAGAGTTTTCCCCCAAATCCACCACCTTACAATGACCGCCTAGTCACCGTCAACCAATCTATTAATGGCCCTCCTGTCGCGGTCATCACTCCGCGGCTCTGTGCGACGGGCGCCTGAAGAACCTGCCGACGGTCTGGCACCGCCGAAGAAACCACGCATCCAAGATGGCGACCGCCGCAAAAGCTCCCCTGATTGTCTTGATACCTCTAAAGAACCTACAAAATCCCGTCACTTGAAATCCTCGCGCCCGCGCTCCAATCGCACTCGTCGCGACTCCTCTTCATCAGTTGACACAGTCGCCTCCAACCAATTGGCGACACCGGCCACACGTACAAATGGCAATGGTCTCTTCAAGACCCCACGCGCCCGTCGTGACCAAGGTACCCCTTCTGCTACGGACTTGCTGCGCAACGTCAATGAGTCACCAGACCCATTGGACACAATCTCTCCAGCGCCCTCGGTCGCAAAGCAGCGCACCGCTACCCCCGCGAATGTGGACTCGAATCCCAGACCACCCAGTTCGCCTGTGACCCGCACAACTCGTCGCAATGATTATCGATCGCTGGACGACGGCGACGAGAACGCGATCAAGGAAGAGGGGAAGGGTGCGACTCCGGCAGATATCAAGGGCGAGGCGCCCGACGAACACCCTGCGGTAGACACACGGTCGGGGAGACGGTCGTTGCGCTCGACCGATACCGGATCACGATGCAAGAGCGAGCTCGCGCAGTATTTCCACAACTATGAACAGATTATCAGCTTGGAAGATCCAGAACCTGGTAGGTTACTTGACCCCACAAGTGCACTGGGCGCACGACTGACGTTGGATACTGTACAGAATTCCTCGCCGCCAAAACAACCATCACTCTCGTGGACGACCTACCACGACCACTACCTTTCTCCTCCAAACCCGACCCTACACCCTTCGGCAACCCCCTCCTTAAGCTCTACGACTGCGAAAAGATCACCCTCCCCAAACCCGCATTAAACACACCCGCAATCGACCCACTAGGCGAAGAGACATATTTCCGCGCCCACCGCAAGTTCGAACGACAGGAGAAACAACTCCGTAATATTGAGCGTAACCGCGCCCAACACGAACAACAAGTCCTCGAGCGTCTCCTGGACGAGCTACGCGGCCATGACTGGCTACGCGTGATGGGCCTGACAGGAGTCCACGAAAACGACAAGAAGCTCTACGAGCCGAAGCGCGATATCCTGATCCAAGAGCTAGTCACTCTGGTCAACAAGTTCCAAGCATGGAAAGACGAGGAGCGTCGACGCAAACTGGAGAAGGAAAAAGCACAACCCGTGCCGGGCACCGAGACAGCAGCTAACGTTCCGGCCCGACAGCACCCGCGCAAAAGATCCCGTCCCGCCGAAGACGTGGATAGCTCTCCAGCACCGGGGACTGAGTTACATAGCACGCCAGATGCAGACCCAGACCCAGATCCAAGCGACGTCGATGCTTTAGCTGCACGTCAGCTCCATCAGGAAGCTCAATCAGCAGGCGCTGTTAAGCTGCGCAAGACAGCACCTGCTCGCAAATCTATCCCCAAACCTACTCCTAACACCAACACTACAACTACAAATACCAACACAAACACAACCACAAACGACCCCGAACCAAAACACACCCCCAAACGCAAAAAGCCCAACCTAACACCCACCAAACCTCACCCACAACCCCCAGCCTCAGCTCCATCCCAAACCCCAACCAAAAAACCAACCCAACGACCCCTCCAACAAGCCTCCCTTGCCCACTTCTGGAATCCAGCCCCGAGGGAAGGCCCCTTTACATCCTTCTTCCGCCAACGACACGTGCGTGAAGCCGCCATCGCCGCAACAAAAGGTATCCGCCGCGGCGGATCCCGCTCAACCCTCGCATTCGGCTATCCAGTCCCGGACCAGTCAGAGCAGGAATTCGAGCTCCCGCCAGACATCCTGAATGAGGAATCTATCATGCAGTCACAGCGGAAGAGGAGAAGACTCAAGCGGGGGAGTTTGGGGTAAGATGGATATGTGATGGGGGTTCTTCATGGTGCATTGCTCTACAATTGATGCATTCATTGCAGGTGCATGACACATGGTGCATGGTGCATGGTACATGGTTTCTTTTCTTTTTTGTATAGTATTATCTTCTAGCATGGTGTTTCTGCGTTTTGCGTTTTTGCTTTTTTATGTTTCCTCGGCAAGTCTGTTGGTGTTGGTGTCGGTGGGATTTCGTTCCGGTTGAGGCTTTCGGCCCTCCCGGTCTTATGTAAAATACATTACTAGGTCTATGGTTAATCCTATTGAATCCACGATATTTTTATCTGATGGTATGACTAGGTTCAGTGCATATGTTTATATAGAGGTTGGTGTTGTATGCATAGGGTGAGATCATTACCGCTGTTGGTCGAGGAATGCATGACCTTGCATATGACTATTGTGAGATGGTGTAATTATGTACATAGCCGCCGAGATGATCTTTTATTACTAGTTTGGTGATAGAGGTGCATTTTCAATGCATGTCAGGTCTGCATGTATTGCTTTGGTTTTGGTATCGCAAGGTACGAACTTGTGTGTGTTGGTTTATGGGTTCGTGTCATCTCCATATCGGGTCTGGCATTGCGGTATTTCTGTTTTAGGATTAGGTCTGTCGATGTTCCTGTTAGTGGCTGGGACCATCGAAATGAGAGGGTGTGTGTGTCTGTATTACCACCGATATCTTGCTCCGGGCTCTCCGGTGAAGTAGTATACCTAGCCGATGATGTTATCGAGTAAGGAAGCCTGATGGTTCCAAGCAGAATGAATAAACGTTTCCGTGAATTACAGACCAAGGTGAACCTATAGTAGCTAGTAAAAGGCGTGTGCTGGACAACATCTTCTATCAAGTTCCTTGAGGTACATAGTTTACCTAGATAGGAAATTATTTGACCTTCTTGATAAGTCTCCTTGTGAAGCATTGAAAGATGTGACATTGATTGATGGATCTCCTCATTTCGACGGGATACACACGGATCACATATGCGTAGTAGTTATTAAACTCGAAGTGGGAAAGCATAGCCTCCGCTGTGCTGGCCTCACGGCACGTATATCGGTGGTGTATCAACTTCTTTGTTCTCATACATTCGTACGCAATGGAATTCGGAGATATACCTCAGCTGACTCCTTGTATAGCGAGGAGGAGCATAAGATAAGAAGAGAGAGGAGAGTCAGGATTTGCAGCTTCTGACAAAGATGTACCAATCCTCCTGGACTAGTACAATGAACAATCCGCTCCGAAGAGTGTCCATAGTCAAGTCACTTCGAAGGAACTCTAGGAATCCAGCCTCCCTTGTTCAAGTGCCAAGGTGGTAGTCTGTGCGATTGCTTTTGCCGTGCACCCATATGAATAGGATGCGTAGCGTTGTCGGTTGGGCGAACCTTTTCGGGACCCAGGCTATCATGGGGTTCCTGCGGTCGATGATGTCTCTTTCATCTGGCAGCGCCGCCAACTGTTAGTTGTGGCTGACGGAACTTGACCTTCATAAGTCTCGAAATGTAGCCAGAACTGCCCTGGTGTGTGGTGAGTTCGACCCCTGGTCACACCTCAACACACGGAGCATGCTAATCGAAACCGCGTTTTCGCGGAATGCGAAACTCAGAGTCAGCTTTCGAGGGTTGTGATGCGCCCTATTTGCGATATGCCGAAGGTCAATACACACTCCCCTAGGGCCATGGGGCTCTGACTCCGATCTATTGCATCCTGGTGCATACTTTTTCTTTCTCTTGCAATTGGAGTTGCTCGGTTGGCTGCCAAAGTTGTAGCTCAGACGCTAACACATATGTGAACAACGTGCTCGGCGTGGATTTTGCAAGCTTTGATCGACCCCAGACTGTGAACTGGGCTTGTATCCTTGCGGGAGGAACGTCGGCGGTGTTGAGAGGGGCTCGAGTTATCTGCAATGGCTGTTGTAGCGTCGACGCTCTTGTAGGAAGAAAGTGAATATACTTGTTGCGGTTGAGAGAGCTGTAAAGAAAGTGCGGATGCATACGATAGGCAGCTCTTGAAAGAGAACTTGGACGAGTACTGCCCATCCTGAGATTTCCTCTATTTTGGATTGCATTGTCTTTTCCTTCATCTTGTAATGCCTAGGGCCTTGCGTCACGGAAACCAAGGTATCTCAAGGTTCCACGACATAGCTCTGTTGCAGCTGAGTTCGAGCGAGCGAAGGTCCAGTTATTTAAAGCAGTGGTTCCGAACCGATGGTTAACGGTAACCGGGACCTTCTCACTTCGTTTGAAATGGTACACCCGCGGATGAATCAGTGTTTCAGCCTCATATGCATTTGTAATTCTCACTTGGAAATTCGCAGGCACTTTTTCGATGCCGTGTTCATCTATGAGTGGTGTTAGATATTCAAGGAAGTCATGAATCGACGCGTGTATACGCCGAGCAGCATAAAATTGGAGGGAAACCGTCCTAGATTATGTCTTTGCAACGTCTGTCGCTTTCCCTTCAATGAGCATGTACTCGGACGAAGCTACCGGAAGGGTGTTTGATTCTTCGTCCGGGCGATTCCTGGGTGGGTGTAGCTCGCGTATGATTATGCAGGACTCATTGACGAAGGATTCAGCATCCAGAATGGCATTCAAGCCGAACAAACTATCCCTATCTTTCGTGGCGGTGGGGGTTGTAAGTGAACGTTCAATGTGCGCTTTTCGCAGCCCATATTGAGGATTACCTCACAAGCAATTAGAACCATCGGCAAGCCGTAGCTTCAGTTGAGGTAAACTGAGTATAGCATTGGGGTCTCACGAGAGTGAGAGGAAATTGTCTTCTTTCTGGTTGGAAGTGAAGGGCAGTCAAGGCTGTTTTACCACGCCACTCCCAGATAATGCGAGGATGGATTTTCTTGGTGTCGCTAATTTTTCAGGTCCCAGGATGTCGCTCTGGGGTTTGTGGTATTTCCCCCGTGACCCGAAGGGCTCTTGAATGAGGTTGATTGAGTTCCTTAGCCCCATATGCTTCGCACTAGGGGACGGAATTACAGTCATGACCGCTGGTAGAAGCCTATGGTGGCTATACAATGCAATTTTGCTTTACGGTCAGCTCTATCAATTGATGCCATATGGCGAAAAGCTATCTGACTAACCTGACTAGACGTAAAAAGATGCGGCGACTAGGTCAGACTTTCCTTGCTGCTCACCATGTTTGATAGTGAGCCCTCGTCGCGTTGGATATGTTTTCGAGAGTAGCTTGTAGAGCAGACGCAGCCGCCTTCTTGGATTCACTCGGACTGAGATATTAGGAGGTGACCTTGGTGGGGAGGAGCAAGGCAAGAATTCTAGATGAAGGATATATCGTATTTTTGGGTGTCCAATGAGTGGTGCAGGGCGGAATTAAAAGCAATGTGAGGGGGTTGGGCAAGAAATGTGAGAGGTCGCTAAGATTCGGGTTGTTAGCAATGATAAAACCGAAAGATATGAGTCCTGGGAGAGTAAGTGAGGGATGGGGAAAGTAAGATACAAGGATGTCTGAGAGACAGATTTCAAGGTGATTTTGGTAAGGATACATACTGTTGGGCGTGAGCTTTGACTAGTGCAGGGTCCTGTGTGAATCTCTCAAGGCCATGTTAGACATGGCCCCCCGAGAAATCTATGTCAGGTCGTCGGATAATCCCCTATTTGCCATTCTCGTTTTGATTTCCATTGGACTGTAGGAGTAGGCAGGACACCTGCCCAGAGAGTGAGGCGTCAAGGTAAGAAAGTAGGCCTAAGATGATGATTTTATAGGGAAGCTAAGAGCAACCAGAGTAATAGGTACCTAGGTAGGCATCAAACAGCCAAATGAGGTAAGCAATCGAGCCTCAGGATAACGCCTTGCCTCTCCTAGATACTTCTCATTCTCCCTCTCACTCTTTTCCAATGCACTTTCTCCATCACCTTCTCTACAGAAGGTGTGGCCACGAAGGTCGCTATTTCAAAGACCCTACACTGATGTGGACATGGGGATAGACAAGGGGGATGAGAGTGAATCGAAGAAGTCCAAGGGTCAAACGCGAGAAATACGAATGAAATCCGATGGACGATTGCAGGAGACTAATGTTAGGAGACAGAATGAAGGTGAAGTCCCAGCCTTAGGCATCTAAGATGTTGTCTGTTGACATGTCTTTGTTTATTTCTGTAAACTGAGATTCATATTCTTGCATACCTAGTCTCATTTCCCTCCTTTTCTCATAACCTTTCATCCGCCTATCTCTCTCCACTCTCATTTTCTTCTACTTGCGCCCAATTCCGTCATAAAGACAGAGCAAAAGATGAGAAGACCCCGAGGAGCGGACGAGTTTTGAGAATCCGAAAACCAAGCAGATGCTCGATAGCGTCCTTACTTCCATATTCGACCTACTTCAGGCTAAGAAGATGCCTACTCATTTGCGCATCCAATCATTGAAGCACGCCAGCCTTGTGACCAGCAGTCTGTCGCGGGCATGTGGTGCACTTTATAGCGAACCTACTGAAGGTATATGATTGCCTGCCGCTCCCTCCTAGCGAGATCGAAATGGCTGTTCTGGGGCGTGCGAGCGGCACAGGTCTTCCGAATCAGGACTTATACTTATCTCAGGACGTTGTCGTTCGTCGGCACGCCGTAACCCAATGTCCAAATTTCCTCAAGGCATCCCACCCGGTCTTTAAGTGTATACTGGTCGACATGCAAATTGCAGTTGAGTATGACAAATTTCTAGGCATCTTCAATGACGTCCTCACAAACATCGATTACACCACCGAGTGCCCTTTGACAGACGGCACTCAGAAGGATGATGGGATGTCTCGGTCCGTGTTCAGCCGATTGCAACCTCCAAGGAAGAGCCTCTGCCTAGCGCCGCGACAGTATTCACCGATAGAATGCCACCCGTTGACAAAATGGTCGGCCCACAATGCTTCAAGGAGGGCTGGCTGGGCCTGAGCTGTTGCCTCTTTCCGATATGACTCCAAAGAAAGAAAGCAACCGGGCCAGAACTCTCTCAACTGTGAGGGGCTCGACCTCATACTTAGCCGAGATGGACTACAAATACTGCCAATGCGTTTTCGGGAAGTCCCAGTGCGCACTGTGATGTCCGAAAGAACCCCGTACACATGAAAGTCGCATAGTGTATCCATTGCTTTCCAGTCACAGTCCGACATTGGGACCAAATGGCAGGGAAACAGCCATCACAAATGAGCTTTGCCCGGAATGCCGTTATATCGAAGCTTTTGTTTCCAGGATGGGGAGAAATACGAGTTGGTGAGTGCCGTTATTCTTTCGATACCGCTTCGGTTGCGTCCTTTGCTCATTCTAGATCAGTTCTACGAGGTAGGAGTCAATCCATGATCTTGGGGCTGAGTTCCATGCAGTACTAGAGCGGGTTGCGGACTTAAATAGCGCGAATGGTCATGCGGTTACACTACTGCAGCTCTCCTTTACTAGAATGAGATTGTTAGTAAGGGTGCATGAGAATTTAATCCCGGACCTGATATATGTCATCGATCACCGCAGGCTGGGAGAATCGGATGGCAAGGGTTTGGTAAGGTGCGAGTGATGAACAAGAACGCCCTATGGGTACTCCGCTAATTGCCAAACGCATCCAGAGCTACCGTACTATTTTCGAATTGAATATGAAACAGCCAACCGCCTGACGATCGCTTATCCGATGATGTTGACCTCCTGGTCATTGGTGATGGAATGATCGCTGCTCATCACCGCCGTGCGCAATGGCCAGCCGACTTCAATTCAGACGGAGATATTTACCCGCACAAATTGCCGACGGGCAAGCCTATGGATCATATGGACGGTGGGAAAGGAAAGCTGATCATAGAAGGTCGTTGCTTTTGCTATCATAAGCAGCCCCCGACGAGGCATAGCCCACGTACGAAGAGACAGACCTGGAGAATTGACATGCAAATCAACGAAACTATGCGATGAATGGCAATCAACATCTGGTGTGCTCAAGAGTCGAGATAGGAGTCTATCATGCGGGTTTCCTATTTGACATTTCAACCCCAGGACCTCGCTTCGTTTGACACTTTGCAACTCTTCGCAATTGTATGCGAGTAATTGATGACACACATCAGACACATGCCACTGTCACTCAAAATCTCCCTGCAGACAAGAAATCATTTCACTGATTCTCTATACCTGGAAATGGAACTCGAATCTTCAAGTCCATCATAGCGCGCGCTCAACTATCATCGCAAGGACTGGCGATGGAACCAGGTGAACTTGTTACAAACCATCCCACACCCACACCATGGCAAAAAGAGTGCATTTTTACAACCTTCTTTGATTGACGGAAAATCGTGTCCTTGAGACCAGCCTTTTGTTATAGAATGGGGTTATACTTGACGGAAAGGGGAAAGAGGGTTCGAGTTTCATAGACCGGAACCACTTGCAAGTCCTATAATTATATCCAATAAAAAAAGACAAGAATAGTTAACCCATAAATGTAACTAGTATATCAAATCATACAAATAAAAAGAAACCGGAGCTAGGGACCCATCTCCGACCTCATCTACGCCTCCGATTTGGGGCCAAAAATGTGAGCACGACATCCTACAGGACCATGATAGGCTAGACAGGCGCGAGACAATTAAGCTTATCAGATAGAGTTCCCCCCTAAATCTGCACGCGGGCCGAGATCTTTGCCTCTGATCTTTTGGGCATCAGAATTTTCATCATTTCAGACTTCACCCCCTGTAAAGCGTCTAGGTTCCAACTTCTATAGAGGAGGCCGGCATCGGAGCGAAGTTTTCCTCTTCTCCAGTTTGGACGGGCAGATTTGTGCATTTGGCTCCAGTGAACCAAGTCCTTTTGGGCCTTTCCATTACGTCGCGACGAGATGATTCGTCGTTTCGGTCCGCAGGTCGGCGATCCACATCCGTTTCGGGTGGCGGATTCTCTATTCTTCAATTTACTGACTTGGTGGATGCACTTTTTTGTTGAATTCAATTTTTTAATACTATTTTCCTTTCGTCAAGATCACTATCTCTCTTCCGATCTGTGTGTCAATCGATTTACTGTTGTTTTTGGTTGTTTTGCTACGTTTCCGACCTGATATCTACTTCCCGAGTATCCGCCATTGGTTTTGATATCCTCACTATGAGCTCCTCACCTCCTGGTTTGGACTTCGTTTCGAATGAGAAGAACACCTATATCGACTCCGCCGATCTGCGGTCCGATCTGGAGAAGTCGATCGACGTTCCGACTACTAGACAAGATGCCTTTGGCGATGAGGAGTTCGCGGAGGTGAAGTACAAAGTACTCAAGTGGTGGTATGTTTGCATAGCTTGAAAAGTGCAATTGCTCTGTGACTAACTTGTATCTTGTCTAGGCAATGTGGTCTGCGTACGTGATAAGATGTTATATCAAAACCAACCTCCAATCTAACATTCTACTAGTCATGGTCGCCGAAACAGTATCACTGGGTGTGCTGTCACTGCCCGCCGCTGTAGCAGGTCTGGGACTGGTTCCGTAAGCTTACCTTCTGGCTCAAATTGCAGGAATTGGAACTAATGATATCAGCGCCATCCTCGTCTTGGTCTTCCTAGGTTCACTGGCCACATACACCGGCTATGTTATCGGACAGATGAAATGGAAGTACCCGCACATTTCCACAATGGCAGATGCCGGTGAAGTGATTGCAGGAAAATGGGGACGAGAATTCCTCGGTGCTGCACAGATCGTCTTTTTCATCTTCATCATGGCTAGTCACCTATTAACCTTCACCGTTGCCATGAACACCATCACAAACCACGGCACATGCTCCATCGTCTTCGGCATCGTCGGCATGGTCATCTCCTTCATCTGCTCATTACCTCGCACTCTGGAAAAAATGTCATGGCTATCCATAGTTTGTAAGTTTCCATTCCTATCCCCGAGAACAACCACCCACTAACAACTCCCAGCATTCTTCAGCATCATGACCTCAGTTATAATAGTCATGATCGCCGTCGGCATCACAAAACCAGGAACAGGCGTCGTCGCAGTCGTCCAAACAGACCTCTTCCACGGCTTCACGGCAGTCTGCAACATCGTCTTCGCCTTCTGCGGTCACGCCGCCTTCTTCGGCTTAATGGCTGAACTCAAGAACCCAAAAGACTTCACAAAATCCCTCTGTCTCCTGCAAGGCATCGACATGGGCCTGTACATCACCGCCGCGCTGGTGATCTACCGCTACGCCGGCAGCGATGTGACATCTCCAGCGCTAGGCTCCGCTTCACCGATGGTCGCAAAAATCGCATACGGAATCTCCCTACCGACTATCATCATCGCCGGTGTGATCAACGGCCACGTTGCGTTCAAGTATGTCTACCTGCGTATTTTCCAGGGTACGGATAGAATGCACAAGCGCGATTGGATTGCCACGGGATCGTGGATCGGTATTGCCCTCTCCTTGTGGGTCTTGGCGTGGATCATTTCCGCCGCGATTCCGGTGTTCAGTAACCTGCTCAGCTTGATCACCGCACTTTTCGCGAGTTGGTTTACCTACGGCTTCAGTGGGATCTTTTGGCTGTTTATGAATAAGGGCAAATGGTTCTCGTCGCCGAGGAAGATTGCTCTCACTCTTTTGAATCTCATGGTTATCTCTATTGGTGCTGCGCTGTGCGGTCTTGGTCTTTGGGTCTCTGGAAAGGCTCTCCATGATAACCCCAGCAGTGCGAGCTTTTCTTGTGCCAATAATGCTTAGTGGCATATGCCTTTTTGTGTTTCTGTTGCTGGGTCAACCTGGCTTTATAAAAGTGGATGCGGGAAGGGTTCTGGCGTTTTGATTTCACATTTGGTAGCATTTTGATACCTTGGATACCTTGTTCGGACTCCTGTCGCTGCTTGAGTTCGTTTTATTGTATAATTTCTGCATTCGCATATACACACTACAGCGCGGTTTAGAAATAGACGTGTACTAATATAATCATTTGCTGAAAGATTAATTGCTCGCCCTTGCTTTAGATCATAGAAGTAATAACTAGTTTCAGGTGTCCTACCTGCAGTCTCTCTGGTAGGTGATGAGGTTGTGATCGCGCAGCCAATGGAGCAGACCCAGGTTGCTGATGTTCTGGTTTCGAGTCAATATCCTTGCGAATGTGCAGTTTGTGTGTGGAGTCTCTTGGGAGCATAGCGATGCGTTCAAGGCTGAGAGCAGAGGTCAGGATTGCGCAGATAAAAATGGTGATTCGCATTCGCTAGGTGCGGCCAAAGCCTGTCAACGTCTGTTGTTGAGCGGTGCCAGGCGAAGGTTGCTGAAGATAAATTATGGACTGAGGCCATGACTGCGAGCTCACTTTCAAAAGGGCATGGCGCTCAGGGTCGTATATGCCCATTTGATACCTCACTGCCTGAATTTGGCAAGGATATTGACCACGCCTTTTGCAGCTCTCTGTTGTAAATAAATCTTCTTCGGCACAGAATCAACCTGGCAAACCCACAAAGTGAGGCTTCATATATGGATAAAAATTTAGAAAAATCACATTTTGAGGTGGTCATCACTATGTATTAACTCTGCTTTCACGCTATACGCTATCAGATTTCCTAGTTCCATTTCCTATACTACAGCCTACAATTTCTGGGAATTCTCTCACTCTTCTCTCACAATTGTTTCTTGATAAAAGTATACATCTTCCATACTGCAGCCCATAACAGCACTAGACTAACTAGACGCAGGTATCTCTGTTGCAGAATCCGACTTCAATCTTCAGGCTAGATTAAAATGAGTATATGCAACCCTGAGCGCCATGCCACTTCGTACACGCTTGACCAAGAATGACACATGGTGGAATTAGCACCAAAGATGGTAGCTCAGTCAGGATTTTCTTTCAATCAAGTCAACCTTGATAGTTGGACATCAAATGTTATGCTCACTGCTTCAAAACACCGTAGGCACGTACGATCAAGCCTGCTGGTATTCTTGGCGCTAGCTGATCTAATATGGATTTTCAATAGCTATGAAGGAGATAATTTGTGAAGCCGGATAGTTGGAATTTGCATGTCACACATTTAACAATATTAACAAATCTACCCTTGGCGACCTGTTGTAGCGGTGATCAACTGGCGAGGGCGTTCTTCCGGGTTCAACTTGGTACCGTAATTACAGTAATATTACCCGCAAGATCGCGTCTTCCCGCGACTTCAATGTTCCATCTTTCTTCAACCACACTGGGCCAGCATGCAAGTCCCAAATGTAACTCTGGTGAGTTTCTCTATTATCCATGGTCGATCTACCTACTGATATCTTCCTTTCATCTAGGATGACCTCCATGCCTTCCAATCCAACCACTTCCCTAGCCAACAGCTGGTTGCATTTCCCCTAGAACATGACCAGACAGAAGATGATCTCGGATACTATCCAGACGGAGTGAAACGTACTCTCACAGATGAGCAGATTCGAATCTTCAGACACAGTGAGATCCATGCCTTACTGCGGGAGAGGCAGCTCAAGAATGATGAGGCGCAATATCAAGCTCGCATGCAGACATCTCAAGATGATGAACCAGAGGGTAAAGCAGACTCTGTACCAGAGAAGCGAGCTCTAGATGTCGAGTCCCAGACAAAGGGTGGCGATCGGAAGCGGTCACGGTCTCGAAAGGGCTCTAAGAAAAACACCGCAGAGGAAAAGACTCCTAAGCTGGATTACGGCGACGAATCTGATCAAACACAAATGGCAAGACCACCGGTGCCACAGATGCCTTACCAAGGTCGCAGAATTATCTCCTATGATGACTGATCTCTATCTGGTATGAATGATGTTCAACTTATCTCCCACCTCCAAATTCCACTCAGTGGCTGGTCAGAAGCCTCTATCTTTGGCCTGATGGACAATACCAAAGCGGTAAGTCTTCCACATTCTATTCCACTGTACCCATGCCCGTTCATGATGAACAACTTCATCCTTAGCCGGAAAGCCATGCCATCTGCGGATGTGTGAGGCATTGACGACCTTAATCTTCTCTCTGAGGGCTTCTTCAAAACTCCCCATCACTTGCACACGTGTTTAGTTGTGATACTAACAGCTTTACAGTTTCGCTACTTTAACTCAGGTTCTGTTGGCAAAAGCGTGTCACTATTTGCATCCGTGCAAAGGAGCAGGCGCCGCTCCTACAATGACGCGTTGAGCAGTACCTTCGTATTGCTGGACGTCTCAAAGGACAAAATAATGAGAGGGCCCTCAGAGCAATGAGGTCGTTTTATGAAAGCGAGACGATCTAGCGATCAAATCCGCTCGTTGAGTGGTGCTACGCTCCGTGTTTTTCTTGCTCTCGGGTTTCCGGGCCATGACGTTGGATAATTATCCCCACGTGTCGCGTCACACTCAGTCGAGGGCCGTTTACAGCAACGTCGAGTGCAATCAATAGTTGAGCTTAAGAACGCATGACGCAAATGCCCGACATCCACCATCCAATCATCCGAAGAAAGCTATGCAAAGCATAATCCTCGAACGTTTTGAGGACGATGATTGCACTGACGCAGCTTTCGAAAGGGGCATTTGTTGTCCTCTGAATGTAAAACTAGTCGACCGCCAACGGATCTGACGAGCATTAAAAGGAATTACCCTTACACGGAATCCCTTGAGAAGCGGCAGCTGACTGATGTTACGGTCACTCATAATCTTCCAAATGGATTTTGTTAAAAAAAAATAAAAAATAAAAAAAATTTGAACCTGGAGAGTATCTTCGGAACAGAGAAAGAAAAACTTGAATGATCATTTATGTAATGTTTTATTGGTATATTTTAGAAATCGAATGGTAGATAGTACATCCCTAAAAGATCACCTGCAGTTCCCCCGTATTGAAATGACCTCGACTTTTCTTCGCTTTTGTGGTTGATGAATTGGCCATCCTGACTAGAAGAGACAACGTCCAATACACTGGTCAATCTATCCTATAAGCTTTTTCCTAATGGTATACTGCCAACAATATTTCCAATCTTTGCTTTGACACTGTCAAATTCAACCTGGATTTCCCGCAAGGCTCGCAAATCTATCCCGGCGACCCTTTCACGTTCTTTCGGGCTAGGTTCTGACAGGCTCCAGGCAAGTGAGATATGGAAGCACCCGGAGAAATCCTCGCCGCTCGGACTACTAATCCTGTTTTGGGTGGATGCACTAGTCTGCTGCTGTCGACTCGGGGAGGTCGCATAAAGGGGTGGCTGACCAAAGCGAGCGAGTGTCTCATTTGATAACTTCAAGAGGCGGTTCAAACCGTCATGGCTCGGTCTCTGCACGCCCAAGACGAGAAACCAGCGTGTCTTTTCATAATTAGATGACCAATATAGAGAATTCGGCTGGACATTAAATCTAGTATGACGGTTAGATAGCGGATGAGATATTTGTAAGTGTGTCACATACGATAGAACATGCGAGTCATGAATAGCCTTCTGCAACGCCTCAGTAAACGAGGCACGCTGCTCGGTGCGAAGAACCACCGGCCGCGACAGGCTGATATGAAGTGGTAGCTGGGCACCGAGATCACTATGAAGAAGACTGTGTATTACAGGCGCTTTTTCATCCGGCAAATCTCCAGACTGAGAGATAACACCTCCAAGAAGCGACAGCTCCTCTTTCCCCGGATACCCTGTCAAAGAGTTAGCACCTTGCACGAGCTGCACACCACCAGCGTCCGATACTCACATTCTAGGTAAAGATGTGTTGGCCAATTTCCTTCAACATGAGGAATTACGCGTGTTCGACCGCCATGAAGACTGGGATTATCTTGCACGCTCACACGTGTGCTCGAGGCATATAGGTTGTGGAATGCTGCAGGTAAGGGCGGCAGCGATGGCCCTGGATTAAGGTCGTGGCGAGATTTCTTGACTGGGCGGAGAGGAGATCTAGACTCTGAGTCGGATTCCGAATCAGAGTATTGTACTAGGGTCATCTTTGATGTGACAGGGGAGTTGTTGTTCTGATGGAGGTCTGGATTTCTCAGATGTGGGGAAAGCTAAGGTCGGGAGCCAATCATCGTTTTTGGTTTCATCTATAAATTTGTGTTTTGATATTGGCATTTCTTCTACATTGAGAACATCTCAAGTTCGTTTGTATAGTCGTACGTCATTTTCTGTCTACTCTCACATTGTGTCACTGGGCCCTAGGGCTGAGGCGTTTATGGCGTTCCAATAAAGAGCGGCAGTCACCTAAAACTCAGGCCGATTGGGTGTAATGTGTAATGTTCGGGCTACACGCCTGCTACAGTTATCTCGATGTTAGCGTTCCTTGTCCCTTTTAGTGAGGGTGTAAAGATTAGTGCCATCAACTATTACATTAACACAATTGGGACAATGAAAATCGTTCGTTTCACGATCAGAGTGGCTTCAGTTCCCTGGTCCAGCCGACTGCAAGACCCAATCCAGGGCTAATCACATATTTGCCGATCGAGATAGCAAGGGGACTGCGGGAAGCAAATAATTCTAGACTCAATTTTCAAGTTTGTGGGACGTCTACTTGGATCTTGCATATAAAAATGACAATCATTGGCCAAGGTAACAACTAAAATGAGGGGATACCAAACATGCGCTTGTGACCACGCATTTTTAATACTTCAAGGAGTGATGTGTTTATGGCCAGCCTCTGGGCTGTGCTTTGTTTCATGAAGAGCGGACTACCATAGTTTGTTAGCATCTTTGATAAACCCCCAACTGCTAGCCCTGTTGCACGGGGTAAGGGACGTCACCCAGGCTTGAGCAATCTCTAAACAACTTGATATTCTGTGGGACTACCCCGGGTAACCGATGACAATAGCCTTCGCGTACATCATGGGGCTTGTACTTCTGGGGACCTCGGTGATCGGGCCATGGTGGGTGGTGGGATCGTGATAGTAAGAATGTTGGAATGGTGCACACCTCACGTCTCCGGTTTTTTGGGAATGAAAGAGTTATTGAATTCATATTCTATTCTCTCCTGCTTATTATTACACCCTGCTAGCAAAGGCACAATCCATCAGTAGAAGAGAACTCCATCGGAGAAGAGAGATAATGACAATGATCACATGTAGATAGAAGTATAAATCACTCTCAACCCGGCTGGAGTATCATTGTCATCGTAAAATGCAATGAAAGGTTTTTGGATGCTGTGCAGTGCGACTGAAACGTGATGGATCATCCACTGCCTACAATTATCCTCTTTTTATGTTATGTTGCTTGCCCGTTGATCGAAGGTATAGGCTAAGACCTGGCGTACTGTTACTGTAGGCTGCAAGAGTTCCACTGGCTCCTAAGTTCCTCCCCAATTCACAAAATTAATCACTGAAACCGAGAATGGAGCTATAGACCACAAAACTTCAACTTGCATCATATATAGATGCAATATTCAAGAGGCTTTTAGGCTGTGGGAGGAGCTAGGTGCGCAATTTGACAAGATTTAAGCATAGCAGAATCGCAGAAGGGCATGCACACCTCGTCATAAATTTCAATGAGATAGTGTAGACAGATCCTCTACCTCAATATCAATCATAAGCCATACTTGAATCTAATAGAATTTTAATACATTCTAATCCCAACGGTTGGACAGCATAGTTAACTACAAATTTGATGCATACCACCGTCGGAATAACGCCTACAATCAGATTTCTCGAACGATCGATGGGTGTCTAGATCTATTTCGATAGAGACTTCAAGGAAGCTATCGAATATAAATTAAATGCGATTTTCCACTTTTCTGGATTTCATTCCATCAGGACCAACAGTCTATCAAGATCTGATATAAGAGAAATCTACCTAGTGAGCGTCGCCTATTCCCTTTTTATACTTCACCCTAACCAAGACAGGTGAAAAGCAGTCCAGCAAACAAAGATGAAGCCCAGCATTATTCTCACGGTCCTAGGCCTGAGCCTTACCGCCATCGCGGCCCCAACTCCGCTGTACCGTACGCAATCCTTTCCCTTAGAGCCAGTGAGAACAACCGTTGATAAAATGACCTTGTAAAGAGCTTGAAGTCCGTGAGGTTGATATCGACGATGCTACACCTACTCCCCCCACTCCTCCCACCCCTCCGACACCTCAGACTGTCCCCATTGCTCATGCTCCTCCCGGAAAGGACTCCGGCTATTACCCTCCAGCCCAAGCCAATCCACCAACTCCACCGACTCCCCCCACCCCTCCCACTCCTTCTAACGTTCCCGTGAATGCTCCTGGATCTCCCTATCCTTATGTAAACTCCCCGCAGACTCCCCCAACCCCTCCCATTCCCCCTACCCCTCCAAGCCCTTCTGGTGCTGTGTACGGTCCAGTCATTGGTAATGGAAACTACGGAAATCTCCCTGCTGCTCCCCCGACTCCTCCCACTCCTCCTACTCCCTCTACCCCTTCTGGGGGTACTGAGAGTGGATTTGTTGGAAAAGGTAGCACTGGCTGATGGCGGCACTGCCGATGTTAGTAAGGATACTGAAGATAGTGGTTGGTACTTGATAATTGATGCTTGATGTCACCCGGGATCGAGTTTACACAAACTGCCGACGTTCTTTAAGTTTTATCTTAGTATAACTGACCAATGATCAAGTCTTCTGTCTACCTTTGCACTCCGCTAGATATCTACATAAATATTCTCTTACAACTCCATGGGAATATTTCGCGTTACGGGAGTTAAGCTTGCTAAATACATTTTATCTAGATACACGGTTGCCCTTGGGTTAATTAGCTGCGCAATATTACTTTGCTATCTAAATTTTCTATCCTTTTTGTGTCAATCCAGTAATCCAAACTTCGTTCTGCTATCTGCCCTTGTTATCGCAATCAAAGTCTTCAGCTTTTTGGCACACATTTATTTGCTCGGTTTTCCTGTCAAAATAGGGTTCAGCATATCGAAATTACCACCATTACTATATCTGTGACAAGCTTGTCTTTCTACATAAATTCAAAGAAACAAAAAACACATACAACTGATGTTCCTACGACCTCCCAGCGTATGTAACGTTCTAGCCTGCGGCAATAAAAAGAAATCTCTCCCTCGGGGAATCGAACCCCGGTCTCCCGCGCTTATCGGTTTTAATGACAAGCGGAAATCATCACCACTAGACCAAGGAAGAAGGTGATCGAGTTAACTCGACCATTGGCTGGTTGATGAAAAATACCTGCCGTGAGATAATATAAGTAGTGCTGGTTGAGTAACGATCGGATTGATGGGAGTAACTCTTACAGGTCAGCATTGAAATAGATCTTTTGTGACTTGAGATAAGGGAAAAATCAAAGTATAAAATAGACCATTCTGCTCACTCTGTCATGACCATTTTCTATATCGCTAGCCATGAGGAAGGGGCCGTCCACCCACCATACCCCGTCCACCTTGTCTTGGCTGTTGTGTTCAAATGGCAATAGAGGAATGAAACATCCACTTATTTTCAGTAATTCGAATGCGCTCTGGGTTTCTATCGCCTATCGTGAGTAAATAAGAGGGTGTATAAGTATCTCTGCCAGTGCCATTTCAGGGACGTAGACAAGCGGAGTATTTACAGCAACAGTAATTCTCACAGTACACCATTTTCTACTTGATTTGAAGTGTCAAGTCGGATTTCCATTGACCAATATTTGCACTGGGTGGCGGTTCAGCTAGTGGGAGATTCAGGTATAAGAAGAACGCTTCATCCTGAATTCGAGACATTTTTAAGGTCAACCTACTACCCAGCACTCAGTATGCATGGACAGTAAGACTTGCTTTTCACAATGTGTATTTATATACTGACTTTTGTGGAATGTGATCAAGTAAAGATGAAATGGAACACTCTTCTCGCAATGGTGAGCGCCGCTCTTACCGCGGTAACTGCCCCTGTACCTGATCCGCAAAGTAAGTATGATTTCACTTCCAAGTAGGTTTACATGAAAGCTTGATCATGTTCTTAGGATTATAGTATATAATTTTGCTGTGCGAGACTCTCGCCTGGTCAAGCCGATGATCTGTATAAGACGGCGCCGTTGTGTGAGAATGTTGATTGTTCATTCACATGCGATATTGACCCGATTAGCACCCCTGTTGCTATTGCAATCCCATCTTCGCTGCCAGCTCCTACTTGGAATGGGTAGTCCTACGGCATACTGTGTTCCACCATTGCACTGTGGTGCTTTATAGCCACTTCAAATACAATGTTACCATCACCAACTACACATTGAAAGACATACCGATTGAGCGGAGAATTACTTTACCATCAATATCGACGCCCATACTGTTCTGTGATGGTTGCCCCACAGCCTGAATGTCATGCACATCAAAAGTTCCCAATGTGTTTCAATTGGTTATGTCTTGTATATATGTGTAGCCACGTTTGAGACATGTGATACAGATTCATGCGAGAGTAGATATACATTAGCAGTAGCAAGGAGTAAAAAGCGGTGAAAATCAATTTGGAATTGCCAAGTGCCATCCAGGCCAGGGGTCCAATGCCGCGGAGACCGTTTGGCCGCTATTCGGCCCTAACGATAAGCTTAATCTATGAACGAGTCATCGACCGGAAACCCCGGGAATAGATATCCGTCTGCAGGACTTGTAAATATTTAACTAAAGTAAAGGAAATTAACTTTTATTCTGTGCGTTTGTCTAGATTTTTAACAGTATGACGATGTAAAAAAATGTGGAAAAAAAAAGAACCAGAAAAGATAGAGGTGTGGATGTAGTTCAAGGGGTTTCGTCATAGTAGTCGATCAGTACGTGGAAGTCTCGGATGCGTGAATGCAACATGGGCCTTGCATAGATTTAGTCTTAGTGAATCATAGGATAAAATCTCAAATATCTACGGAGTATAGAATTCTAGCCCATTCCTTTGTACCTGTCATGGGGAAAGTAGAAGTTGTTCCTGTGTACCTGTGGATGATATCACTGTATACTTCCGTAAGGCTCCGTATACGTTCCGGGAGTCGGCTTCGACTACGAAGTAAGCCCAACATGATCGACCCACATGATCTTTTTTTTAAGCGATAATTGGTACATGGACGCAGTGAAAATGTTAATCACGTACTAAGCCTACATTAGAGGCTACTAACCCGAGTCTAGCCACGGAGCTCATAAACGTGGACTACAACGCAAGTCATCACGTCACGTCCGCAGCTTCCTTTGATATAAGCTCTCTTCGACTCACACGCTATTCTCCCATCTACATCTACCCTCATCTTCATCACTTCATCTCTTTTCTATAACAGTCAACATCTTCAGCTGTTGTACGAGCTACCCTGCATCACAGCTCAGCCTCACCTGTTCTAAATAAAGTACTTCTTACTTATACCGGGTACACTTTGCGCCTTGCGCCTTACACTCTGGATACTTTTCCCTCTTACAATACTCCTTTCTCCAACTTAGAAATGGCAGTTGACTGCATCCCCATGGCCTCAGGCCACTATGACCCCTTCAATCAACACAGTCAGGATCGACAAAACGTGGGGAGAGTGGGCAGCAACAACCCATATGCCCACTACATTTCACCAGCACCATCATCATATTCTCGACGGTCGCGTTCTGAGTCTGTGAACTCCGCGCCGTCCATCTGGTATTCCGGTACACCCGAACATCACCCGGTAGAGCCGCGACGCAAAAGAGAGCACTCTGCTCCCCATCGTCGCCGCCATAACAAGTATCCCCGCCACTCACAGCTTGTGGAACCCGATATCATCGACAGACTGGACAATGTCACCAATTTCTCCTATCACCACGAGGGCCCGTACGATGCGGCCCGCCCCGAACGAAACCGCTATGCTCAATCCAGCCCACTGGAGGCTGTCAAAGAGTCCAACGCCGAGGCTCTCCGGGCGACGCCTCATCACAAGATCGCCGACGCCCTAAACAGTCATCGGCCCCTCGATGGTGTGGCTTTTTATCCTCCAGGAACCACGGATCGAAATGGTCAGGAGTACTCTTACGAAGAGGGCTCGAACATGATGAACGACTTTTCTGGTAACTTTATGCGGATTCCTGGAATGGTATGTTCCCTTCTTCATTCTGTTGTGTCACCATCACTAACTCGGGTCTAGAAATTCACCGATGAGGACTTCAAAAACGACCCCTTCTACAACCGTCCGCTGGTGAACCCCTTCTCTGAATTACGGAGAAAAATCAGTTTACGACTCAAGAAGCGACGCAACACTAATTGATTTGTCTCTCCATTTCGACAACTTCACGACCTGACGAGAGACCGATGATTACGAAATCGATGGATGATGCCTGTATGGACTCTTTGGGAATCGGAGTTCGGGCTTTGGGTGGAATTTGGAGTTGGAAAATGGTCATGTGTTATCCTTTTTGTCTTTGGGAGTTGACGGTTATATTATTGGGAGGTCTCCAGGTTTTGGATTGATGTGGGTATGGATAATGGTCCTGTATACCGATACATCGTGTATGTACTTCGACAAATGAGAGGCCAAAGGCCCATTTCAAATTTCCTCGTGTTCGTGTCAACGGGAGTAGTCTCTGTCTTTCGTTTTTGTAATTGTTCCACCTTATCACCCTGGATATTACTTCTATGCAATCCAACTACATGAAATGGTTTTTCCTTCCGCTGGTCTCACACTGAACATATGTTTATCTACTCCATAGCATCACCCAACCTCACTCCCGAATGTCAGCTGTTACACGCCGATCTCACGTATCCGCCCCCTCGCAGATGCAGATGCGCAGATCACGAGTTCTGCATTCCACCAGAGACACCAGACACCAGACAAAGCCTGGAGTTCCGATCCGCAGCTGGAATTGATTCGCTGCCTAATCACAGCATCAGCATGAGCTGACTATGTAATAATGGTTCCCAACCGGTTCCTAAACAGGCAATCACCTCGATCTCTTTCATATGCACTGAAAAAAAAAAAAGAAAGACCTAGGCTCATCCCACGCTCATCACCCCGCAATAATATGCGACAGAATCTGCATCCAAAAAATCTTAATATTGCCTTTTCGACGTGTAAGATCCTTGGCGGCGATGCTGGAAGACATGTGGAACTGACTTTTCACACGAGGCTCTATTGGTTTTGATATAATGAGTATATCCATTTGAAAAGCTCAAACGGGGCCATAGGAGTTCTGTGGCTATACAATAGATCGGGCGCCGAGAGCGCTTTGGGCATGAGGATGCGTGGACTGTAGGTAGCTGTGTTTCTTATGCTTACGCGGCGAGAAATTAGTCTTTTTAGAGTAAGAGAATTCTGAGTACAAGGACTAGCCTATCCTTTTTAGCTTATTTGGAAAGGAGTAAATAACTCGAAGTATCTCGATGAAACGAGCGTTCTACATGCACCACTTGAATCAGGCACACATGGTTTGATGCCTTGTTGCCTGAGGCCTACATGCCTGTCAGGACTGGATGTTTCAACCTTGGATGATCTTTGGTACCTAGAGCCTTCATGATGTTTTCAGTTTGATATCGTTATTTGGATTAATTTCCACATACTAATGTCCAGCTCTCCCAGACTGAGACTTGTTGAAAATGTTCATCCAAAATCCATGATCCGCACGATGACGTCGTTGACATATGATCTCTTCAAGATGGACTGTGATGCACCTTGTTCGGGTGGTATCAATTAATTGCCTGCGAGTCGAGATGCTTCTGAAGGTACAGAGTACAGATATAGGTAACAGTATTAGCACTACATATACACACTACGAAATGTATTTACTAAAACTTCTACCTAGACATCAGGCTCTTGCCCCACTATGACAATGCCTTCTCAAGAAACAGCATTCATATGCACTAAAACCTCTTCAAATGGACAATATCTCTTCAAAAGGATATAGTGCCGACGCTACGATCGCATCGAACGAGCTAGATAACGGACTCCGTCGGCGTAAAAAAGATCAATCAAATCGCCATGCCGGATGTTCCTGACGACGTTACAATCACTGCAGATCCCCCTTACCAGCCACCAATCTCTGCCCTACAGCGGAGCCCGCCCCAACCGCCGACCCATCTCTATTGGCAAAGCTTAGTAGTGCATTAATATCCACTCGGAGCGTAAATCGCTCCGACGAGCCCTAGCAGGCCTCCTCCGAGACAATGGGATTTATAAAGCGCGGACCTCCTCGCTCTTGGGTGCCGATTCAGGTTCTCGAAGTTTGTGGAGCATCATCTCACAATGTTGGTTTTGGCACCTTTTGTCTTCTTAGTGGCCGCGGTCGCTGCGTTGCAAAATCCGCATCGTAAGGCTGCTTCCTTTAAACAGTCTGCGAAGGGTTTGCGCAAAAGAGAGGTCTCTGCTGTTCGGACGAAGCATCAGTTTTTGAACAAGAAGACGGAAAGTAAGTGTGATGGCTTGTATTGGTAGGATTTGTGACTGTCTACTTACAACTCACGTCTGCTAGAATTCGCCGTGAATGGAACTCACTTCCCGCAAGTCCCTTTTGACATCGGTGAAAGCTATGCTGGTCTTTTGTCGAATGCGCCCGCTGGAAACTCGAGCTTGTTTTTCTGGTTTTTCCCGTCTACCAACCCAGCTGCGGATAAGGAGGTACGTTGTTCTCAATTCGTCCGTGGGGATTCATCTAATTTCATTCAAGATTACTGTCTGGTTGAATGGAGGCCCCGGGTGCAGCTCCCTTGACGGTCTCCTACAAGAAAACGGTCCATTCCTCTGGCAATCGGGAGTCTACGAGCCCATACGGAACCCCTACTCATGGACCAACTTGACAAATATTGTCTACATCGACCAGCCTGCTGACACTGGGTTTTCCCCCGGACCATCCACTGTCAAAAATGAAATCGACATCGCAAATCAGTTCAATGACTTCTGGGTCAACTTCATTGAAACCTTCAGCATGCAGGGCTACAAGGTCTACCTCACCGGAGAGAGCTACGCTGGCCAATACATTCCGTATCTGGCCGACGGGATGTTGAACCGCAATGACAAAAAGCATTTCAACCTGAAAGGCATCCAGATCAACGACCCCTCCATTAACGAGGATAGTGTCTTGATGTATGGTGAGTGCTTCCTTGCTCCCTTCATCCACTCAAAATCACCAATCTAACCGACTCGAACAGCCCCCGCAGTAGCAGCACTAAACCACTACTCCTCAGTCTTCAACCTAAACTCAACCTTCATGACTGAAATTAACCACCGCGCCGATATATGCGGCTACACAGACTTCCTCGAGAAAGCTCTCACCTACCCCCCACCCAAGAATTTCCCCATAGCACCAGACCCCAACACACCCGGCTGCGCCGTCTTTGACGATATCATAGAAGCAGCAACCTACGTCAATCCCTGCTTCAACATTTACCACCTAACAGACTTCTGTCCCTTCCTCTGGAACGAAATGGGTTTCCCCTCACTAGCCGGCGGACCAAATAACTACTTCAACAGTTCGGCCGTACAAGCAGCGCTCCACGTCCCGCCAACAGACTACTCCATCTGCGGCGGCGACATCTTCAAACACGGTGATGGCTCAGTTCCCAGCGCTCTCGGGCCATTACCCAGCGTGATCGAGCGCACAAATAACGTCCTCATCGGTCATGGATGGTACGATTTCTTACTCTTCGCTAATGGGACGCTCGCTACGATTCAGAATATGACTTGGAATGGAGCGCAGGGATTCCAGAAATCACCTGATGGGCCTTTGTTCGTGCCGTACACGGATGCGCTTGAGCAGATTGCTAAGGGGGATGCGGGTAGACCTTGGAATTACGATGCTGGTGGTGGTATTCTTGGAACGGCGCATACGGAGCGGGGACTTACGTTCAGTTCGGTTTTCACGGCTGGTCATGAGATTCCGCAGTATACTCCCGGTGCGGCTTATAGACAGTTGGAGTTTTTGCTTGGGAGGATTGAGAATCTTCAGCAGAAGGGGTCTTTTACGACTTTGTAAGTATCATCTTGGGAGTTCTTCCCTGAATTTGCATATGAAGCGGATAAAAAACATGTTTCACTGAGACCTTAATCTGCTTCTCTCTGATCGATATTAATATGTGCGCGGCGGAGTGAACACGTTGTATATATCGCAAGCCGAGGGCGAAGAATGAGATTCAGAGACATAGTTTCTACCTCTTGAACTGCCATAAAAAATCGTGCATGAAACCACCAGTATCCCGAACCCGAGCCAAATTATCGTGTGAATGGAGCCGCCGCTGCTCAATGCCATAGACTTATCTGGCTAGTCGCATTCCTTGACGAGGGACTCAGCATTTGCAAACCCATACTAACATCGTGTCGTAATGACAACCTGAATTTCCTTCTTTCTCAAAACCTCGAACATGGGGCTGGTGAAGTGCTCGTCGCTCCCTCCGTAGGTTTTCCAGGACAGTAATGACTTGGTTTGAACATCCTGACAGAATGGCATTTCTGAAGAACAGCAAAGCAGCGTCGGCAAATAAAACCACTTACATGTTGATGGAGAGATAGAGGACACTGAAATCGAGGGGCATTTGGTGCATCTTGATTCCTCTTTTTTTGCACGATTTTGATCCCATTTTGGTGTCGAGCCTCAATCGTTGCTGACAAGTAGAGACCGTCCCATTCCGGGGTGTACTAAATGTTTTGAACCCTACTTAGCCTGTATAGCACAGAGCATGGATAAGGCAACGCCACGTATATGTATGTGACCTTCGGGGTTTGTAGAAGGAGGTTCAAGGGTGGAGAAAATCCAGGATTGCGATGCATAAGTGGCTGAAGCCTGTCATCGTATGGAGTGATCTCTATCGGCAGTGAAGGAGACCTCTTTGCCCAGGGACTGCCAACAGACCGTCGTAAAACCGTTTCTCTAGCATTTTAGCCCATAGATCTTAGATCTTAGAACCAGGCATTTGGCAAGGGGTGGACAAAGTGAGATAATTTCAGAGTGGAGTTCAACAGGTGACACGCCGCTATGATATATTGAAGCTCGATGCATGTTGCTTGCCCTGCGACACACTGATTCCATGTCAAATTGAAACAATCCAGAGTGGCATCATGGGCAAGAGTACTCGTCTTGGTTATCGGCCCATCCTAACTCAACCCCAGGATCTCAGGCTTGTCCAAACGTTGGTAATTAGTGGTTATATATGATTCGATTCTGTTTCGCGGGGTGAAGCCCACACGCGGTTTGGCATTGTGGCTAGCCTCCGTGTTTATCTGGTTGAGTCTTTTAGGGTGGACCTAACACTGTGTTAGATGAATATTACTCTGTGATGGATGTAACGTACGAGGTCCATCAGTTGGAGAATTTCCTCTGTACTCTTCATGTGACCATTCGTAGTTGGCTTCAAATGCGCTGTGCCGCTTCATCAATATAAACATCGCATCATCCTCAGGAGAAATATAGCAACGGGTGCTTTCATGCTTGTACTACGGCTTGATTAGCCAGACCTGTCGCGAAAGCATCTCGAAATAACCGGATATGACCTGGCTTTGAAATTGGTGCCGAGGTTCTGCCCAGCGCGACGACTTTCTGTAGGGAAGAGTCTACCACTGATGGCTTGCAGGCACAATTTGAGGTAATCAGGCGTCCGAAGTTTGTTCAAGTCTTCACAAGTCAGTGGTGCAAACGTGAAAAGTCGCATGTGTTACTCGATTCGTGACTTTTTCGGATGGAATGATATGAGCCTGTTCGATCTATCTGGAATCGACATATTCTGTGCTTTTTCTAGATCCATATTTTCGGATACCACGCAATGCCTGCTGTCTTCTTTGAGACAAATATGCTTGACGATTGCATACGGAGACCCGGTGTCATTTGATCTTAATAAGTCGAGTGTTTCAGAACCAGATAGACAATGCGAGAGTTGTGCTATATCATTTTGGGGGTCATAACTCTGGCACTTAACGTATTCACTCCACCCAGAACGAGCAATTGCTGAGTGTCATGGTCTCGTCGATTCGGGTTGGAGACCTTGACTCTATCAGGAGTTTGAAGGGTACTGTCTTCCGGTACCCGTGAAGTCGGCGAACCTTATATCAAGCGACTAGATTACGGAAACAGGTTCAAGAGTCTGGCACATTCAGTGCTATACAGTCATGGAGACCGATCTCATCGGTAACGAATAGCCCCTCGGACGTGAGGTTCCGCGATAACCGGTCAGAGAAATGCGCCCAGCCCTGTTGGATCTTTGCGGCGATCACCTATGAGGCGCAATTCTGCCCATTTTATAAACAGTATCAGTATTCTTCTGTAACTTTTTGTCTTTAGGCGGCCTGACCTTCGGAGCAGAAAGTTTGGGAAAGGTAGATAAAATTATTCGTCTATCTAGCTCACGACGAGTACGTGGCTCAGAAAGCATAGGTGAGGTCTGCAAGAAGCTTGAAAGCGGCAGTGATATGAGTGACCATGCTCCTTGAAACGTGTCATCGACCCTCATGAGTGGGAGCAACAAGTGATTCAGAAGGAGCAGTTTTAACGATGTTCACGATGCTCACGTTATTAACAGCCCGGCACCGCTGTGTTCTCCAGTAATGAACTTCTGTCGAAGTCATGGTTTCTGTTGGCGAACCATTATGTGAATCGGAATTTCGATAGGAGCTCATGGGCTGGAGAAGATTCGTGCAGTAGGAAAGGGTAAGTGGTCATTTTTGCCCTCGCTCCTCGAACTTTCACTACTTCGTGCAGTATTCTTGTGGGTGGGGTTTGGAAGGTTACGACACTGAATGTGGTCAGTAAACGAACCAATAATGTTGTGGTAGTCACTAAATCACTCGACTCACCAATTAGATATCACCAAGGAAGTGACGGGATTGTAACACCGCGAGGGACTGGCTAACCCTCGTCCTGATTGAATTCCATAGAATATATCATGCATCCAAGCATCAAAGAGATCCTCTATGGTGGGCATGTATGTTCCATCAGCCAGAGGTAATTGAGAGAATTGCAAGGGCTAATTCCTATTGATGCGTCCGAAGTCAGAGTTTTGATGGCTTCGATATGGGGACCGGTGGATAAGATATACCTGGTTCCCTCACGTAGGACATGGCGTAGCGAGAAGGGTTGCCAAAGGCTCTGCGGGATTTTAGCGAAGAATTCGCTCACCCTTACTGGTAAAGAGACCAGCAAGATTCGTGGAGCTTGTAGTAGAACCCAAATTCCGGGAAATGGGAGATACTCGTGAGCTCATCAAGATTGACCACGAAGATGTGTCGATGTAGAGGTTGAAGGAGACAAATGACCGAGGTCTGGTGTTAGAGATAAGACTCATCTCTCGTGGGTTTGACAGAAAATAACAAATTCTGCAGCTGATAGAGTCGCACCTTCCTGACCTTGGCACCTTCCCAAATTGGCTAGACCACGGAATATTTAATCAGTTCGAATTCTATCTTGGCTTGTATACATCTGAATACAATACCTCACTAGCTGATATTGCACAGTTCGACAAATCAAAATCTCCTATCTTACGTGCCATGTGTACTTTCATCTGGAGTGACCAAGATAGGCAAAGATGGAAACATGGAACGAAAAGAGAATTCCTTTGCTCCACTCTTTAACAAGAAGCATGAACCACAGGCTTAGCCATCCCAGCCCCGGGAAGACACCCATGAGCTTTGTAGAAACGCCTCTCACGAATGGACACAAACGCCAAAAGCCCAGAAAATCCACTTAAGAACACAAAGTTAGTTAGAAGAGCCACAGCATCGCCTTAACTGGTGCCACTTACCACAAGAAGAAGACCAATGTAGCCGTAATACCACCCAGTGCCCGACTACTTCCGCTAGTCGACCCCGTAGTGCCCATTATAGTGATAATAAACAGAGCAAACCAAAAGACAGTATCAATGATATTCAATATCATGTACGCTTTTGTGCTTGCCCATCGTTTGAATCGAACCATATGAGTCGTGAGTATTTGATAGGCCATGAAAACGGCTGATTTGAGACACTTTGGTCATGAATTAGTGGATTCTATCAAGATATAAACAGGGAATAACTCACCACAGCAATACCCCAGATGTTAGTCCTTGTCTTCGGGGTGCCACTATCGGCAATGCGTGCAATGATAAGAATGAAGATGATGAAGACCGAGGTGCCGATTATGATGTGCAGTCGAAACTTGAGCACCGGGCTTCTTTCAATTGATAGATTCATTGTTGTCATGGGTACCCTTTTTATGTCGCCCTATGATTCAATCGGCGGTCTCAATGTGAGCACTTTAAGGGAGTAGTCGATTCCGGGCAACTTGTATAATCCTATCAGGCCTAGGTATAGGGGGGTCAATTTCTTTAAATGTTGGTTCTCCTAGCTCTCATCTCGTAATCGTTTAAAATGCATATCAAGGCAGAAGAATTCAAGATAATTCAAGAATCATTGTTGGGACCTGATACGTGCTCGTCTTGGCTCTACTTCGCATTCGTATTCTTATCTGGATAAGGAAATGATCACCAGTCAATGTTAAGGCTTTGCTTTTTCAACTTTATATTGCCTAGTAATTGCCGAAAGAGATTGATTTCCAGGTGAATAAATGATTCGAATTAGAAAACATTTCTGGCTCTATGTTCCTGCGCGTGGGTTGCTGGTTCACTTCCAGGGTCGTCGTGATTCGAGATCGGGGTTGATACAGGCCGATGGGAAGTATGATCTCATGAGAAGAATTCTAATTCTGTGGGCTTGAATTTTTTATAATACTGAAATTCTACTCATCTCGAGAATGGTTAAGCATGATTTGATTCCAATGCTCTTTCAAGGTCGTTTTGTCGATTTATTACAGCAGAACGCTATTTGACGGTAAATCGGCTGCCGTAAATGGCTACCTTAGACGCCGGTTTAAGCTCCCTTACTACCAAAATCTTAGTTATATAACATCACGTGCGCACAATATACTTTTGATCACTAAGCACTTAGCGCTACTTAGTGGTCTACTTACCCTTCGCTTAGTATACTTAGGGTAATTAATTAGTGATAATATAATACTTAGTATAGACCTGGCAGTGACCCTCCGGGTGGTCCATGACCTTGGACCCTCCGAGGGTCCAGCGACCCGCCAAGACCTGGAGTTGTACATAAATATACATAAAATATGGTTTATAAGCATACTATTTCCTACTTAGGATAGGTTATGTATACATAACTTTCTTGGCGGGTCTAGGATCCCGACTTTAGACCCTCCTTAGCGCCTTGGCGGGTCCAAATGGAGGGTCACTGCCAGGTCTACCCGATGGTTACAAGGGATTGGCCCCTATCCTAGAATATAATAAGAGAAGCGCCCAGTGGTCCCCGACTTACACTGTCATATCCCTAGGCTTGAGAGAGGGGCTTGAATGTTCGTTTGAATGTGACCCATTTAAGTTAAACGATCGCATCACCCACAACAAAGATTAGAGATGACTTAGAGGCAGTAGCAAGGATTGAGACAATGGTATTCAATGTCAAACCCTGCCACATCGTTGGCGTCGATTTTTGATCGTACGCCCAAAGCACAGCGATTATAGCGATGAAACATGCAAGACTAAAGACCAAGGCGCATAATTCATAGAGCCACGTATCGAGGACTGCTGAGTCCCAGTTTGATGAAGGTCTATCGGCGGCAGTATCTCCATCCAGGTTTGAACTATCGATGGTATCTTCCTCGTTCTCATATTCCGGATTTACAGAAGCCGGAGCCGAATTTGGGTGCGATTCGGTTAGTTGATTACTGGAATTGGATCGGGCGGAAGAATGGATGTTTCTGTTCTCGTGGACTGAATGGTCATGCGGTGTGGTTGCCCGCTGGTGAGGCTCAAGATGTTGGTCCATTTGGGTACGGTCAAATGCCCCCAAGCGAAGGAATGAAGTGAGAGGGGTTACATACGGTGAGCCCAGAAAAGTCTACCTCAAGGCTGACTTGTCACAGCTGGTATTATCATTAAGTAATTGGTTATAAATTGAGAAATTGCCCAGGTGTGTCTTGGCTTACTGCAGGGAGCAATTTTGGAAATTTACTATTCCGTATTGAAGTTCTAGTATGTCATCTCAAGCAAATACCTCAACTTTCACTACATGAACATATTGAGAGCGAGTTCCAAAGCTGGTCTAAAGAATGTCGAATTTACATACAAGACAGTTGCTCGGAGAACGGTGCCTTTCGAAAATCGGCTTTACTACCCCTGTGGATACTCTTTCGCTATTTCTTAAAACCTGGTGCCAAGACAAAGCTGACTTATTCTGGGCGCAGCCAAGACACCAAGCGGCTGAATAGCAATTCCAACAGCTCCGAGTGCATCACAAAGTGAATGAAAATTCATGTTCCTCATATCTCGCCATCGCGTTGCATTTCGCTTCGCGCCCCGGCGTGATGAGATTTCGAAATATGATCCACCAAGGAAGGTTGGCCATCCGTAGGGCAAATATGGAGATTCTGAGATCAGACTAGTAGCCCCGCTTATGTGCATGATGTCAAAGCTCACAGCTTGGCTAGTGAGGTTTCATGCTCGGATGCTTTTTGGAATTTCAGATGCAACCGGGTTATGTATCTTAGCAATGCCAGTCCTCAGTCCAATCGCTTTTGTTGAAATCGCCGCGTTAGCCATCCATATTCGCAAATAAGATAACTGAATACAAAAACTTGACATCCGATGTGGAATAGTTCCCAACCAATGTATCTCCATATAGGTAGTCTCGTGGAGGTCCGGCAGCCCTAGCCGGGTTCAGCCTCGGCGTAGCCACATCGGGCGCTACCCCCAACTTCCGACGCGAACTGCATTAGTTTCACCAAGCCCAAACTGCATTATATTCAATTTTGAGGTCTGAAGATGGATCCAATCAGAAGAACATGGTCCTATTTGACCACATTGGAGTGGACCAAGCGAATTCAGCAGTGACCAGTCGAACTTTGCCAGTGTTGTGTATGAAGTAAGGTAACCATTCATGCACACAAGCAATGTCTGATGGAGACAGGACGACCAGCTCATCACAGTGGATGAAATCCGACCTGCTGGCCAGTTCCACGGGCTGATCACGCCGAAGCAGCATCTTGCTCACGTGTTCTTAAGAAAAACCAATAGTCAAAGATGGCTCTCTAAAAGCAATACAATCTCGGTACCAAATCATACGATACGTAGTTGGCTGGACAAGAACTTCCTTATGATACCTATCTCAGAGGGTCATTTCGACTCACCTTCCTCCAGTATAGAACCTAATACAGACAATGCACCGAGCCAAGCATCTAATTTCACCTGGGCGAAATTTGGCATCACCGGAGCGCCTCAATCTGCGAGGTTTGGATGTTTGATTTTCAAATTCTACCCACATTGCGCTGCATGTAGGTGCTGTGGCTAAGTCTACCCTTGTTAATCCCGCTTTGCCTGCCTACAAACGGTGAAATCATGCCTAACAATACTTTTACATGTGGCATTGAGATATGCTTTGTGCAAATAGGGAGGAAGATATCTGATTTTGCATATCTTGTTCCCTATTGGTTTGAAAGAACTAACCTATGGTGAAATAGGACCTAAGTAGATTCTACGCAGCTTTGGGTAGTGGTTAATTCGGAAACAGGATTGAATAAAACCTTCGACCTGAGCTGCCTGCCCAGGTGGCATATGACTTGAACCAGGAATATAGAGCTGTGCTGCGGTAGAGACATACATATTATCCAATGGGATATGCTTGAATTGAATTCTGCCAGAGCGAATAAGAACATTTACAAGGCTGGCGATCCTTCAGATCTGATTGAAATGGCCATCTTGTCTCCATGGGAATTTCTCTGCATGTAGCTGTCTTTTGGGAAGCGATTTGCCACCCAAAGGGCCATTTAACAGATGCAAAGAGGTACGTACGTCCTATGTACATCCTTCATGTATCACTGTTTAACCTGTAAAGAAAATAAATGAATGGCAAATCAAACGTAGATAGTCATATTATCGAGCTCGCCCGGGCGGCGCTAACGGTTGTGTAACCGAGAGCTGAACTACCATATGTGCAGCAATTCACCTCGATACAGTAAATAGACATTTCGACTGTGAGTGAGACTTTGAGTACGCAAAGTGAAATGTCAGTTTCTAGAGACCTGCCCAAAAATTTGATCCAACGGTGTTAAATTTCAGGCACCTCACAACGAGTATTTCTGGGTATTGGAAGGTAAATATTCTATTAGAGAGAAAGTAATCCAGGGCAATGCTGATTGAACATATTATGCCTCAATGTGTGTCTGACCGCCAGAAAAGGATGAGGGGGCCACGCTAGTGCATGATTATACAGAAATATTACACTAATTGGATTGTATCCTACTTTGCAGTCTGCGTTATCCAAGTCATGCTCTGAGAGTATGATATTCTAGAGGGGAGCGGTCTATAGCCAAGCAGGATTGGCAGAGGGGGAAGTTCATTTTCTTATTTTGGAAAGAGCTGAGATCTAACCTATCCACGAACTGAAGCTATAAAGGAAACGTCCTCGCCCCAATGGCCTATCGAATCCACACAAAACCTTAATGGACTAATAGTTCAATATTCAACTTTGTTATCCAAATTCTCGACTTTGAATTTCATCATGCATTTTTCTAAGTTGATGTTTGCCGTTTTGACCGCTGGTGCCACCCTGAGTCTGGCTGTACCAACTGAAAACAACCAAGCAGCCGCTCAGGGGAAATGCCCCTATGGATGGAAATACTGCGGTGTATGTTTAGCCTCCACAACAGACGAATCACTTTTTCACTGACGATGAAAAGGAATGCAACGGTAATTCTTGTAAGGTTGCTGGAACCAATCGGTGAGTCCATCGTCGGCCTTTTATGAGAATTGGTGGGGATATGGATACTGACATATTCGAAGCCTTTGCAAACAGGGCACCAAGGTAACTTGACTCCAAAATTTCAGTCCTCGGAGGCGGATACTTCGCTTCAGATGTTTCAAGCTAACAATTATGAATAGTGTACAGGAAAAGGTGGTGGTGATGGCGTTTTATGTGGAACCAAATCTGAGGCTGGCTGGGGCGACAGCGGGGGATTCGAATGCCCTGTCAAGGCCAAGTGATATCTCAATCACGACTGGGTCTTGGAATCTCGGAATGTCTATGAATCCTTGGTCACGACGGAGCTGAATTTGACGACCCCACACTCGTTCATTAGGTCATTTGTGCTGCCTAAATGTCTAACAAATTTGAATCATTGTCTCAACATTCCTTTTCTCTTTGTATTGTCGATGTTCCAAATTTAATCATGTTCGAAAGAGTGAGGATTCAGTTTGGCGAATAGGGAAAAGAGACGGGGAACAGCCTTGAAAAAGAATTTGGTCTGCAGGGCTTGGAAGATTTTAATAGATCAATGATCGTGATCGTGCTATTTTGACCTTATGGCTTTTTGATGCTAATCAGGATGTGGATTGAAGATTTCCAAGCGCAGATTCGAAAATGTTTCTTTTTTGATGAATGCATGGGAATTCAAATTCTGGAAAAACCTGAATAAGTAGTCTCTCACCGGGTGGTAGATAATTGTATGGACAATCAAGGCGTATTTGGGTCTAGATTTGCTGTTCGGGTTCGAAGCATGCCGGTAGTGGGAGCTGCTTTCTGGGCAAATCTGCTTTGAAGAAAGGCATGCATATGCTTATTATACATGCCGTTCTTATATTTTTCACATAGCCAGTACTCAGACGATTCAGGCAATGGAAGAGCTTCGCTGTTACCATATCCTTCGAATCTTCTCATGCTCGGGCAAAGCCCAATTGATTATCCATTCACATTCGAGGATCTGTTTCGCAGAAGATCGATTCTCAGACTTGAATTGAAGCATCGACTTCAGCATTTTAGAGATAGCATTCTTCTCGGCCGGTTCAATGCGCAGAATCCCTTTCCTCTGTCAAGGCTCCTGCATATCTTGTTCGGATCTGTCCTCCCACGACCGGTACGGGTCCCGGTTGATCGGCTTCCCATCTTCCGTGAATCTACTATGTCGCCCCTCCCATTTGTGCCACCATTCCGAGGGCAGCATACCAAGTGCATCGACTTGCTCGCAAGTAATGCTATCTTCGGTCGCAAATATGCCGTCAAAAAGTGAGTTTTTACCTATGATGTTCCATAAACAGCACCCAAGGGACCAGATGTCTGATGGGAATGACAGAGGTTTATGAGGCTCAAACCTCACCCCTGGCGGTCGGAAAACAAGGGGGAGTGTGACTCAAACCTCTGTTGCTTGGTTGGGGAGAAGGCCTCACCGAAATCGCCGAGTAGGATTTTGGCTTCTGTTAGTTTGAGTTTGTCACTTGCCTCACCAAGCCAGAGAGGTAAAACGGCCCGTGATGGGACATTCGGTGGGAGCGGTTGCCCGTCGAAACGTCTTATTGCTTGAAATTCCGGTTCTCCGTACTTTGTAGACCATTCCTCTACAGAAATTTGGTTTAGGTCAAATGGCAACCGGAGGAGAACATTTCCAGCATGAAGATCCCCGTGAACAAATCCCTGGGAGTGGACGTACTCAACTACAAGGACTAACTGTGCCGCCAAAGCCCGAGAGACCTCCAATTGGAAAAGGCGGTTATATGAGGCATCTTTTGCCTCAGAGGGACTCATCCTCGCCGAGATTGTCACGTAACAAGGGTGCGTACCATTCAATCCATGAATCTCGAATCTGTCTAGTACAGATGGCATCATTGTCTTTCCTAGGCTAGTGCTTGAACTTTGTGGCGAGTTGGAGAGTTCTGAAAGGATGCCGAACTCAAGCGGGCTCGAATCCGCGGCACACACTTTGATGGCGACATATTTGCTATCTTTTTGATCTCGGGCCAGCCAGATTGTTGAGTATGTACCGTAGCCAAGTATTTGAGCCACTTGATAGCGATTTTGGATATGATCACCAATTGTCATGGAGTGATAGCCTCCCACGCGATAGCTTTCCAGTTTTTCCATTCCTTCGATGGGCTCATACAGATGATGTGGGGAATCATCACCCTTGAGAGAGTGAGACACAAGAGCAGCCGTACAGAAAAAGCTGTGGCGAATTTGATTTTTGGTAATGCGGAGTTTGCCTGGCTTTATTGGATGTGGAATGAAGACGAGAAAGCAATAAACATGCCCGGAAACGCCGAAATGGTGATAAAATAGAGATAAACTTTGTCATGACACAGCTCTAAAGCTGAGTCTTAACACAATCGTACAAGGCTGGGACACAAGCCTGTCTCACCCTGCTTCCGGGTCAAATTTGTGTCACAAGATCTACTGACATAGTCAGAGTTGGCAAAACCTTGGAACCAACCACAAATTGATTATATTCGATGAATAAAGCGTCCGAAGAACGAATGTGCCAGATGAATAACTAAGAACAAAGGAAGAAAATGGCAAGCAAGAAGGGGCATTTGGCAAACTGCGTCATTGATCCCCGAGCCCTGCCGTATTCCTAGCAGACTGCCATCCAGGCAGGACCGCATTCAACAGCCAGGGTATTTCGCTACCTTAGGACCCTCCCAGATAAGGCTTCGTATAAAATAATTGCCCTTGTCAGAATGGCAAGGCTTCTGAAGACAATGCGGTCATATTACAAGGTCCGAAGACGAAGACACAAAAACTAGAGAAGAGAGAGAGAAAAAAGAAACTATGGAAGTGCGCAGACATGGAGAAATAGCAATGCGCCGGGCAGGTAGGGCAAACCATTCAAACACCGAGCTGGGGAAGCCAGGCAAGCAAACCATGACATGCGCGTAGACCATGACAGTTGATCTCTCTTTCTGCTACTGTAACAACCCAAGCCGGAATTAGCTGTTTAACAATTGAATATGATGCTGAGTACGGAATGCCTCAATCAAGGTGCTTGGAGAAATCGCGGTTGGTATTGGTCTCATTCATAAATATGGAAAACGAAGAAAAGAAAGGACAGGATAACAAAAGAAAATATCAGAAAGGAGCAGGCTAAAATGTAGGCATCAAGATCATCATAAATTTCTGAGATGGGGAGAAGAAAGAGAGAAGAGAGCAAACTACTCGTGACTAAGCAACACCGATGGGAGGGTACGACCATCGGTGAGCCAAGGCCTAATAAGTAAAGAAAAATAAGTATCCTCGACGTATCTCCAATTTATCAATTAATTAGCTCATGTATTCCAATCCTGCTCTATTAACAGCGATATTCCTCCTCGATCGACCGTATTGATCAAAATTATTACACAATGGTACATTTTGACACATTCCTCAGGTTGAGGTTGATGTCTCTTCAATTAACAATCAAGCCCTTAGTGCTTCTTGGCAGAAGAAGAAGAAGTAGCCATACCGGTGCTGCTGGCGACACCGGAGGAGGAGGGAGTAGCAATCAGGGGGCCGATTCTGATGGCACCACAGCGGCTGACAGGGGCAGTGAGACATCCACCAAGATACTCGCCGAGGCTACCGGTCTGGTTGCGGGTGGACAGAACCTGGGCGGGGCCGTAAGCCGCAACAAGAGAAGAAGAGTTGGCAGCGAAGTAGGTCGAGTTGATGCGGCTACCAATCAGGGCAGAGTGGGCGCTGTGCTCAGCAGCCAGACGAGCCATGAGGAAGGAGACCTCGGGGGACTCGGTGTATCCGGCAAGACCGATGAAGGCACCAGTGACGGTATCCTCGAAGCGGTAGGCGTACTGAGCCCAAGCCTGGGTGGAGTTGACCTGGGGGAACTTGAAGTCACACTGGGGCTTGGAGAAGCCGGGGGCTTTCTCGGAGACCTTCTCGATGGCGGCGGTTGACAGGGTGTTGTCCTTCTCGAGGCCGAAGAGGACCTTCTGGTAGGATAGAAGGGTAGCGTTGTTCGAGTTTCCGAAGGTGCTGTTCACAGTGGCATTGTAGTAGCCACCGATGAACTGGGAGATACCCCAGGCAAATTCGAGGACCTTCGAGTCAGAAGATGTGGGCCAGCAGGTTGAGGCTGCGCTGGATGAAGAGGAAGTCGCAGTGACTGCGGAGGTGACTCCGGCCAGGAGGCTGACGATGTTGAAGAAACGCATAGCTCTTGGATTTGTCTCTGAAGAGTTATCGTGTGTTAGAGTGGGAGAATAGTGAATAAAATGCAAAAGAAGTGCTACTCCCACCGGTAGTTAAATACCTCTAAGCCCATAGAACCGCGCAATCTTCCAAGTCATCTCGAATCATCATCACCCAGACGATGCATGCGGTAAGCTTTCAGTACATTAGACAGGTAAACTTTCTAAATAACCGGTAGTCCCCTATACATTGGCGTCATGGACCACAATATAAACATCTGAGCGTGTGTCGTGGAATCAGCATCGCTATGTTCTTGTGGGGTGACGTCGACCACTTAACCAGTCCATACCTGGAACAACTTGATTTGATATCAAAGCCTATTAAGCTTAAAGCTTCGAAGATCCAAACATTGATTCGAAGATCCGAGATTAAGCGGGCTCGGGATCGTCGGGAAGCCCGGTGTGCCCCGGTGGCGTTGATCATGGCGTCGTGGATATGAAAATTCTACATAAACCGTTGTAACATAGATAGAATAGATGCTTACATTGTTAGTTCCTACCAGCTCTTGAATATACGACTTACTGCTACTCGTAGTTGGATATTTAAAGGGTAATGCGGAGTGGTGATGGCAGCAAGTCGGATATATACTTCCGCACACTCGGATGCTGGCGGATCACGAACAAAAATTAACCCTTAACAAACCAGCAGCTTATGAAGTATTTTGGATTAAACCGAGTGACTCACAAACTAAAGAAGAGAAGAATCTAGTTATCAAAGTATGCTCGAATTCAGCGAAAATAGTTGCTCGACGAGGAAGTATAGGTCCATAATCTTGAAGTAGTATCATATGTAGCGAGTCTAACTATCGGTAACCATCATTTGTCCCACCAAAAAAGCAGACGTTAATCATCAGCATGAATGTGCAACAAGACCCGCCTATATACATTTCGTGTAATGTGCTAATATACATACTCCGCTCAACAAGCAACTAATCCCCGTACACAAGATGATAAGCCCATATCCACTGCCATATCCCGCCACAGCAGAGTCCTTCCACGGATCTACATCAAGTATAGCCTCGCTCAAAGGTCCGCTAACGACATTTCCAATACCGCGACCAAAGGCAATAACCGAGAAAATGATGGTTGCGTCGGCATTTGGATCGATTCGTCGGACTTCGTGCGTAATCCCTGACCACGTTGCCGAATAACAACCTGCAAACAATCCGTATGCGATAGAGAATACGAATAACGTAGGCAAGGTTGATGCGAATCCCCAGAGAAAAAACACCGACAGAGTGCTACCAACAGTCGAGATGGTAATGCAGGTGATAGCATGATATCGATCTGCCAGATGACCCATAGTAACACTTCCAAAAACAGACGCCAAATTCAAGAGCGTGATTGTCAATGACGATAGAAAACCCGTAGCGCCAATACTTCGTGCGTAAGACGGGAGATAAATGCCAGGCAGGAAGAACCCCATTGCCTCAATGATGTTGCCGAGTTGATAGACGCAAAATATCCTAGTGACGAGGAATCGGAAGTTCAGACGTTTATAGTCGACTGCTTTTTTAACTGGGAGCCGGGGTCTGTGGAAGTATAGGAAAGGCGCAGCTAGAACAAAGACCACCACGGAGATGACCCTAAGCGTGGTTTCGAATCCAAACCGAGTCAATAGTTTCTCTAGGCCAATCGGGAATATTATTCCAGATACCCCTGATCCAGCCCAGGTTATGCCGAACGCCAATCCTCGTCGGTCGACGAACCACTCGTCCATGTATAGGATGGATGGACTGTATGCTATACAGCCGCCTATTCCGAAACCGACTCCTTGGGAGAGGACGAGATGAGTGATATTGGTAGAGAATGAGCCCAGTGCCAGCGAAAGACACATTATTATTAGTCCGACAGATGAGAACCAGCGTCCCCATTGAGGAAGGAGGATCATAGCAACAATGACCAGTGGACAGCTCAAATAGGATATTCCCTATGGATGGTGTTAGCAATGGATCGTTGTAAGCAAACGTGGTAATCTAACTGTAGCACATGTTCCAATAACAGCTACCATATTGGAGTCCTGGAAGGCTGCATGGGTGTTGTAATATTTCTGGAAGACTCCGAACGCAAAAGCAAATCCTGCTCATCGTTAGCGTGACCTTTTGTTTCTTGCAGTCACACAGGCTGGCTTACCCCATATCAAAGCTTCGATCATTACACAAGCCATCAGAAACATCCATGCCTGAAACCCTCCGTCGACCGGTGCTAACTTTTGCTCATCGGTGGAAGATTCATCGAACTTTTCAGGACATAAGCGTATCTGTGCCTCACTCCCTGGTAGTGAGTTACTGCAAGAAGAGCGTCTTCTCTCCATAGTGGTGATGTTGAATTCCATGAGTCTGGTTGAACAGTGACATTGGACAAGAGCAAGTTCTAACGGTGAATGCTTCCATTTTAACTGCATCTATATTAAGCAACAAGAACTTTGGTCACATTGTTTGATCACTGTCAAGGAGGCCTAGCGTTCGAAGGGATGGCAAGAAATCTTGGTAAAGATCAGCCAGGTGACGGAAGGAATTTCCGTACGTATACTATGAGGGTTGGCATGCAACTTCAACGGCCGAGCGGGATATTATACACTTGTGCATCTACCTCAAACATAAATGGTAGCCCAAGAGTAACCATATCGTCGATTTTGCAATCGGGCTGGGAATCCGATGATTCACATCTAGGATATATATGCAGCTATGGAAGCAATTTGAAAAATGTGGTGTCCTAGGGTATGATAGTGAGCCCCTGCCTTGAAGCCTCGAAGAAAACAACGTTTTCTAAAGGCTGAAACTGACGTGCTTTACGTGGGGGATAGAGAGCTTACTCGGTCTACGACGGAGGATTGTAAGCGGGGGCAGCATAAAAGACGGTTAGGAACGGACATGCAAAGGGATTGGAATGTAGAGTATGATCATCGGCAAATGAGGTCGGAGACATCGGAGACTTGTGCCGATGTATCTCCTATGATATCACTCATAAAGCTCCGAGACGCAGATCATCGAACAGCCCCTTACTCGGTAAAACTCCGCGTAGTGCCACGTTAGACTAAGGATGAGCTAGGGGGCTTGCGGCTTATCATCAAGGGGCTATAAGAGCGCCAGTGGTCTCGTGTCTGATGTGACATAGCACGTAAGATGGTGCAGATAACAGCATGCCAATATATGATGCCTATGAGCCCTCGATATGATCCATGGTCATCCTTTATCGCCCAGTTTTGTTTGGTCACACTGCTAGGAGATTGTGAGAGCAGATACTAGATTTGGACAGTGCAGGATTTGAATAATGACATATGGGTTTCAAGAGCATGGACTTGGATACATACTTCCGAAAACTTTGAGTACAATTTCCATGTGACAGAAAATCAATACTGTAGATTACTCCGGGGAAAAATGAGTATCTTCAGAGTTCGTCTGACTTGTTTCATTATGTTGAGTCTGTGGACAACGATGAGGAAAGTACTCTGTCGACTCACATCTGCCGACAGATGAAAGGGGCTAGTTCTGATGCACTGGATACTTTGTAAAAATAAGCCTGTAATCTTGTATATTCAAATCTAATGCGCCACACTATGAGTGGAAGATCATTCCTTGATCCAAATGCTGGCTCCTCAGTTAGCGAGCCAGATGTTCTGGTCTGTGCCATAGCCAAATGGAATCCAAGAGTCATTGAAGTATCTCTGTAGCACAGTTTGCTTGTAGTCCATATCATCAACACAGTATCCACCTCCACTAGGACCGATATGCGGACAATGCACCTCGGGCCGATACTGCACCATATGCTCGTGAATCTTTCGGCATAGCAATGTGTTACGACCCAGCTCGTATGGTTTTCCGAGTCGTAAGGTTTTGGTCATAAAGTCATAACAACTTTGGTGGTCATTATATTGCTTGTTCGATCCCGTGCAGTACTGTTCGTGTGAATTACAGACGGTGGTGGCTAGCAAATCAGTAAAATAGGCGACAGCCTGGTCGGGCGAAGTGGCGTTTATTTTCTTTGCCACTCCATCAAGCAGGAAATCAAGCAAGTAGGCAAACCAGCGGAATGTCACGTCGTACTGTGTCATCTTGCCATCTTCGTTGTACATCATCCATGTGTCGATCGTCACTGGCAGGAGAACGCCGAAACCGGTTGCGTTGAAGGTGACCACCGCTGTCGCGGCTACGATGTTGTCATTTGCGGTAAACTGGGTGATGTTATACGCTATCGGGATACCGACGATGCTGAAATGGTTTGGATCTGAGAATAGACCAAAGATATATTCACGGTTTAGCTCGTCGCCATCGAAGGTGCGGGTGGCGTCGACACGACCTTGAACCTGTATTGTGTTCGATCAATGGGCCTAGACATGAAAGCGGAATAAACTCACATCTGGAGTAAAAATAGTCGATGCATTGCCTTGTGTCTGTTTGAGATTTTCCGGGTAGAGAAAGGTGTCCCAAAAGTTCTTCTGGAGTTCCCAGAGCTGGTCAAACGTGAAGGTCGGTCTCACATGGCGATCTGAGGAATCCTTGGCTGACTCAACGGAAGCAAACAAACATGAAGATATAAGTGCAAACAAAAACCTCCATTGACTATGTTGAAAATGCATGGTAGTTATTTCGGGGTGGGATTATCTGGTTGGACTGACGCAGGGGGAGGTCTTGGTCCTTGTGTGCGAAGGGCTTGGTTCTTATGAGGAATCTCACTAGTGACATTCCGTTTTCGATGTGAGGCATGTCAAATTCAGTATGATCGACAATCCCGTGCCGAATACCGGCTGAGGTATATTTGTTTTTCTATCTCACCCTCTTCCACACTCACCGATTGGCCGTCAGTTTCTCGTGACAATATATTCGAAATCAAGAGATCAATGGATCATATTGCTCGGCCTGTTGCGTGGTGAGAAATACGAACTCAAAAATCATGAGGCTTGCCATCCCATATTTGTATTGGGCTGGCTGATCACCCAGCCGCTCTCGGCCTTGGATGCACTCGATGCGAACAACCTCTCATTCCAAACATGGAAACGGATTTTACTGCAAGAATTTCATTTTTATACTACCTTCTATCTATCTTGCTTGTTAAATATAGGGTAGTAGTCACAATTACAAGCAAAATCAAGTCCACTATCGAGCCACCTAAATTGTATCAACCCGCCTAACAGATATCCAACCTACATTGAGGCTAACAAATCCTGGAGCTGCGAAGCAACAGAATCTTGAATCTCCGGGTAGTCTAATAGAGCCCTACCCAGTTCAATCAAGGTATTCTCAATAAAATCACACACCCGAGGAAAGGTCGTCTGGTAGAAGCCAGGGCATGCGCCAGTGACGAATTCATGGTGTGGAAGATACACCGAGATATCAAACGCCAGTCCTTTGATCTTGCGCATGGATCGAGCCATGCGAATGATTTTCTCGCTCACTAATTGCTGGTGGCCTGGATGGTTGATCAGGATATCAATCTGACACATGACTTCTGATCGGAACTCGCCGAGCTCTTGTATGTAGGTTGGCATGAGATTCTCGACCCAGCCGGGCGCAGAACTATCCCACCAAGCCATCGTTTTTTTTTTTTTTTTCCTTTGGAGATAAGTAGTTGAGTGAAACTGAGATTATGTATGGAGGCGTAGATAGACCCCGGATTGATGATGGTTTGCTACTTCGAGAAGGACGGGCTATGTGGTATTTATGTTTGTTTGCTATAATCAATGGAAAAGACTGCTCAATACTATGTTTATTGACAATGAAAGAAGCAACATTTACAAAGCGTAATCCATGTGTTCATTGTTCCGGCTCCTGTCTTAGGTGAAACGCGCCCGACGACACTGTCTCTTGAGAATAGTCATCTCTAAGGATAAAGCCACACGAAACATGACAAAGACGCACGTTTGATAATAGACGTTATCGTCGCATCAAGCCTTGAATTTACTTTCTGTATTCTACGGACCAAGGTTTCACATCGAGACAAGTCGTTTCTGAACTAGAGATATGTACAAGTCAAAGGATAAGGGATAATACTACTAAGCGACAGTAAACTTTCCCTGTTCGCGAACATCCCGACTGGAGCTTCCAACATAAACGGTGAAACTACCAGCAGGCACAACCCACTTCTGACTCTGCACGTCCCAGTAGCTCAAGTCACGCCGAGTGAGCTCAAAAGTAGCCGTCTCCGGCTCTCCCGGTTGGATATTCAACTTTTGGAACCCTCGCAGCTGCTTTGGGGGAGTGCTAGGCGCTGAGTCCGGAAGACCAAGGTAGAGCTGAGCGACCTCAGCACCAGCTACGTCGCCAGTGTTTTGAATCACGACGGAGACAGTGCCGACTGATTCGAAAAGGTCCTCTGCTCCGCCAGGGACAATGGGTCCATCTGATGCTCCAGATGTAGCAGAAATACTAACCACAAGTCCCGTGTAGTTGAATGTCGTATACGATAAGCCGTAGCCAAACTCGTAGCGGGGGGTGATGTTGTTCTTGTCGAAGTGGCGGTAATCAATAAACAAGTCTTCAACGAAATTGTCGTCGAGCGCACTGTCCCAGCCAGCCCCATAATCCGAAGCCTGCTTGGCGATCGTGTAGGGAAGCTTGCCGCTTGGAGATGTGCTACCATACAGCACGTCAACCAGGGCGTTTCCGCTTTCCTGGCCTGGTAGCCCAGCCCAAACAATTGCCTTCACTGAGGGCTGCTCTAGGATAGTCTCTAGGGTAATGGGGCCCACACTGTGCACGACTACGATGACATTTTTGTTCACTGCCGCAACGGACTTGACGAGATCGTTTCCGTTGTGCCAAGGATCGAGATCATTTCTGTCGCCAGCGTGGCCCTCGACTGTGATGTAACTAGGCAGGGTGTTAGTAATTCAAATACATCACAAATGAGGTAAAAGCAAGCCTGACTTACCCTTCGCCAGCGTCTGCATTAATGAAGACCACGGCAGTCTCCGCTGCCGCGGCAGCAGAGGCAGCGGCCGTAGTTCTATCGGTCGTGCTCTCGATAATCTCCGTGCCGTCTTTTTTAGCCTGGGCCTGAATTGCATCAAGGGGAGCAATGAGATACTAATGCGACATTGTTAGTTTTTCAATTTTGCTTTGACTTGTCGGCGATAAATTTGCTTACAGGGAACTCAGATGTCCCACTGCCCCACCCCATAGCTAGCGTGCCATCGTTGCAGCCGCGGTCTGTGCATGAATTAGGGCCCTTAGGGTTGACGATAGCATCTTGTCCAATGATGGCCAAGGTCTTGGGTTGCCGCAGAGGGAGAGCAGCGTCCTCATTCTTCAACAGGACGATGGAATCACGGGCAACGGTGCGGACGACGGTCGCATGGTCCCCTGTGACGTCGACACTGGCTTTGCCTCCATCCCAGGAGCTGAAGCTCACCTCAGGATAGCCCTTATCCTGCTCGAGAAGATACCAAGCTGCCAGGATACGCGTTGCCATATCATCCACACGCGATTCAGGCACAGAGCCATCAGCAACGGCCTGCACGAGGTTTTGTCCCCAGTATTTGCTTTCGGGTGAGTTATTGAAGTCACTACCCGGCATTGTCATATCGAGTCCAGCCAAGGCACTGCCGACACCAGTGTGCTGCGCATTCCAGTCGGTCATAATGTATCCAGGGAAACCTAACTCGGTCTTCATCAGATCGTTCAGAGCCTCACTTTCACAGGCCCAAGTCTGATTCAATTTGTTGTAGGAGCACATCACAGATGCAACATTGGCCTTGACTGCGTTCATGAACGGCCATACATACAGCTCGTGCGTCGCACGGTCGCCAATGTTAGAGCTCATCGTCTCGCGATTGTGCTCTTGCTCATTCCCAAGCCAGTGCTTTATTATAGTCAGAACGGACGAAATGATAAGTAGAGTTGAGGTCGGCGTACCTTTGCGCAGGCCTGAGCGCCCGAATCTTGCATACCCTGGATTGTCTCTTCCATGGCAACTCCACTGAGATACGGGTCGACCGAGAACCCTTCCCAGTTCCTACCGCCATCGGGATTCTTTCCCAGAGGCCCGGCGACTGGTCCAAGCTGGACGTGGACGCCCAGACCTTTGGCCTCCTCGCCTATTGCAGCACCGCGTGCGTACAAGAGACTACGATCCCAAGTTGCTCCGGCATTGATACCCGCGGGGAAGGCTGTGACAGGATTGGCGTAGCGGACGCCCAAGGGCGAGTCCTGTAGACATAAGGAGGGATAGTCAATCGAGCTGACAGGATATGTGTTGCCCACGCAGGGCCCGGCTCCCCACCCGACGCCAGTGGCAATCCCGACCTTTTCGGTCAGATTTAGCTTTAAGAGGGCGGCTTGGGCTTTTGAGTAAGCTTTGTCCCAGCCAGCAGCTCCAGGGGCATAGGCATTAGCCGTGACACTAAATGCCAGAGCAGAGAGAAGGAGGTTCTGCATGATGTCCTGTGCCGTGGAGGATCGTTTCATTCTTGCCCTGGTCCAGCAGCGCAGGTGTACCCTTTATAAACCCCCCCTCCCCGGGCAGGATACTAGGGCTGTAATTCCCAGGGCATGAAACCCCCCTGGTCCGGGTGCCAAGCCAGTGCTGACTCGCAACCCATGACCAAGTTGGAGCGTTTGTTCCCTAGTCACAGAAATACAAGATGCGCTACGGGTGTAGAGCAACAAATGGGCGACCGCATCATTACAGTGAAACATGCAGGCAAATAGGGTTAGTGCAGTACGAAGTACACCAAAGGCCTCGGACCAACAGGGAACCTCCCTTTGATTGGCACGGAATGTGGGTAAACCTATTTTGCAATATAGCCTAAACTTGTTGCTTTTCAAGCCAGAATCGGCACATGATTTGGATAATTTTCTTCCCCGCAGCTCTACGCTGTCTGGGGAAATTTCCGTCGACACTCCGTCGCTTCCCGTGTATGGGGCACTCCCTAAGGAGTAGGGACAGTGACTATCACCATGTCCTTCACCATAGTTCGGGGCTAGATCAGAACAGTATACGGAGTAAAGGCCGAATCAACAAGGGAAATCAACGTCATATCCTGCTTGGAATGTGAAGGATCACACAACCTTGAGCGAAGACGGAAGGAGTAACAACCTTTTGCGACCCCTTGGTGCCTTGCTGCCTGAAGTGAAATGTAGACACCCCAGGCGCCAACCTCCGATGACTGATGGCCGATAGCATAAGGATCAATTTCAGACTTGCGATCTAGTTAAACGGAATGGATCTCGCAGTGGCGGAATAGGTGAAGTCGACAATGCACGAGGTAAGTAATGCATAGAAGGGGTGGGTGGAAATAAACAACTATCGCATTTTCCTACTATCATATGATAACGCGAGTACCTTGTTTAAGGTGAATGCAGTAAGTATCAAGACCATTCAGGGAAAAAAACGTCAAATAAATAAACCGACTATAAATTGATTACTACTGCGAGTATGATGGAGCATAGCAAGTGAGGGTTTTGACCAGGATATAGATGGAAGCCTTTTTCAAGGGAAAAAAAAAGGTGTCGACAGCGGTGTGATTCGAACACACGCTCACGAATGAATAGCATATCGAGGAACATGAAATCCATAATTCGAGTGCTACGCCTTAACCGCTCGGCCACGCTGCCATTGGTGGAGTAAATTGCAGTTTTTGGTTATATGTCCCAATGACAATGTGATCCAAAGCGGATAGCAAATTTACAACACAACATTCATTGTCGACTATTCAACAACTACCAAATTTGCGTTTTTTTTGGATGCAAATACACTATTGCACCATGCCAGATGTCTTCCTGAGCCGCAATCCAATAGCTTCTATGGAAACATATATAAGAGTTACAGGTACTATTTCCCTTTTTAGAGCCAAAAGTTCTCCCAAAACATTACCCATTTGTCCTAGGTAACCATGCCAAGCGCCCAACACACCACCCTGTGTTGGTGCGCCCCACTAGATTCAAATTTCTCACAAGATTCAAAATTCTCAATTTATCAACCATTAAAATGCTATCTACAAAGGTACCCCCGTACTATCTATATGCCAATTTCTACCATTACTATCTCTTGCCGCTATTGATACTTCATACTCGTTTTGAGCTAAATTGCTCGCTAATTGGGTGTCCTATTAGGCTTACAAAAGCTTGGCTTATCGGGCTTATAGCCGAAGCAACTTCTTCGCCTTAGTATCCTACCTTTTCGCTATCATCCTATTTACGCAAATAGGTGATAAGGCCGAGCCCTAAGTCCTAAGAAGTGATTTCCCATTTATTGGCCTATTTACTGCTGATTTATAGAACCAAGAGCTCTTTAAACTCTGCTTCACTAGATCAAGCTACTAGGATAAAAGGGTATTTACCTATATGCTTCGCTGGATATACCTCTTGAAATCCCGAGATAGATCCTCTAGCTTCTCAATATTATTGATATGCTTATGATTAAGCTTATTTACCCACTTAATTGTATCTAGCGGGGAGTTAGTGACTAAGCTTGGGATATTAGGGGGAGGGGGGGGCTGTTGACAGGAAGGTGATTTGATACAGAGCATAGTCAAATCGAATACTCGATTTCAAAACCACTTTACTATATAGGGGATAGCGTAAAAATAGGAGGTGAAAAACTTTTGATATGCACCTCTGTACCGCTCACACACTGACGATCTGTCTCTTGGGCCGTACCCGAAACTGCGCTGTACATCAAGGTAAGGCGTAAATAATCTTTTTCTCATAATAGACCATCTCATGATTTCAGAGCGACCGCTTTACGTATAATATCGTATCTTGCGTCTTACGCGACACCTCTACTCACTCTTACCTCACTGCGCCTCCGTACCCTGACGTTTCGTTATTCACAGCAACCACTACACCTATATAGTAGACTTTTTCATTTGTATTGGAGTTCCGTTGCTCATGTTTGTCCACCGCTGCCACGAACTTTATCCATCATTATGGCTCAGGTTCAAGGCCACTGCGACGCCCGGTTTTCCAAGTTGCGCGACTTAATGCAAGAATTCATCGCTTCCGGACAAGACATCGGTGCCAGTCTGTGTATTAATATCAACGGCGAAGATAACGTGGTGGACATATGGGGAGGATATGCCGACGCGTCGGCCAAGAAACCATGGGAAAAGGATACGGTGGTGAACGTCTTCTCAACCACGAAACTCGTCACCAACCTGGCGGCACTGATGCTGATCTCGCGTGGTATGCTCCGCCCTGAGGACAAGGTGGCGCAGCACTGGCCCGATTTTGCGGCGAACGGGAAGTCCGAGGTCACAGTCGGCCAAATATTATCCCACACAGCTGGTCTCAGCGCGTGGCAGGACAACATGACACTGGAGGACATATGCGACGTCAAGAGAGCAACCGAAAAGCTGGCGCGCCAGGCAACGCTGTGGGATCCCGGAACCGCAATGGGATATCACGGTTTGACGCAGGGATTCCTCGTCGGGGAGCTGGTGCGGAGGAAGACTGGGATGTCCATCGAGAAGTTCGTGGAGGAGGAAATTTGCCGGCCACTGGGCGACGGGACGGACTTCCAATTTGGTTGTCGCAAGGAGGACCGGAGTCGGGTGGCCCCTGTCGTGCCTCCACCGGGACCTTCGATCCAGGAGGTGCTTAGTCAGGTAGGATATGAGCAGGACTCGATCGTTGTGCGCACGCTTTGTAACCCCTTTCCCATTGCCGAGGACGCCAAAACTGTACTCTGGCAGTCCAGCGTGTTAGGCTCAGTCAACGGCCACACGAACGCCAGGGCATTGGTCAAAATCCTTTCCTGCTTCTCGCTCGGCGGTACATGTGCGGCAGGTGGCCATCGCCTATTGTCGGCGGAGACGGTGAGACTGGCGTTTACGGAGCATGCGAGTGGGATGGACTTGGTGACGGGCCGTAGCGGGAGGCGCGGACTTGGGATCTACCTCACCGGACCTGGGTCGGGGATCGCCGAAAGCAAGCTGCCGGAGGGCAGTGTTGGATGGGGTAGCGGATGGGGCGGTTCGATCGTGGTTATGGATAGCGACAGGAGGCTCACAATCGCGTACACGATGAATAGGATGCTGAATGAAGAACATCCTTCCCCGGCAGCGTATATTCAGGCGGTTTATGAGATAGTTAAGGAATTGATTTAGCTGCATAGGATCTAGATGGCTAGATCTTATTTCAAAATTCACATATTTCTGAACTTGGTAGCAAGCATACTAATTAACTAATCTGTCAAGATCAGACCCACCAAACGGGGGCCAAATTAACTTCACGGGAGCCGTCTCGGTACGTAAATAAACCTTCGGCTAGGGGCACTCTTTACTAACTGAGGAAAGCTTACTTCGGCTTTTTCTTTGTAGTAAGGACTCAGGAGACTGAAACTACCACAACAATCGCCGTGCTATCGATCCTGACCCTCTCGTTGCGGTTGACTTTCCCACCAAGGAGATTTTGTAGCCTCTCCAGGAGTAACCGCCGGTAGGCGCTTGGGCCCAAAACTCGGTCTTCTTCCGTATCCTTAACCACGCCTTACTTCTATGGGTGACACGCCATTCTAGTTAATTAAGTAGTGGATATAGCTTGGCGGATCCTCGTCGTAGATTCTATCCGTATCCCACTCAGATTCCTGGAGCAGAGGTATAAAAATTGGTTGAGGCCAGCCTGCAGGCTGCAACGTTGGGCTCTTCATCGGGCAATACAAAGGTAAGAGTAGAACTGCGACATCGCCCGTCCATGGGGACTAGGAAGTGCCCACGGCCCGTGGGCCTTTTGAAATTTGACGCCCATCGCCCACCTTATGCAAAAATAATGCAAAAATTATCCTATTAGGCTATTTTATATGGATAACTAGTTCTTGGCAATAATCACCTTGCCAGGAGTGCCCGCATATGTCTTGGCGACGCTAAAAGTGTCTCAAATTAAATGGGCGTTTTCGCAGTCTAGTAGGACTTAATAGATATCTCTTTTAAATTAATACCGCTAAGATAGATTAATATACATACGGATAAGTAAGAGAGACTATAAACCACTTTCTGTTTCGATATCGAAAGTGGACTACGTACCGGATAGAGATACTGTAATATATCCTTCTTCTTAAGAGGGAAGTTACCCTACGATAATCAAAAGTGAAAGCCGACTTTAGAAGTAGTACGAGCCTCAATACGATTTACTATCGCTATAGGCCGACTTAATGCTACTTAAACTAGCTAACGAATAGGTAAAATACCTCTTCTAACTAACCCCTAACACCTAATGCCAGACAGTAGACACGCTTCAACTATCGAAGATAGGATGTTGAACACTTAAAGAAGCGCCTTTAAGCCAATCTACTCACCAATACTAACCAATAGGGACCAATTATGAGATTGAAAGCTGAGAAGTTAAATATAGGAGGAAATACTATATGGGCTCCAAGGAGACCCAAACATGTGTGTATTGGTAGATTAGTGATAGTTGCCCTTTCGGCTCAGCCGCCGTTAATGAATTGTGTGTGTGTGTATGTGTGTAGAGTCAGGGATACTATATGCCGTAATTCTTACGGGAAAGTACAATCACTCCCATTAAGGGGGAAGAGGAAAAGAAAAGCAGATATTTGATATAGCAATAATTCAAAATATGACAAGGCCCCTACGCGTAACCTAGAGGAAGATCTTACCGATTACAGTTTCGTACATCAAGTGGATTGAGCCGAGATTCTGAGTCAAAAGCAGATCGCAAGATGCACCTTTTTTGGTCATCCACGTTCCTGCTAGTCGCGTGACAAGAGGTATAACGTTGGAATTAGAGTCATAATAGCACTGGATATAGCTAATTGGTATATATGCCGTCTACACCTACGGGTACGCAGTGATACGTGGACCTTTCCAACTCCTATCATTTGGTCCTATGGGACCACTCCAATATGACTAAATAGTGCCCTGTTTAGAGCCCCCGAGAGCAATCTTCATTAAAAGATTTAGTAAACATACAAACTGGACCAGTTATCAAATCGTCAGCGGTCTGCCTTTTAGCAAAGAGAAGAGTATTAATCTACAACGTAGACATAATGCCCTTAAAAAACTCCCTACATAGATGTTTCAAGCTAACGCGTGGAAGACCAAGTGTGTAAAAATTCTTCTTCTTGGGTACCTTGCGTAAAGAAAGGTGTATAGAATCATCAATCGACATTACATAGTGTCTCATTTTCATCGGACTATCAACGAATACCGATCATTGCCGAGAATTGAGTGCGCTGATTCACTACGAACATGTCTATAAAACCCTAATCATAGCCTTACATGGGAGTATACCACTCACCCAGATCCATATTCAATTGTAATACAAATCAAAAAGTAAAAGACATGATATCGGCGGAAATAGCAGCGAAGTAGACAAAAGCTAGAAACGATATGAAGTGAAGCTTTGTCAAATAGATTACACAGTGCCCACTCTACTGTAGCTCAAGGTGCGGTCGCGCCTGCCTTGTTGCTAACTCCTGCGGAGGCCTTTCCTCCTTAGGCATAGGGAGAGTTGCCCCTCGCTCTGACAGTGCACCGTTTTGTTGCGACGATGGGGTATAAGCCTGAGTATGGCCTGAGCTGGTAACAGACCTACTCTGTCGTCGACGGAAGAACCAGAAAGTTGCGATGATTCCAAAGACGAGAGGAATCCCCACGCCTAGGCCGACGCCGAGACCCACGCCGAGGTTATTATGGCTCTCACTTTTCCCTGTTGACCTAGGCGGCGCTGCAGTTGGAGAATTCGATTGGGTACTTGTAAGCGTGCTTGATGGGGAGATCGCGGATGCAAGTACAGGGTGAAATGATTTGAGTGAGAAGGTGGTTGTGCTATTGCAACTGTAGCTGTGGTAGCCTTTGCAGACAAATTTGCCCTTGCCGCAAATATCGACACCGTTTCCGCCTTCGGGGGGTCTAGATAAATAAATTAGTTATACTAGTTTAGAACTGGCCATCAATTGGTATTTAGGCTCCAAACGGGCTCCCTACCCTGTGGGACAGTTTCTGCGCAGTTTGAGGGGCACGTCGGAACCGAATTGTTTTTCCAATCAGGATGGGTGCAGGTGTTTTCCCAGTAGCTCGTTGTACCATCTTCGTAAATATGCAGACAGAGCCCGTTGCTTATACAAATTTCCTCATCTGAACAACAATGGGCGGGGGTCCCATCTGCCGAGCATGGAGTTCGACTAGTGTCCGGGGATCCATCATAATTGTAGCATTTGGCCATTGTATTCGTCTTCAAGGCTTGAAGTTCGGGAGGCCTCTTGGAAGGTATTCGGGGCTCGGAGGTTAAAAAGGACGTAATAAGGATCGAGTTGGAGCAGGTGCTATTTCAATTCAATCGTTCACACGGATTGCTAGTGGGTCAGGCGGCTTCCGCCCCCAGGAAGATGGGCGTGAAAGACAAGCAAACCCAAGCTGTGCTGATTCGTCCAGGCAAAGAGACATGGTTTTTGATTCGGAGGGCTTGCAGCTGCCCAGGCTCTAAAGGGGTCCACGTGTGCGTGCGCTCTTTCTTTAGACACACACTATACCTATTGCAGCTAATATGCCCCGGACCCCTTTTCTTGGCAGATTTTCGGTGGCTTGGTAAATGACGGCATATCAAAAGAGCCGGATTAGTCTCATACCGTCTGAGGGGTGTCTGGGACAGCTTTTCCGCAGAGAAACTAGAAAGAAGCGCCAATCGTAAGTATACTGACTATTTGACCAAAACTTTAGATTGCCGAGGTATGATGAAAAAGAAGACCATATGCTCGACGAGTAGATGAGATCAATTTGTAAAAGAAATTATGGGACACTTGTCAAGCGATTTGACAATACATTAGGCGAGATAGGGGCAGTGCACTGGAGACACGGGAAGCAGGCCCTCGTATGCGAATCAGCCTTATGATAGTGGCTTTGAGGTTTGGTTTGGTTTGGCTGGATACCATAGGCATATATATACCTTATGCCTGATATAGATCAACCCTAGCAAACAGTAGGACATGGGACCATGTTTTGGCAGTATAGATAGGTTGCCAAAGTCCTATTCCTTCTCGCTTTCTCTTTCTCCCCAGTCTAGGTTTAGATAGAGAGTATCATCAATACCTTGATCATCAGGTTTTGATAGATGACAATTGTAAGGGAGTTACGCGGTCTGTTATGCGCCGGCTCACATAAAGCGGTGCTGCTGAGCTGAAGAGCTGACGTGGGTAACGCATAATAAATGTCACATTTATGCTAAGCGTCTGCCCCCATCAAAGACAAACGGACTTGCCGGTCCTCTAACGCTTCCACAGCTTAGCTTCAATTGCTACATAGTATTTGAATCCATATTGGAATTGATTCGAAGCTCGCGATTACTTCCTGGTGGATCTGCTAGATTTCCACGAGAATCAGGATATTCTCTAACAGTCAGACATGCCTATAGAAACGTGGACCATACACTAGTAGCCGGAAAGTACAACATATCACCGGTAATTCGAACCTCTCTCGCCAACTCATATAGCAATGGCATTTCCTCGTCAGCGGACGTAACCTCCAAGCCCCTCGGCAACATCTGTCATCTTGAAGGACCCCATGCTTTAGTTTTTGTTGCACTGGTATGCTTCAAGGTTGTTGATCCAATCATCCTTGAGTCTCTTCTTCCCAGGGTAGTCTACTGGGTCCGTGCCATGATTGGGTCTTGACATATATTAGCTTCTATGCTTAGCAGACACGGGTGAGAACTCACGATCCAAGCTGGCAGTTATAACCCTTGGTACCAATTTTGAACGAGCCGACATTTTTCCGATATTCTTTTCTGATATCGTGAGGCTCACCGGGCTTCTTGCATTCTTTATAGCAGCCACCTCCCCAGTTGTAGCCGTGGCATATTTTGACATCAACGCAATATTTGGCGCGCGTCTCCAGGTCTGCAGCCTCCGCTGTGATTGATTAAGATAAACTCGCAATGGGTATTCTTGAAAGTGAGGTGGGGGCTTACCTGCAGGTGCCGCAATTGCCTGGGATGTAGCGAATGCCATCAAGACAAAGACCGGTGTGAAGACTTTCATATTTGCTAGTTGAATAGGATTTTTCGATGCTTGTGGGAGATAGGTGGGTTGCAATACTAGTCGGATTAGAGATGTCCAGGTAAGTATTTATATACTTCAAATGTGATATATAGTTCAGGCCACCCATGCAGAGTAGTAATAGAGTCGATCCGGGGGTTTCCTAAAATAAATCACTGGGCGCCTTGAACTAACCACATATGCCAATGATCCCCCTACAACCCGTCTTAGCTGCCTTTCTTCCCGCTCTCTCACTTTTTCATTATGTATCCGTCACTCTTTTTTGCACTCATTGCCGCCCCTTTCTTTTACTCTGACCCCCGCTAGCTATTACGTGTTTGCTTTTAGCCCGACGCACTGCCCACCTGCCCCCTTTGTTTTTTGACTAGAGATGCAACACGAACCGACATTCAACTTGCAATGCCTGTCACCTGGAAGCATAACCACCGCGATGTTACGAAGCTGTCTAGGTCGACTTCTCTGCTACACCATTCTCAGTGAGCGTCACTCACTCATTCCACCGGCCTCTATCACATCTGCAAAGTTCCTGCATGCTCTCTTGGGTGCCGCATGCCCCGCCCCATCCGCCCTATCTGAGGGTACATGTGCACAGCCCCTAATATTGCAGAGCGACTCTCCCTTGCCTCGTCGCAAAGTCCCTGGCGCTCAGTTGTTGTCATCGTCAATGGGCGACTAAGCATGCCCCTTGAACTAACTCTTCTATTGGATACTGGCCGACCCCCACTTTCCACCGCCCCCTTGAAGTATGTATATGTTTTACTGATTTGAATCTATTCTTTATTTTATACCCCAGATACCCCGCTCAAATCTATTGGATACCTCTCTTTCACTGTAGTCGCTTCACGTCAACCGTTAAACACAGTGCACGCTTACCTTTGTATATGAATATTTAAATCATATACTAAGGGTAGCTGTCAATAGCGGTATAGATCTCGATTCCAAAGGGTTCTAGTATAGCAGTTTCGTTCCAATATTCTACGGCTACATCAATCAAATGGATCCCATAGCACTATACTACTTTTCAACATTTCCCCACAGCCAAGCTAAATCCGAGAGCAATATTACGAAAATACTTCCCTTATGCAGAAGAGTTAAATTGCGTGAACTACTCGGATGCACCATATCCCTATGCAATTGAGGGCATGCACGAGATACATAGGGCGGGCGTTCACCATCACGACATTTACCCCCGAAACATCCTTCCTGTTCGTGGAAGTCAGGATAGACTTGTCCGGACTGACTTTGATGTTGCAACGACCTTCACTGGCTTTGGACCTGAACAGCTGGTCCGCTGCGAATATGAAATTGCGCTTGTGAAGCGTTCTGGGGAAGCACTGGTAAGGGTTTCGTTACTGCCTATTTTGTAAGCATTTAGTTTGCTGACTGACGAATGCAGAGAGATGACCCGGCTGAGGGGCTCCCGCCGAAAACAAAATTTTGTTGTTAGTTTCATGGGCTAGTAGACATTCGGGCAGTGTTTGATCGCGTTCATGCATTCTTGTAATAGATATGAGTTGGGGCGGAGTTTTGCTACAAATCAATATACTGCAGATTTGTCTTGATACAGTAGAATTCAAAAACAGTTTACCCTGTGAGCTCTCACTGGGCAGCAGACCTCGCCAGGCTGCCGGGATAATGGGTTTATACCTTCTCGTGGTGTCCGGTCTCAATTAAAACCAAAGTGAAAAAATTGATGGTTATCGCTTTGAAAAGAGGAAAAAGGACTTCTCCTAAACAAGTTGATTTATGATATCGTGAAGATCAACTAATGAATAATTGATCCCTTCTTCTAGGGGACATTTTCTAACACGTCCCCTGTTGGGTTTGGAGAATAGCGTATGTTGTAGCTAATGACACCAATTTCTGGAAGTACTGTACGGAGTACCCAGGGATTATATCATTTTATGAATGGACGGTATTCGACCCCTTACTTCCGGTGGAATAACCAATATCCGAAATTGCATATGAGACAGGATGTCGAAGCTCATTTTTAGACCGAGGAATTGTGTAGATGCCAAAGGTCTATGTTGTACTTACTCTATGAGCAACTTATAAACCAATGTTACCACTGTCCAGGTCACATAAGGAAGGGGTCAGGCGGCGCTCATGCGCCCGTCGCGCGACCCAGAGTGATTCTCACCCTGATTTTCACCCTATCTATAGCGCACTCACCCTTGTCCACTCCCGGTCGCGCGACCGTAAAGCGGTGCTCACCCATTTCTCAGGCGACACCCACCTGACTACTGGCCGTACTTGACCCACATGCCGGTGAGTTAGTAGTTGGGTGGGTGACTACCAGCGAATCCTCACTGTTGTGTGTTTTTGTGCTTTGTTTTCTTCCCTTATTTTTTCCAGTCCAAGACGCGCATGTTAGTTAGATGCGTTGGCTCATGAAACGTTTGAATTGCGATTTCTGGAATGTGCTTGTCAACTTGTATACTTCCATGTATCCTTTCAAGGTTGAAGAATCCTGATCATGTGACGGAAACGTGACGTCGTGGTTGGTGGAAGGTCTGGGCCGTGGAAAAAGCCACAGCCAAGCCTGCTTAAGTGATGTAGTAGACCTGGTTCTGTGGCAAAACCGAACCCTGATTTTTTAAAGGCGCCGGTAGCCATGTCTCATTCTCTGGGACTTAATTCCACCACAATTGTTGCCCATGGCTGCGATCATAGCCCCTGGCGCGCAGTCTCGCTATCGGCTGGCTTATGAGCGAGAATTTTACAAGTATGACCTTGTCTCTTCATTGAAGACGGGCGAAAGATGAATCTGGCTGATGACGTCATTTATAGATACATCCCGCGCGAGCATTCGACGTCGCACTATGCCCCCTTCGACCGTGCCAGTGGCGATGACTTTACGCCCCAGCCATCTCGAGATTCCGCCTTGACTGCCTATGCCCAGTTAGCAGCAATTCGGCTGGACACCGACCGAGCCTTTATCTCCATGTTTGACCGCACCCATCAACACGTGTTGGCAGAGGCCACTCCGACTTTGAGTCTCATTGGTGGCCGCGTCGCAAATGAGCCTGAGCGATTAGTACTGGGATGCTGCGTATTGCCAAAAGAGAGAGGTATTTGTCATTATGTTGAGTCAACGCCATCTGGAGAACATCAGAAGGATGATTCAGGTGTCAATGATGGCACATTGGTCGTCCTGGATGTGTCCAAAGATAAGCGTTTCAAGACCTCCGATTTGCAAGCTGCGCTGTCCGGGGTGCGCTTCTATACGGCAGTTCCCATTATAAGCCCGCGGGGTCTCAGGATTGGTGCTTTAAGTGTGATGGACAGCAAGGCGAGATCATCTGGTCCCAGTCAACACTCTCTTCAATTCATGAAGGACATGGCAGCGACTGTGATGGAGCACTTAGTAATGAAGGAAACAACACTAAAAAGCCACCGAGCCGAACGAATGATCGTTGGACTGGGCAGTTTTGTAGAAGGCCGGTCCACACTTCGTGACTCATGGCACGAGGCCCACGCACAACATGCTGCATCAGAGAGGTCCGGGCAGTCTACAGAGGGTCAACTGGATATCGAGCAACAGGACCTGCAAGAGCTTGCCAAGGAGACAGGCCAGAAAACTCTTGCCATCCGAGAATCATCAGAGAGGGTTGAGAGCCCTCCGATGGAAGACTCGTCAACCTTGAGGCATCAGTCAAGGAGCTCCGGCCATAGAGCACAGCACAGCCAGGAAGACAACCATATCAAACAGCGTGGACTGGAGTTTTCTCAAGAAGACAGCTCTGTGCGAGCTGTCCTCGCAGGTGATAGCTTACGAGACGACTCTCTCCCAAATAGCATCAGAAACGTCTTTTCGCGTGCAGCGAACTTACTAAGGGAGTCAATCGGAGCGGAGGGCGTCATGTTCCTTGATGCAAATAGTCAGCGCTTTGGAAGCCTTGTCGACAAAACCAAGCGTAGAGTGTCGGGATTCAATTCCAATGGTCACACGTCAAGCAGTGATGAGAGCACCAGCTCGGGATCATCGTCTCGGCGACACATTTCCGACACTGAACAAACTTCCGATCCCGATCACCCAGCGATATCTGAGTGCTTAGGATTCTCAAACTCTAGAGTGTCAAGTATCAATGACGAGCAAAGATCTGGTGATGCAATTTTGGTGCCAGAGCCACTCTTTACCTCGCTGATTCGCCGATACCCACGCGGGAAGATATTTACTTACAACGCTCAGGGATCGGTCTCAGAGGACAGTGACCGTCGATTGCAGAAGTTATCTGGGTCCGAAAACGAGGGGGGCGCTACTGCCGAGGAGCATCGGCCATCTAGCAAACGGAGAAACAAGCCACGCTCTAAGCATCATGCTGATGATCTGATCAAAATCTTTGCTGGTGCTAGAAACATTCTCATTTTGCCGATATGGGACTCAGACCGAAGGAGATGGTTTGCTGGAACGCTGATTTGGACAAATGAGCCAGATCGTATCTTCACGACGGAAAACGAACTCGTCTATACTTCTGCTTTTGCAAATAGTATCATGGCTGAAATTCGCCGAGTTGACGTGGAGGTAGCCGAGAAGTCCAAAACAAACCTGATCAGCAGCATCACGCATGAACTGCGGAATCCTCTTCACGGGATCCTAGGTACAGCCGATATTCTGAGTGACACGGCCATGAATGCCCTCCAGCATGGTATGGTGCATACGGTGGAGTCCTGTGGTCGCACTCTACTGGATACCATCAACAGTCTGCTTGACCTTACATTCATTGATCAATACAGGAAAGGCGATACTTCTCAAAAGGGAAGGCGCAGGAAGAATTCGAGCCTAGCGCGAAGTATGCCTCTCGGTGCAAAGTCATCGATCTCGCAAATTGAGCTGGATGCGGTCCTTGAGGAAGTCGTAGAGTGTGTTTTCGCCGGGTACTGCTTCTATAATAACCCACAGACGCCTCCCCCAGCCCTGGCAGAGTCTTCATCGCGGTCCGCTGGACAACCACGCAAGGCGGAACCTGTTGGTCCTCAAGCCAGTCAGGTCACGGTTATCTTTGACATTGAGCCAGACACGGAGTGGGACTTCGACACCCATGCTGGGGCCTGGAGACGAATCCTCATGAATATCTTTGGCAATGCGCTCAAGTATACACAGTCAGGATACATCTATCTCGGTTTGAAATCGTCCAAAAGCTCCACTAAACACTCAAGGAACTCTTCCGGAAAGCAAAGAGGCGTCTTTGATGTGACTATCACCGTGAAAGATACTGGAAAGGGCATTGGACCGGCATTTTTGCACAACGACCTTTTCAGCCCATTCAAGCAAGAGGATCCTCTGGCATCTGGCAGCGGGCTAGGACTGAGTATCGTGCGTCAGGCTGTTGCATTCCTCGGTGGCTCAATTGAAATTCAGTCTACCAAGGGATCGGGCACGCAAATCTCGATTCAAACGCCACTGATCAAGTCACTCACAAAATCCGATACTTCTTCATCGAACTCCTTCCTTTCTTTAAGGAAATACACCGAAGAAAAGACGATCGCGATTTTAGGCTTTGGAAAGTCCCTCCGTTCGCAACGCGACACGGCTTTGTATTCCTCATTGGAGCGGGTGTGTCGCGACTGGTTTGGTCTGAAGGTGACCAATCTGTCGCCTTTAGAAGGGAAACACAAACCCTATGACTTTTACTTGGCTGTCCAGACGGAGTTGGATTGTGAGGACACAGGAGGGAGGAATATCTTCGATCTCGCTCGCCACTTCGATACAGGAGACAACTGCACCTCGCCGGTCATTGTAATCTGTCAATCGCCCGAGGAAGCTCACCGCATGTTTGTTGCGTCTAAAGGCCGGAGTGGAACGGAATTCTTCGAGTTTGTGAGCCAGCCTTGTGGACCTCGAAAAATAGCCCGAGCCATGAATATGTGCATAAAACGACAGCGTGATCGAGAGAGCGGACGCCGCGGCAGTGAAGAGCCGACTCGTTGGGTAGAAGTACCTCAATCTTCCCATTTACCAGTCGACATCGAAGCCAGTGATTCACCCGAGGATAGAATGAAGATCAGCAAGCGTCCGACTGCAGAAACTATGGGTACAGAGGAAGATAACAGTCTACTCTCTCGATATCTAGATCGCCCAGGCGCGGATCGAGAGCATGCCCTTTCGCCAGCGCTACCTTCCAAGTCTGAAAAAGATACCCCAACGATGGTAAAACCGTCTGTCTTATTAGTGGATGATAACGATGTTAATCTCCAGTTATTGTGTGCCTACGTTCGTAAAAGTGGCTTTGAATACAAAACGGCCAAGGACGGAGCGCAGGCAGTTGAGACGTACAAGGCTCATCCTGGATTATTCAAAGTTGTCATCATTGGTATGTTCAGCCAGAATCGCTTTTCTTCCCTGTTTCCTTTCACTCCACGCCTCGCTCCCTCTTGTTCAAAGTGTGATGCTGATCGTAATAAGATATATCAATGCCTGTTATGGATGGATTTGAGGCATCACGAGAAATCCGACGCTTAGAAAAAGATCACATTGCCGGGATGTCCGAATCAGAACAACAAATATATGAACCGACAATCATCGCTGCTTTGACTGGTCTTGATAGTGCCGGTGCTCAAAAGGAGGCACTCGGTTCTGGCATCAACACTTTCCTGGTCAAGCCCGTCAAGCGAGCAGAGTTGCAGGCTATCTTAAAGCGCCAAGTTTGAACAGACACACCATATCATCAGACTGAGGACTGGCCACTCCCTAACGCAAGGCTATTTGTGGCTCACTCGTATGCGAGACCTTGAAATTTGTTTTGGTGTTTTGAAGAGCATTGGATTGAACGTGGGGCGAGACTTTCTTTCCGTGATCAACACGGCGATACCCAATAGCTCGTTCCCACCCTTGGGACCCACCGTGAATCAACAACGCTTCTCACAAGTTCCTTAAAATCAAATATCCCTAGCTCATTTTAGACTCTTACCCTCTAAACCATGTCTAGTTTATCGCTATGTAGGATGAATCGACCACTTCCTCACGACGAGAGGATTTGTACATTAATCCACTAGGGCCAAATTGAAGTAACTTGATTCTGTTCACAACGGCATCAATTTACACTTTTCGTTGCTGCTCTACTCACCAAAATCCATCATGGCTATATAACTCAGCGTTTGATTATCCTTAATACTTATCTTACTCCTGATGAAGTGAGGCTGGAGTGATAAAATTGTAGGAGAATGGGCCTTCGTCTATATTAGCTAAATATTCGTCGGAAAGCCCTAAGGACTAATCAGATCGGCGAGCCAGTCATGCCCGAACCGTGGGTGCTGACTACTTTGAATAAAGATGTATGTTTTATGCCCTGGTAGATAGATCCACGCTCTAGAATTAGTAGATTATCTTCAGCATGCAGATACATTCACATGTACGTGGTATGCAAGATCGTTAATCATATCCACTTCTACTTCCACTTCTGTACTTCATATCTTACCTTAGCGTAGGCGGTGGCGTTATGGCTCCATTCCTCTTATCCCTGACAACTGTACATCGTAGTCTGTTGGATCTAAACAAGACCATTGGCTGAATTCCAGATATCAAGCCATTTGTCGCTAGAAGAATTCTGCCGTCCAGGCAAAACCAGATCTCCTAGAGCCACCTATATGGAGGGCAATTGATTGACTCATAATTGAACAGAATTCTTCATTCGAATATAATAGAAAATAGGAATGTGTATAATCCATCATGGTCAGGGTCTTGAGATTTCGCCTCCATCGTTTTATGCCGAATGAATTTTGCCTCTCACCGCCACGACGGCCCTATATCTCCTCAGATGCCCCGCATTTTTTAATTCTCTTCATCAACACCTCGTGACTCCCACTTTCTTTCAAAATGTCTAAGATCTACGTCGGGTAGGTCAATTTCCATCTGATCTCCATCCTGATCGAGCACTTGATACTGACCGTCTTAGAAACCTTTCATGGCACACCAGCGACGAGTCGCTCCGCGCGGCCTTCGGTGAGTTCGGCAACATTGTCGACTCTGTACGTGAAAATCCCAATTTTTCTCCATTCTCGCTTCAAATCACTAACAATCTCTCCAGATCGTCATGGTTGACCGTGAGACTGGTCGCTCCCGTGGATTCGGTTTCGTCACCTTCTCTTCCGCTGAGGAGGCCGAGGCCGCCATCAACGCTCTTAACGAGCAGGAGTATGTTTTTCTTCAATCTCCTATCACACACATTTGCTAACACTACTCTAGTCTCGATGGTCGTCGCATCCGTGTCAACCTCGCCAACGCCCGCCCCGCCGGTGGCTCTGGCTTCAACGGTGGTGGTGGTGGTCGCTGGTAAATGTGATCCCAAAAAAAAAGTGCGCGATGGTTCGGAGCGAGAAAAATGTGATACCTTGACGCTTAGCGTTGGTGACGGTGCCTTGGTGTGCCTATGAGAAATCAGTCACAAGGCAGTTACTAGAGTTACTCCAGAAGTAGATAGTATTCCCCCTCGATGTTTCATATACCTCTAAGACATTTGGAATTTCAATTCAGAGCCGATCATCTCGTGCACTGATTTATGCAACATTTTGGTTTTTGTACATTGTAAGAAATGCCCAATTCTATGTAAAGCTGGCAGGAGTTGGATTCCACCGACGTGTGTTGGATGTATATCACCAGTGTCGCAAATGCCACAGTTGGAACGCTGCGTGTCCTTTTTGAAAATTTCCGACTCCGCTCTGAAATTTTTGAAATTTTTTGAAAATTGAAAATTTCAGGGAAATGTGCAGATTGACTTCGATCAACTACGCTTTGACTCTGGGATCTATAGAGCTCTTCTATATTGCGTCTTGGCCTACTTGGTTCTTCACAAATTCAAAATAAATGAAGCCTTGTGAAAAAAAAAAAAAAAAAAAATCTATTTTCCAACATACCACAGTTCAAATGGCCATAGCAAGATGTAGTTCCCCTGAAATGTCTCCAATAACATTCAGCCTCATATGAACATCGAACAAAGCTCTGGAACCCTGCTGGCAGCGACTAAAAATAGTATCTCCAACATTTACCGACGTCATTGGATTGTTCCCAACTGATGCCCCGCGGCTCAAAGACCCACCGCCACATGCCCTATATTTATATCCTTCCTACTTCGCATTGAACACAGACACACATATATACCACTTCACAAACATGGCACCTCACGATGGCCTCATCCACCCCAAAGAATACGACATCAAAGACAGCAACGTCGAGCTAATCGGCACCGACCTCGACCACCGCGTCAAATACAATTCAGCCCTCACCGAGCCCGCCTGGCAAAACATCACCCAGGCACCAGGCCTCAACGTCTGGCGCATCGAAAACTTCCAAGTAGTCCCCTGGCCGAAAGAGAAAACCGGTCTATTCTACGACGGCGACAGCTTCATCGTTCTACACACCTACAAAGTCGGCGACGACAAGCTCGCCCACGATATCTTCTTCTGGCTCGGTAGCAAAACAACACAAGACGAAGCAGGCGTCGCTGCGTACAAGACGGTCGAGCTGGATGAGTTCCTCCATGGCGCTGCGACGCAACACCGCGAGGTCCAGCAACACCCCTCTGACGAGTTCCTTGCTTTGTTCCGGAATTACGGGATCCGGTCGGGTGGTGTGCGCTCCGGGTTCACGCATGTTGAGCCGGAGGCTCGTGCGGATGTATTGACGCTACTGCGTGTTTTCAAACACCCCGGTATTGGACGTGTTGATTCGCTGATCGTGCATGAGGTCGAGCCGACGTGGGAGAGTCTCGATGAGAATGATGTCTTTGTTTTGGATAAGGGGGATAAGATCTGGGTGTGGCAGGGGAAGAAGTGTAGTCCGATGGAGAAGGCTAAGGCGGCGCAGGTGGTTAATGACATGACGCAGGCGAAGCATGTTGATGTTGAGGTTTTGTCACAGCTTGAGTCTAGGTCGAAGATCTTTGTTGATTTGCTCGGTGGGAGGGATGCTGCTCCGTCGACCTTGGAAGCGTCCAGACCTGGGCGGTTTGCGAAGAGGGGTGCGACTGAAAGTGTTCGTTCGCGCAAGCTTTTCAGACTGAGTGATGCGTCTGGGGAATTGTCTTTTGAGCTTGTTAAGGATGGGGAGCGGGTGGATCGGGGGGATTTGGATGGGAATGATGTTTTCCTCTATGATACTGGGAACAGAGTCTGGGTTTGGCAGGGTTCTGAGGCTAGCGCGAGTGAGAAGGCGATGTGGCTCAAGGTTGCGCAATTCTATGTTCGGAAGATTCAGGAGAGTCAGGAGTCTTCTGAGGCGTATCTTACGCCGATTTCGAAGGTTGCGCAAGGTTACGAGAGTCCGGCTTTCTTGAAGGCTTTGGAGGTCTAGACATGTATATATAGCATTACTGTGACATATCAATGAATAAATATACAATATCAATTTTACTATTTTTATTCTATTAGATCAGAACGTATTCTTGTGACCCCTTATCCAAAGCATCGGCCTGTTTCCGCAGAACATCTGCCCGGAATTTCCTAAATGCAGTCTCGATTCTCTTCTTGCTCTCTGGATCCGAAGTGATAGTCCTCGTTCCTTTCGCCGCACCGCCAGCAAAGCCTGGGAAGGTCCAAGTTAGCAATGTGACTCAACAATCACCGTGTCGAATATAATCTTACCAAGCTCTCCACCCAAAAGAAGTCCACCAGCCGAGGCAAAGAGATAAGTCGCCACATCACCCAGGGTAGTAGGTTTCAGCAGCGGCGTAAGGTCAGGGAGATCCTCTAAACACCCAAATTAGCCACACTATTCCCTTTTCGTCGCCAACCTCTCAAAGTAACGTACCGGTTCTTCCATCCTCGAAGACAACCTTCGTGGGTTTCTGTTGCGCGCGAATAGCAGAGAAGAATGCCCTCCGTGAACCGCGTAGTCGGATAGCGGCTAGAAGACCGAGACTCAGACCGACCGCAGATCCAACTGTTGTCCACAGGGAAATTGAAGACGCGGCTGAGTTGAGCTTGTCGCGGTCTCCGGATTGGAGGTCGTGTTGGAGGTGCTCATCGGCGAGTTTAGCTAGCTCGTCAGAGCGGCGTTGGCGGAGAATGGCAACGGATTCAGACATTGTGGTTAGGAATTGTGTAGAGAAGAAGAAAGGTGTTTTGGTTAGATAAGAAGATAATGTCAAGAAGCAGAAAGGTGTAGCTTGAAATACTCTGGCAGCTTCCGAGGCTGTAGCTTGGATGGTGACGTCATGGTGGGATAGTTCGGGAACCAACTTCAAGTTCAACTTGACGTCTGAAGGGAGCGGAGGACATTCAAAGGGAATTGAACACCCTCTTAATCACAGTCGCCCATATGTCGGAGTTAACCCAAATTTGAAGCAAATATGATCAGAATTGATCAGGATTGATCAGAATTGACCAGGATTGAACAATTGTCGACAGTCACATCTCGCGCTTAGTCCCAAATGTCGGAGCACCGGAATGTTGACAAGTGACCTCCACGTCTCTCAGCCACACGCTTTATCTGATCCAACCTGAGCTAGACACGATATTTATAGCAGTCCACGCGCATTGACATATATCCTAGCTGGACGCCTAACCAACAGGCCCGGTTCCCGCGCTGACGTGAGACTAAGCCTAATCTTCGATATATCTAGGGGCTCAACCCATCCAACCTCATACCCAAATCCGCCATACTACAATCCCAAAGCAACCTCATAAACACACCAGACCCTCCAAAATGGTCCGCTTCCTCACCGACAAGCGCATAGCCCCGTCCCCAACAACAAACCCCCAGCCCCTTCTCGTAATCGGCGCCGGTCTCCCCAGAACAGCAACATCCTCCCTCCAAGCAGCCCTAGAACAACTAAACATAACCCCCTGCCTCCACATGGCCCAAATAATCCCCCATCCCTCACGCCAAAAGCTCCTCATCGCAACCACACATACCAAAGATATCCCAACACGCCAAAAGCAAGTCTCCGCCCTAATATCAGGCTACGCCGCCGTCTGCGATATGCCAGCTGTATTCCATCTTGCCGATATGTTGGACATGTACCCAGACGCACGCGTGATCCTGACAACGCGTCCTAGCGCGGAGACATGGGCTGAAAGTTGTCGCGAGAGCTTGGGGTTCTTTTTTACGCCCCAGTTTGGAGTTCTTGGGTTTCTTTGGAGCTCGGAGAGACTGTGGTTTAACCTCAATATGAGGATACTGCAATGGTGTAAAGAGAAGTTTGGGGGCGTGGATGTTTTTTCGGGGGAGTTTTATTTGAGGTATAATGAGTATGTTCGGGGTATTGTTAGGGAGCGTGGGGGTAAGGTATTGGAGTTTAAGGCCGAGGATGGGTGGGGACCGCTTTGTGAATTTCTTGGGAGGGAGGTTCCTGTGGGTGAGTTTCCGAGGGTTAATGAGAGGAAGACCTTTGTTTTCATTAAGCGGGTTTTGGTTGCGAAGGGGATTATTAGTTGGGGGGTGCTTGGGGGATTGGTTTGGTTGGTGTGGATGTATGGAATGGCTTTATTGGTCTACCTGGGTACCTACCTAGGTATGTAGCCTTGATACATGACCGTTAGTAGGGTTTGTGGATGGTTACTTGATATTTTGAATTGTTTTTGATTGCTTTTGATGGTTTATTTCCATATTATACATAAAAGAGAGCAATGCACACTAGATAAGGTCAGTTCGAGCCGTGATATAAAGGGAGAAACGGGGACGTACCCATAATCATCTGGACTCCAACAGTCCAGAGACGCCACTGCCCGGATCGAGTCGAGTCGTTACTAACTGTTATCGTAGGCTGCGGCGGGGCCGTGTATGCAGGCAGACTCGGATTCCCGGTACTATCATCCAGTTGCTTTTCACGGGTTTTGCTGATAGTACCATTATACGTAGTGGTGGGCTTTGGCGCCTTAAGAAATCCCTCTTTCTCCGCTTCTTCAATAGCCGCCCACCATACTGATGCCATTTTCTCGTAGCCAGCTGCTGTGGGGTGGATTTTATCCACGAATTGGTCCCACTGGATGAAGGTGCTCATATCGGCGATGATGAGGCGGTCATTTTGTGCTCGGCGTTCCGCTGCAAGTTTTAGATATTGCGTGCTGATGTCTGTGCCCAGTTCGGGATTCTTTCCGTTGAATGTGAGAGTTGATAGGATGATGGTTGTGTTAGGGATATTGTCGAAGAGGTATGTTAGGAGAGAGTCCATCCGCTTGCCTGCGGTGTCTACTTTGTAATCTTGTAGAGCATCATTTGTGCCAGCACTATGCGGGACATATGTTAGTGTCAAGGTGTTTGCACCAGCCATTTGAGACCCACTTGAGAAGAATTAGATTAGGTTGTTGTGAGATAATCGCCTTGGCATGGGCTGCTATTTGATCAATTCTCCAGCCGATGTGTCCATCATGGTCCTAGGAAGAGTCAAAATGGTTTCTTTCATTATGAGACAAAAGGCAACAACATAACTCACATTATCATGCATGGTACCATTCTTCAGGGTGCCAATCATGTCAACCTCCCATCCAGCATAGCGCAACTGCTGTCGAAGCCATTTCCGATATCCATTTCCATCCTTTGATTTATACCCCATGGTGATAGAAGCCCCGAGCGGAAGAATTCTCAGCGGAAACGGCTTCGTGTCACGAGCCTGAAGTGCAGAGACATTGGGGTCTGACAGATCAGAAATGACAGGTGATGCTGATACCAATGTCAGCCATATGAGACAAGCCTGGACAACCCAGCAAATGGGCGTCAACTGCCTCATGGTGACGGTGTAGAATGATTTGCAGGAACATTAAGCGGGAAACCCCATTTTCTTATATTTACTGAATAAAACTCAACGTCAGATTTGAGCGATCAGATGTGCTTTCTAAGCCTGTTGATTTGCCAGTAGATTTTGCCAGAGCTAATTCAGGCCCACTGGGGGGCTGGGTAGAACTCAGGGGCGATCTTACTATCTAAGCAGTTGGATAAGCAGCCAAACTGATAACCCCTGGCGATCTTTGCGAGTGGTCAATGTGACTTCATTGTCCGTTTTCTTACGGGACAGCCTCGAATTTAAGTAAAAGACCTGGATTGGGCAGAGATGGGAAGAGATGTTTGATGGGAGAGGCTGGTCACACAGCAATACTATTCCTATTCGGGTATAGCCTAAGAAAATATCTCCCATCCGAGACATTCAGGGTCTAATCTGAGACGTTGACAGTTTCTATCTTTGTTAATTTCCACATTGAATGCCTATTTTAGTCCCATTTGCCGCTATCCTAACGTGGTCTAACCTTATAAGCCGTCCCGGCTACACTTCCATTGCACCGCATGCCAAGAATTCTTGACTCTCGGGCTTGTATAGTGCTTCTTGTGGCGAATCAACGAGAGCTCATTTAATTTGTGTGCCTGGGCGCAATGTTACCCATTACACCAAGGCGTCTACCCGTGGCACACGATCCATTTGAAGACTGGATTTAGTCCACGTGCATGCTCCAGCGCAACAGGTCTAAATCCCATCGGGTAGTATTGCTGCACAAATATCGTGGGTCTATCAAATCGCATGTCTAATATCCTAGACCTCTGGATAAGATGCGCCATCGCGTCGGGCAAGTGAAGACCTTGTCCGGGGGTAGATGGACTGGGTTCATATGTTCATACAAAAGAACCGGGGGCTCATTTCTCGGTTTGAGCAAAACAATTATACGAAGCAGGGCCCGTGGTACACGTTCAAACGTTCAAATCATACGGAGTACGTGGACTTGAGTATTCCGTATTCGAGCCTTTGTTGTACAGCCACCCGCGGGCGATCTTGACTAGTCATTCCCGACTATCTTTAGATCGACAAAGTGATCGCGGATCTAACAAAGAAAAATCATCAAGTGAAAATAGTCGGTTTCACTGTCTTTGAAGAAGATTCCTACTCTGCAAAATCGCGCATCCTAACAGGAAACATTTCGCTAATCCTTCTGGCATTTTTGTGCAGATCATTGAGGCTCTTAAAGATTGTGTGATGGCAGTTCAGCGTGATGGTCCCAATGCGGCTAATTGTGCGCGTTATCCGTCAGATTTATAAGCCAACGCGCCACTGTGCATTCTTGGAAAAAGCAATGAGGGTTGCCTGAAATTATCTTGAATTCCAACCTAATAGGGAGTTCATCATTGGCCAGCCAGACAAACAGTGCATTCCAAGACCAAGTGGAAATATGGCAGCAGTTAGATCCGCTAGAGGTATAATTATAATCCTTCGGGACACAATTATGCTCCTACTGGTTGGCCTCTGCCTCTACCTCTGCCTCTTCCGAGGCTTGGTATGAGTTGCATTACTTTCTGCCACTGAGTTCTGGTCTCCTTCAGTAAGTCCGGAGTCTTACCCTCCGCATTTGTTTGGCTCATCAAGATGGCAGTATCCTTCCCCGCAGCCTTCTTGAGAACACGCATCATCTCATCCTGAAGTTTGATCTTGTTCTCAGTTGTGACTTCTTTATCTCTTCCATCACGGCATACATGGTCATTCACAATCCCCCGTGCTGCGCTATGAAAGGGCGTCTCCCGGAACGTATCCCGAGCCCGAAGATCCGTCCCTCGCTCAAGCATGAACTGTGCCGCCGAGATCTGCCACAAATTCTAAGCGAAGACGTACAATGCCGTTTTCCCTTTGTTCTCGGCATGATTGATATCGGCACCGTGTGACAGGATCAAATCCAGGAGTATGGTCTCGATGGGGTCAGCTTGGTGCGAGTGGTACCCCAATAGATGTAGTATGATACAGCCAGAGCCATCGGGGATTCGAGGGTCCGCTTTGTATTTGAGTAATATGCGGATAGGGAATTCGGCATGTTGGCTACAGCCGCACATACCGTAGCTTATAGCAGCATAGTGCAGTGGCGTGGATCCAGTGTTGTCAACACGGTTGATACCAGTAGAATCGTGATCGAGGAGTAGTCGAAGTGTCTCCGTGATTCTGAGCTCCTGATCCGGCAGTCTACAATTAGACTCTCCAGGGGCACTTGCTGCCCAATGCAGTGGGAACCGTCCATCACTGTCACGGGAGGACGTCAGCTCATGCTGGCAGTCTTATTGCAATCTTGATGGCCCAAAAGCAATTTAACAGCATCGGGATTGTAGAATAGACTTGCCAGATGGAGGGTCATGGCATTATACGTGTGAGTCTTTGTGATCCTAACCTGGAGCGGTACCCTGGGATAATGGAAGTGTTGATGTGTAAGGTAGATATCGGCACCGGGTTCAATGAGCCGTCGAATTAATCTACCATTGGCCCTTGACCCAGCAAAGCCAAGGACACTGTCTTGCACCTGATTTACCCAAGGGAAGAGATCATTGGACAAAAGGGAAGAAGATATTTGTTTGTGTTATAGTGAATATATATAGATATATTATGTGTATAAGGCCTGGATTTTACGCAAATCATGATTTAACGAATATTTCCCGTGTCTCACTTGATCTGTTTTATCTTGTCCAGAATATAACTTGATCATTCAGTAGGTGAGGCTCGTAAATAAACTTTCGGAACCTCAACCCCAGGAACTGGCCAAAATCGATATATTGATGTCATCCAACAAATATCAAACCCCAAAGCCTTCGGGGTTGGCCTCCTACCATCAAAGATATGTAACCCACCATGATTACCTGGCGCTCAATCACACGTACCTTCCAACGAGTGCGTAAATCTTCTGACTGTGATCTGGAATGATATATTAACCACCGTACAGCACCACATCCTCCCCAGAGCCCAAGTTCGGCACCTAAGTCTGCTAGAGCACCATTCCTACAATCTACTCAAAGAAGTACTATATCGTTTCATACAAGGCAGCCTCAATGCTAATACAACACAGTTCAAACTACCAGTTCCACCAGGATTCCTAGTTACAACCCCAGAACAAGCCAAGAATGTCGTCTCCGATATCAGTGAGTCCACACGACCTCCAGAGTCCCTTTTTCTACCCAAAACTAACATCTCCAAGATGGACCATCAGTGATAAAAGCCCAAGTCCTAGCCGGCGGACGCAGAAAAGGCAGATTCAACAGCGACGGCAAAAGCGGCGTGCGAATGGTCAACTCGTGAGTTCCCCCATTCTAAACCTGGATTCATATCTAACAATACCAGACCTAGCGAAGCTTTCAAAAGTGCCACCAACATGCTCGGCTACCGCCTGAAAACGGCACAAACTTCGGAAGACGGACTTCGCGTCGACAAGCTCTACGTCTACAAAGCCATATCTATCGCACAGGAATTCTACATCGCAATCACATTCGATCGACAGCGCACCTCGCCAGTACTACTGATTTCCTCGTCGGGTGGAACAAACATCGAATCGAACGTCGACAATCTCCATAAACTCTGGTTCGGACTTTCTACTGGTATCACCGACGAAATTCACGCGTATGTCCAAGCAGAACTTGGATTCTCAGATGCCGAAATGAAGGATATACACCGGATCCTGGTGCGGATGGTACAATTGTTCAAGGAGAAAGATGCAACGCTGGTTGAGCTGAATCCGCTGGTTCGCACGGATGACGGCGAGTTTGTTTGTCTGGATGCCAAGTTCGGGTTTGATAATTTAGCCAGGTATAGACAGAAGGAGATATTTGCGTTGGAGGAACGATCGCCGGAAGAAGAGGAGGAGTATCAGTTGGCGGAATTGGGACTTTCTTATGTGCGGCTTGATGGGAATATTGGGAATATTGTGAATGGGGCTGGGCTGGCGATGGCGACTAATGATCTTATTAGTCTGTATGGAGGGAAATGTGCGAACTTTCTGGATGTTGGCGGTGGGGCGACGAAGGAGGCTTTATCGAGGGCTTTTGGGATTTTGAAGAAGGATCAGAGGGTTAAGGGGATTTTGATCAATATTTATGGTGGTGAGTATGAGGATGAACAGTGGGGGAATGGGATAGCTGATCAGCAACAGGAATCGTGCGATGTGACATGATTGCCGAGGCGATTGTTGCTGCTGCTACTGAGATGGGTGGGTTTAAATGTCCGGTCGTGGTTCGGTTGCAGGGTACTAATAGTGAAAAGGGGTTGAAGCTGGTTAGTAGATCTGTTCGTTCGTTGGGTATTGGCTAATTCTAGGTGTAGGTCGAACAATCTGGGTTGGATAACTTGATTGTAGAAGCCGAGTTTGAGAAAGCTGCTCAGATGATCGTGAAACAAACACCCGGACTGGACTCTTATGGTTGATAAATCAGGAGATAGTCATGCATTCTGTTACGATGAACACAAACAGCCATGTTATTGCCTGAGACGAAGATGCCTCACAGGACTTGAAACAGACAGGTGCAGGTAAATCATCAAAATATCAATCCGTTATCGCACAGACGATACCCATAAACGCTTAAAAATAGTAGTCCATTTCAAGAAGCCACAGCTGGTGTGAGGCTCACCTGGGGAGACTCAGACTTAATCACCAAATTGGCCATTTCTTCCTCCACCGTAGGCTTCCTAGCCCAGACCCGGCGACTAAACACAATCAGTAAATATAACCTCTCAGACAAACGCCATGCCAGAAACTCACCCATATTCATAAGCATGCGTACGAGGATTCCTCAACTCAGCCCGAACCTTGGACAGATACACCTGGACCTCCTCAGGAGACCAAGGCGTGGGGGCACCGAACTTAGTGAGCAGCCACATCGCCCAACCCTCCAACGCAGTAATCCAGTGTGCGTATTGAAGCTGACCAGCCTCCTTGAGAACTTTGTCCTTCGGCCACGGCCCCAAAGGAACCTTATATAGCTTTTCCTGCACGTCGACAAAACCTGCCTTCTCTATTGCGCCTCGCATCGTCTCCTGCGTTAGGAGGGAGCGGCCGGCTCGCTCAGAGCAAGCGATGAAGTTATCTCCCCATGAAGCTAGAGTGCCATTTTCTTTAAGGGTGTTGTCGTCGCTGTATACTCGCACGTCTAGTTCGATCTGTTCAATCCAGCCGCCTGGAGTAAGAGCGCTGGATAATGTAGTCGTTAGATACTGTCTTCAACAGGGAGGTAGGAAATGAGGGAAGGAGTCTCGACTTACTCATAGCACTGCTTGTATAGTTGATCCCATCCCTCTGGTGTGAATGCTCCCAGCATCAGACGCATGTGGATAAAGTCGAATGGTTCTCTCCAGGTCCACTCGCGGAGGACATCGTCTACTTCGAATACGCAGTTGGGTGGCATCCACGAGACTGGAGGCGGGAATATGTCGACGCCACGAACAGTTGCTGAATCTTGTCAGACTGATGAAATAAAGCGAAGGGAAGAGGGAGGTTATACCAGATGAATACATATCTGCCATGTCACTAGTTGGATATAAGCGGGGGTCGATTAGAGATAATTGGTCGGGAACTTACATAGCCCATGTTCCTTTGCCAGTCCCAATGTCTAGAATGTGCTGGAGTATACTCTTAGCAAAGGGTAAGTTTTCAAATTCAAGATCTTTGTCTTACCTTGGGAGATTTGCCGATGGGAGCATGGTGAAGAGGGTTTTCTCGATGGTTGTCCAATACGAGAAACACCATATGGCTAAATACCATCCATTAGTTGCTTGGACCATATGGAAGACAAGACAACAAGAAGAGCATTTACCCAATCTCAAAAGCCTCGAATTGCTGGTCATCGGAAGGACTCCTGTGTACGATTAGCCTCAAATCCCCCACATTGAAGCGTCGCGACCGACCAATAATCATCTTCCTTCATAGACTGGTATCTGCTCGTACTATTAGCAAGACGTATATCTTCATTGATTCTGATCTACTCACCTTCTGCCATTTTCCAATCGACCCTTCGCAATTGACGAGGCGATAGACGTGGTTTCCCTGAGACGGTTAAAAGGCAGAACGCCATGGAAATCATTTCGACTCACGACCGAAAGTCTTGCGGTTCCCAATCCTGGGTCAGAGTATAGAAATCGGAATCCTGAAAATATTAGATATCATAATGGAAATTGGGAACTTGGTAACTCACGACAGCAATTTTTTCAGCCATTTTTGGTTTGGGATGGAGAAAAAACGTGGCAAGTGGAAATGACAAGGGTCGGGTGCATCCGGCCTTAGTCTCAACGGTGTACTTTTGTCGGCATATTATGCCCAGGGGGTAGAGTATAGGTGATCCTCTCCCATATTTGGATACGGGCCAAGGACCGCTGACATCCAGCTTCTAATCTTGGAAGATTGCGGATGTAAGCTACCTGGCATATCACATACCAGCCTTGCGTTGGTTTTCATACTTCTAATGAAGCAACCAAAATCCCATACGGATATATCATCGCACCAATTACCAGATGTGGGATGTTTGACGAGATGATCCCCAAATGTCAAAGGTACCGGGTTTCCAGGACTCCCGGAAATGTGTCTGCACCAATCAGCATGATCCAACGTGGCTTGTGGGAAACCAACACATCGCATAGAACAATTTTCCGACCACAATGACTAGTCCTTGAAGATAGTAGTATCGTAATCCGGTTGATTGGTATCTGCTGATAAGGGAAGACACTAGCAGCATGGATGATAGCAGCGAAGGCCGAGAATCCCGTCGCCATAAATGAAAGTCGCAATAGTCTCCACTCTTGGCTTTGCATTTTAGGATGCACCACAACTAATCCAGTCAGGACGCCCAGAGTGACAATCTGTAATTATAGTCAGTGAAGTAGCCGATAAAGGAGCTGAAGAGTTGTCAACAAACCATTGACCAAGGTCGCTGTTGTAGATGTGGTTCACAATAGAAACCAATATGAATCCCGGAGATAAACGAACCGAGAATTTGGAAAGCGACCCCATAGATACGAAATACCAAAACAAATGACCGAAGAGGTCAGGTAGATATGAACACAAGCTGATCAACCAAGGTGGCGTTGGGAAAATATGTAGAGAAACAAACATAGAGAAGCCCGTTGCTCAACAAAGTAATGGTGATTGGGATAAGATAGGGAGAAACATGCACAGTCTCATTGTGAAAGTACAGCAAGCTGCCAATACACTGAGACGTCGAAAATATCACTGGCCTGTTAGTTGTGCGTATATATATATTATGACCAGACCACGAGGGAACTTCGCGCGTGAGTCTCGTTAATAGTGTGATTGGTCACGAGGGCGTATCGCTATCCTGTATCTTGGAATTGATCAAGTCCAATCTCATCACACTTGGGGATAGTGAGGGACCTTGGATGCCTCAGAATGCATGAGCCAAATGGGTGTGGGATCTCAAATCGAACGTGGATCAACTGGATTACAAACATTCTTTTATGATTCCAGGGGTTAGTCGCCGTGACACCTATCACATTTGTGATAACACGTGCATCCATGTTTCCATCACAATTCAGACTCGGAGATATTTTATTTTGCTTAGCCTAGTACTTGGCTCGTGAAGATGAGCTTTCAGCACAGGCTTGCCTTCCAAGCTTTTTACTAAACTTGCGCCATACCTAGGTATGTACTCTATTTATCGATCTAGCTTTTGTAGGGCATTCCTTTCCAACATTAATGTATTTACATATCCTGGACCACCCAGATATAGGTGGAACTCGATCAACCACCCAAGGGGTCCAGTCTTATGCAGATGACAATATAATATATACAAAACCCTAGTCTTGTCAGTACCGAAGTAGGAGACCACCCTACCACCTAACCGAATATTCCTCCTCATCATCAATAACAACCACCATCCACACCCCAATCTGGCCGTTATTCGCCAATAAGGGCGTACAGTGAATCCAGCGATTACGGCCCTGCCCGCTGAATTTGGTCATCCACCTAATACGGGCCGTGACACTTCGCCCAGCCATCATGGCATGAATGATGTTATCGCGTTTCGCACCTGTATCGCCGATGCGGTTTAGGAAAGAGGATTGGAGCATGCCAGGGATTTGGAGGGAGGGGGATGTGAAGAGGATTCGGAGGGAGGGGTATGGGCGGACGAGGAGGTACTGGTGGGATTTTTGTCAGTTTTTCTATACACATTCCCCCATTGAGGGAATAATGGACATACGTTTTTGTAGACACCAGTCAAGGATATACTGGGAGCCGGGCCTGGTGTGGGGTTCTGTGGGCCTTGAGATGGGATTTGGATCTCGCTCTCGGTGTCGGAGTCTTGCAGGAATAGACGGTGGTTCGGATCGTCGTTGAGGACCGGCTGGAAGAGGTTCCCGCCGTGCTCACGTACGTTCTGTAGCTCGCGTGGACTGAGGAGTTCACTGAGTTGTTGGAACTCGCTCTTCGATTCTTTCGTTGTTTGGCCGTCCGTCTCGAGGGTTTCTCTCTGCGCTTGCATTTCTAGGAGGGATTCCATTTGGGCGCCTTCCATTGCGAGTCCGGAGACGTCGACCTGAGCGCCGATGAAATAACGGATGTTCCCGCGGCTGTCGCATAGCGGAGCCATTTGGAGGAGATTCATGAATGGTGAGCCGTCGCGGCGGCTGTTTAGTTGGATTAGTTTTGCAGAGTCAATTGAATTCAAGGTACTTGCTAGTTCAGGAAAAGCTCTGAGTGTGGTTGTCCAGCTCTGAGCGCTGCCCGGATTCGCCGGACACTGTTGGGATTTGTCTTCGGTCCTTGCAAGAATCGACAATTTCGTCCCAGGACGTAGTCCATGCCATATTGTGTGGTGCGGTGGAATTCTATACAGCGCGTCAGCCGATCTCGTTTGAACAATGTAAGGTAAACAGACATACGTCCAGAAGCAAAAATGATAGGGTTATCCGGTCGCGACGGATCAGTCAGACAGAACACCTCAGCGAGAGCATCTGCCGTGCCCTGGAACTTCTCGGGCAAAGTTCCGCGCACGCGCTCCTCGACTACTTTGCCAGTAATATTGATACAGGTAGAAGTAATGAAAGCGGGTAACTCCTCGGCTGTCAGAGCATCTAGCGCTGCCCGTACGCGCTGTTCAAGCGCTTGATTGACAGTCGGGCCGACGGGATGCTCTGCGGTTTCAATACCAGGTATAGGTACGTCAACAGCTAAGCGCACTAGCGAATTAGCATATTCAATTGCTTTCAGAGACTTGCAGGCATTCAGGTAATAAGTCAGGGTCGATACCGACCCTGGACGCTCCTGGGCGAGGAACTCGCGGAAGCGCGCCAGATAGCGCGGATTGCGCAGAATCATTAGCATATGATCCGAGGAAAACATGAGGTCCGCTTGTTGCTCGAGAGTATGCACTGGGGCTGCATCGCCCTTGTATGGAGCGACCAGGTCAAATGATGATTCGTCATTCTCTTCAATGATAGGGTTGAATTGCCTGGATCCCTCGTTGGGATTCATTTGCTGAAGCACCGGGAGCTCGCTGGCGAGATTACTTCGTATGGATTTGTTTGATCTGCTTGAAGCAGACGAGTGGACATCGCGGGCGGAGGCAGTTGAAGGTCTGGATTATCAGCAAGGACTTTCGGGGACTAGGATTGTGCGGCCTCACGAGTTATAGCCACCCGGTGACCCCCCTATAGAATGGTGGCCTAGCGATTGGGTTCCAGTAGATTGTTGATCAAGAGAGAGCGCGCTGAGAGATCGCTCGTCAAAATTTTGACGGCCCGTTGAGGTTGAGGAGTGCTTTTCGTGCCATAATGGTGCCTGGCCTATGGAATGGTGGCCCAGATCTAGCGTCAAAACTGATCCTGTGACTGATTCTTGGTCGATAGAGGGTTTGCGAACAGATTGCCCGTCATTAGATACACCCTCGGTATTGTACCTAGGCGTTGATCGCTGTTGCAGCCCCATAGGGGGCCTTCCAATAGCCGGCTGGCCAAATACAGGCGATTGATGTACTTGCGCTGGGGAATGCGAGCGCGAGCTATTTTGAGCCGAGGTTTTGAAGTATGCGCCAAAATCGTGCGGCTCAACGAGGGGGCGCGTGGAAGGCATGGCGGAATGCCTCTTGTGAGGACGATTATCTGGGATGCACGGTGATTCCATAGCGGGCTGACCTCACTATTTCAAGCGAGGGATCGAAATCGAGATCGGGATGGAGCTCAGGCCTTTTCAGGTCTTTTAAAAAAGCAATGAGATCATTCATGATTAGATCGTGAGCCCACGAGGGCCGATAAATTCCTTTTTTTCTCCCCAATACTTGCCCATGGTTCCGATGAAACTAGGACAACTAAATCCCATCTTTCAAGGGAATAACTGCCCCAATGTGACAGCAGTCGGGAAAGGATCGACAAGCTCACAATTTCCAGATTCCTCGATCTGGTCGATCGGTCGATCTTCAGATTTCCCGAAATGAGTTCTCCTGCAAGATCACAAAGTCAAATACCACAATGATGTAAAAGCCCTGTGGATTTGAAATTTGGACCCGGTTAGCATGAGAAAGATCTGCAGATCTGAGCCTCGTCTTCAATAGTTTATCCTTCGAGCTCTTTTTCTGGAGGGGCTTTGAAGAATTATGGGGCAATCCTTCTCGCTAGTCGCCCATCTCACCAATCATCATTCACGAAAAGGATTCTGTTTTATTTCGGAGAAATTAATAGTAACCACGAGGAAAACATAAGGAATACTTCCTGCGAATAGGCATTGTTTGTCGTTGTAAGATAGCCGTGCACTTTTTTTTGCTTTTTTGGCAGATGCACTGCGCTTAAGTTATTTGTCAGTCTCGCAATTTGGGCGGATCAAATTCTCGGCTGAGATCGATCCAGGAAAAGGGAGGGAGGTGCCTGAAACTGAACCGCAGCTGTGCAGTTCGGGCCATATGTGGGAGATCAGAGGCATGTTGCCAAAAACGTGGATGTGTTCGGCACGGTCTTCAGGTAAACACGGCCGTATCTGCGTTGCGGATAAACATTATTCAGAGGATTGCCCGACACCATTGAAGTCCTCGCTACCTCCATGCCATGCCTTATCATTGTTCCACCCGCGTCACGCGTTTTAATCGAAGTCCAACAGAGTCAAACTGGAAAATATGTTCACATCTTGCGAATCTTCTGTCGGCAAAGCAATCGGAAGGAAAATTATTGACTTGAGCTGCCCACAGAGAGAGAAGAAAGACAGACCAATGATAGGAGCAGAGGTTGACCCGAGGCATAAAATCTCACAACCTCTTTGATATTGTCAGCACTCATGCTATCATTTGTTATTTGACATATGTCAGCAGCTTCTAAACAAAGTCCCTTGGTCACTTTCTTCTGCAAATAGACCGCTTCCCTCTTGCCTCCCAACCTATCATCGACGTGCGGGACCCCTGACAGATCTCCATTTCAACATAATCACAGGAGCGACTCTAGCCCGATTCATGAACGCGAGTACTACCATATGAAAGGCTTTGATATGTACCTATGTCCCAAAGGCCACGGGATTGTTACCGTTCAACGTCCGCCGGGGCTCATACGCCGAAGAAGGTATTCCCAACGCGCACTTCACCTGGGTTAGGATGATGCTGACAGCCTGCAGTCAAAAGGCCCTTTTCATTCTAGTGTAACTACTTGAGTTTGAGATCCATGTCAGTCTGTCAATACTTCGATCTTCACTTGCCAAACGAGGTGATCCAATCTCAAGAAAGTGTGATTGGAAATCCTCATACCTCGAACATTCATATTCAAGTTCTAGCGTGCTGATTATTTCTTTAGAACCCCGATTTTTCATGCCTAAAACGTACATCGGAGATCTCTAGAGGGGCCCGGATTCATGAAGCCTCCAAGGAACTCGAGAGAGTGGGAGCCAGGACATGGCCAAAGCACACTAATTATCCAAACAAAATTAATCATTCGATAAATCAAGTCAATGAACAAAAAGACCGATGGAGATAATCACCCTCAACCGAAGACGAATATCTGACGAATTAAAAAGCGTGCAAACCGTGAGAAAGCTCTTACATATCTTGTGAACCGTCACCTCTCACTCAATTTCTAGTGAGATACAGAGAAGTCATTTTGAATGTGCCGAAGATAGAGCACGAATTAAATCGCACTAGGTCGTATCCAACAGATAATGGCAAGACTAGAGTGAGATATCCCGATGGTCCCGGGACCCGGGACCCTAATCAATCTCACGAGCGATAGACAACGTCTATCTCTTGAGCTATTGGTGAATCAAGAGAGAGAAGGGATGTGTATATGGACATTGAAGAGCAACTTGATAATACGGGCGTGGACCTGCATTTTCCGATTTCTTTGGAGGATGTCTGTATCGCTAATAGTGCTCGTGGCGCCAGTCGATAGACTCCTTGGATGAGGCTGGAAGAGACCTGAGGGAAGACTATTTCATCATTTGTCAAAGGGGAAATGAACTTTACATGGGGAGTTTCCACCATCAGATGTATTCTCAATATATCTAGTTTTCTTTCGCATCTTGGTAGGACACATTGGTAGTTCCTATAGATATGTACTGTGCAGGTAGAAGGCATGAGAGATCCACTCACGAGCTTCCAAGGTTCTATTTCTCTGTACCATGGATCTAGTCGGCTATGTTATGATCGTACCATGGGATAGCTCATACATCCCACGTGATCTGGGACCAGGGGCTCGGAGCAAACCGCGCGCTTACCTACAGCAAGTAGTCATGCATACCTCCACGGGTGGATATTCTAGCTTATCGCGAATAGGTAAGTTCCGAGGTCGTCCATCGAGAGTACGCGCTTAGTTGCATATTATCGCCAGGCCCACAGGTGGGACCACATAGTCTTAAGCTTTTTCGTGTGTTGTGCCGTTAGTAAACTGTCTTCTGTACACAGCTGTACACAGTTATGCACAGTTATGCACAGTTAGCCCTAGATCTGTCAATGATATCGTCGTTTATCTTGCCACCCTCCGTTTACGCCCCTGTAAGCTCCACCCGAGCTCGATACCGGGCATATTCCCTAACGGTAAATTCGAGTGTTAATCTAAAAAAGAAGGGTCACATGCTCTTGGCGCAAGCTTATAATTCGCCAAGCACAAATGGGGTTGCAACGGGCTGGCGCATAAAGCTACATTAGAGCGGATTCGCGCCATCCCCACACTTTGCACCGGTAAAACTCGCGATGCCCGGCGGGACGCCACGAACCTTGGCGGAAATTCCACACTCTGATACGTTGTGCCTCCCGCATTCCCCGGCTATCTCATCGGCGAAATCGGGGATTCCTTCGCTTTCCCCGGGTCGCGATAAGAGCTGCATTATCACGAGGTAACATGATCGTACTTAAGTCATGAAGGATTTATTAGTTTCATGCATCCTTTTTTTTCTCTTTTGAAAGTCATCTCCTATTGTGAGTGATAGACGATTCTGAATCATGAGTGGACCTGAAATTACCACTGCTTCTGCGTCGGTCGGAGACCATGGGGATAGGAAAGGGACCGCGTTTATCAAGGTGCAAAATGAGGATGAGCTGCGGTTGGCCCAGATGGGTAGGTTTCTGATTGCGTGCTGTTGGGGGGTATGGTATTGACTGGCAACATAGGACATAAACAGGAGTTGGACCGTCATTTCTCACTTTGGAGCTTGATTGGACTGGCGGCGAATTGTACTATTTCATGGACAGGTCAGTTGGGATCCTGCAATCGGCCAGTATTGAACTAACATGAGTATAGGTCTCGGCTTGGGTTTAATGACTGCGATTAATGCAGGTGGTCCTGGCGCCCGTGAGTTTCCATTTCTTACCGATCGCAGGAGAGCCAGTCAATAACCAGCCTCTAGTGATATATGGCTTCATCCTCGTTTTCATCCTTCAATGTTTCGTCGGCGCTTCCCTCGCAGAATTTGTATCCGCATATCCCACGGAAGGAGGAATGTATCATTGGATTGCCGCCATTGCCCCCAAACGATATAACAGCTTGCTCAGCTTTGCCACCGGCTGGTGCACGGTGTTCGGATGTGGGTTGGGCCCCGACATTGAATGTCTTGGCATGGAGCTGATGAAACATAGGGATCTTCACGACCGCATCAACCAATTTGATTTATGCCACAACGGCCATGGCGCTGATTGCGCTATACCATGACGGTCTGGTGGTTCAACCGTGGATGACCTTTGTCGCCTATCAAATTCTCAACATCGTTACTGCGGGTGTGGTCATGTTCGGAAATCGGTTTATTCCCATGATCAACAAGTTTTCATGTACGTCGGGTCTTTTCTGCTGCGTGGTCCATTGATTAATGAGTGTCAGTGGTCTACCTGCAATTGGCTTGGTTTATTACCATGGTTGTCGTGGCCGCCAAAGCGCCAGTTCATAACGACAGCAAGTTCGTGTTCCGCACTTGGATCAACAACACCGGTTGGGACAACAATGTTATCTGCTTTATTACTGGACTTGTCAATCCAATGTACTCACTCGGAGGTCTGGATGGAATCTCGGTAAGTTATTCCTATTGGCAAGGTGCCCAGGTGAATGCAGCTGCTGACCATACCTTAGCACATCACGGAAGAAATGCCCAATGTGAGTTACGACGTCTCAGAGACACACGACCTTCTGTATTGTACTGACTAACAACTTATAGCCTGGAAGAAATGCCCCTCTGGGACTAGGTTAGTTCATTCACAGAGTTCCTTGCATTGATAACTTGACTAACCGTATGGATCAATAGCTATCACCATGTCAATTGCGTTCGTGACTGGACTATCATATTTGCTGAGCCTGATGTTTTCAGTTCAAGATTATAGTACCTTGGCCAACACGCATACTGGACTTCCGCTCGCTGAACTCTTTTGGCAAGCGACCTCTACAAGAGGTGGAGCGTTTGGGCTGGTGTTCATGGTGTGGATCGCTCTTGGACCCTGCGTCATCGGCTCGCAATTGAGTGAGTAGCGTTCGCTTATCCCCGAAAGACCAACTCATTTCTGACTTCAATAGGTACCGGACGAGTGTTCTGGGCCTTTGCCCGTGATGATGGCCTGCCGTTGTCAAAGGTCTGGGCGCGTGTCCATACAAAGCTGGGCTCTCCATTCAATGCGCAGCTTTGTGTTACAGTGATTGTTGCTCTTCTTGGCTGCATCTACTTGGGATCGAGCACGGCTTTCAATGCAATGATGAGCTCTGCGGTGTATGTTTTCCAGATATCCTAAATCAGTTAGCATGGGCTTAATACTGACATGGATATAGGACAATCAACAATTTGGCCTACATTGTGCCCATTCTGACAAACGTCCTCTTGTTCCGTCGAACCATGCACCGTGGCCCATTCTTTATGGGCCAGACATTAGGAATGACCGTGAACATTGTCTCTGTGGCGTGGCTGGTGTTTGCCATTATCTTCTTCTCCTTCCCGTACCAGATGCCTGTAACCGGTATGTGTCGTATTCTCCAAAATTCTCTCGTATGTTGCCAAAGATGGGCGCTAACAACCACGCAGTAACCAACATGAACTATACATGTGTTGTTGTGGGCGGATTCTTGTTCATTGAGCTCGTCTGGTGGCTTATTGCTGGAAAGAAGTATTCTGCAACTGTACAGCGCGCCAAAGAGGAAGGCACCAGTGAGACAGTAATTATTGGTGATGGAAAGTCCGATGAGTGAAATTTGTGGCTAATAAGCAAGTAATGTCGTCTAATACGTTGCATCTCACGCAAACGCGATTTTTCATTTAAATAAATTTTCCCATCTTTCAAATCTTCCTCTCATCTGCATCATCCTTTGGTCCAGATTCCATATTTCCGCTATCACTCTTCAACTTGAGCCATCTGCACGATGAAACCTTCCAACCCAGTCCCAACGCAGGCAGATGACCTGCCACCATTCAGGGAAATTACCATCGCAAACGTGAATAGGCTATCCGAGAACTCTGATCTCCAGCCGTGGACAGCTCAAATCCAGCTCACCCTTGCGAACCTTGACCTCTTGGCTGTAATTAGCCACAGCCTACCCAAGCCCACTCCCACCCACCTCAATTATGAGAGATGGTTGAAATGGTCCCAGCTTGTGAGTAAGTGGCTGATTTTAAATGTGGAAGCCGAATTCGCCGACTTCCTCAGATCCATCCGCCCACGTCTTGAGCTGGCTGATAAGACTTACCTCATGATCGTCGAGTTGCTGCGGCCCGATGAAAGAGAGATTAAGACTGAGGAGTTAATTAAACTATGGTCTATGCGACGTCACCACTTCGACTCAATCGCTACATATGTTGGTGCCTGGCGTGCTCAAGTCATCATCTGCCAGGAACTAGAACTTGGCATTAGCTGGTACGCTGCCATTGAGTTGATGCTCCACGAACTGGAAGAAGAGATGCCCAACCTGTGCGACTTGATCGATTACCAGATTGGGAATCGTGGACCTGCCTCTGGAAACATCACTTATGAGGAGTTTGATCATATCGTCGACGACATCCTAGTTGCTTTCTACGAGGGCAACCAATCCACCTTCTGATGAGGGGCTGGGTAAGTTGGCTTCCCTTATTAATCCTTGAGTATTCACAGTCTTCTCATTTGCTTTTGACAGAGCCCTCACTTCTCACTTACAACCTTTACATCTTCCATTGACTAACTCCTCACTTGAGTTTTGAGCAACTTCTGAAGCTACCAGCGGACTTAGCAAGCTCACAGGCTTCGAGGACGATGCTGAAAATGTTGCAAGTGGCAGAGAATGATGGCCATGGCATGAATGAATATTGCGCTGATGAGCACGCTCATACCTAAGGTTGCTAAGTCTCTTGCATTCTATCGGGACCCCATTTTTTAAATGCATACTATTGGGTGTAGTACCCACCTGTGTCGTATGTTCTACCAGATACAAGGAGAGGTGGTGTAGAGAGCTGGAATATCTTCCAAGAAATGTACATGGGAAATCGAGGATAGCCTGTAGTAAGACTACAATTACTGACCCGTCATTTGTTTATGTCCCAGAGAGCCACTATCACCTCTCGAGACCCGTGGCAATTTTTGACTTCTGTCCTCTAGCATAATTAAATCTGTCTCTATCAGTCCTCCTCCGTCTGGATTGACCGGGTTAAAGCCACAGAAAGTGGGTCATGTCATGGTCTGTCAATATGGAGCCGATGTGGGGAGCTACTCCGGGCATGGGCCATGCATTTGTAATATCTGAGACATTTGGCTAGCCTAGTCCGTGAATATGAATAATCATTCTCATCTCTTTCCAAGCTGTTTGGGTCGCCCGTTGACTCGGGTAATGTCTACCGACAGTCGAACCATGCACCATGACTCATGAAGAATGGACCACACGGTAGGAATCACTCACTAATCCGTTTGCTCTGGAACTGTCCACTGAAGATAGACAGTGTCAATCCTAAAAGACGCCATCAGTTGAACATATCCATCAGTCCAAGCATGCAATAAACAACTCACCAACGACTCATCTTTCTACCAACATTCTCCAAGTGCCCTTTCTCGACAAATCCCCACTGCATGCACCATCGCGTCAGAATCTCTCCGTCAGCTGGAGCCTCAGTATCATAGGGTATGATCGCAATGACATTCTGAACAAGAGAAGTCTTCATGACGCCCATGGAGCTACCAAACCCGATCCGTGGATCATCGCCCACTCTCTCTTCGCAGCGGTGCTCAACTTCACCCTCCTGCACCAAACGCAAGAGCTTTCTAAGAATAAGGGTCCCGTAGCCAAATTGCCTTTGGTCCTGGCGCATGAAGATGGACAGTTCCACGGTCGGTGCGTAGGACAGCAAATGACCACGGAAAGGTGACAAGTAAGCGTAGCCAAGAATTAAATCTGCCCCATCTGGTGTCTTCCGTGTGTCAGACACTATCACATAAAATGGTAGGTTTCGCCTCATCAAGTCCCGAAGGATGTCCTCATAGTAAGATATCGGTGGTGGGGTAGTCGCAAAAGTGGAACAGCTGTTAACAATGTACCAGTGGTTGATATCCCGAACTTGTGGGATATCAGACAGGGTAGCGGGGCGACTAATGATCATTTTTGGGTTTATCGTAATGTACAAGAGTATAAATAGTCAAGGTGAATGTTCGAGAAAGAAGGGACGTCAGACAAGTGTGAGGTGGGCAGACATGTTGTCGAAATCGATGCGGGATGTCAACTTCCCAAGTGGGGTTAGCGTGCAAGGGGATGCACGCTAGCCGTTCCTAGACTAGCGTATATCCTGCTCTGCCAATCAGGAGTATAGAAACAAAAGGGAAGAAAGCATTGTCTTGGTACAGCGACAACGGTGTCTAGTAGTTTTGTAAAGACCGAAGAAAGGCTACAGTACAAACGAAAGCAAATTTTTGAACTTTGTCCCCCACAGCCCTTGCTTCATCTGATTGTGTTTCCGTGTTTTCACGCTCTTCTTTGGTTGCTCACCTTGCATCTTTTGCTTATCACTCATCTTCCGACCCGTGGTTTCTTCATACCACTACGTTCGATCATGGCTTCTCGCCCCAATGCCCGTAATCCGTATTCCTCTGAGCCACCCGGTGACACTGCCATGGTAGTGGCCCAGGCCGTCACCGAGCGCATGGCTGATTCCACCAAGGAGACTGCTACTGAGCCCACAGGTGACAGCATTGACAGCCCTACTTCCAATAACACGACCAATATTACTGCCAACAACCACATCGGTGACACGACGATCAACAACACCAATGACGACACAGTCACCGTCATAAACATCGGTGCAAACCCCATCACCATCAAAAGCACGGTACACATTACCGTCAACAACACCGGCAACGGGGTGACCCCCATTGGTGAGACGATCACACCTGTCTGTTCCCAAGCCTCCGCCTTCGCCAGCGGAGAGGCGACCCAGCCCTCGGTCTCCAACACTGGACAAGCGAGCCAGCCCTCCAATTCAAGCAATGGAGAGGCGACCCAGTGCACTGTCCCCAACACTGGAGAAGCGAGCAAGCTCCCTGATTCAAGCAATGCAGAGGTGAGCAAGCCCTCCGCCTCAAACACTAGACAGGCGAGCAAGTTCTCCGATTCAAGCAATGAAGAGGCGACCAGACACCCCACCTCAAGCAATTGGGGAATCAACTCCGAAACGAATTACCACCAGTGCGACGAGATTGTGTCCCGTACAGTTAACCTGCACTCACCGTACGTGCCAGAGACTCCAGACCCCGCCCTCACACAGGTCTGGATCGATCATATTGTCAGTAGCTAGAAACTGCGTCTCTGGATGCTTGCTAATCTCAAGATATAGGATCATATGCTGGGAGTGCGAACTGATCATCAGACGCAGGATATGCAACGTTGCTTTGAGCAGACAGATAGGGTTGTGAATCTGTCCAACAGCATCTATGCGCAGGCGACCGAGATGTTGGAAGAGCTGCGAGGGATCAACCGTGGCGAGTACATTCATGATGATTCGGGTGATGATTCCTCCAGCACTTCTGGCGAGCGTAGGGACTTCACTGAGAAATGTGACGCTAAGAAGCAGATCTAAGGAAGCGGCGTAAGGTGATCAAATGGTCATGTACTGAGGAATGCTCGTTATCTTCTCCCGAACAGACATTATTTGTGATTCAAAGACTAGCACTAGAATCTAAGCACACGTAGCTGATGTGCTATGTTTGTATATTTGGTAGACTGCCAACTTTATCTGGCTTTGAGAGAGTGATGCCCTTTCAAATGGTAGTCCAACAAAGTGTGCCTAAGATGAGAGCCACGTGCCTTCATGGTGATAGTGAGAAGGCGGACAAGCAAGGGATAGCTTCCAGCACTTCCAAGCTTCACTTTACACTTATTTCTAAGCTTTTCTTTAACCTTGGAAAATCCCCATCTTGATCTACGGTGATAGGACGAACCACCGACCCACAAGGCTTATACGGGTAGATCACTCCGTCCCTGCACAGTGATTGGTGAACCTGATCTATACCGAGTACAGCCCTGGGTCTGGTCACACTGGAATCCAAGGGACCAGCCTATGAAAATGTCTCTGCCTAATGAAGTTGGCACTGAGTACATCCATGGATGTACTGGACCTGCGTACCTGCGTACCTCAGGCAAGTGCAGTGTCATACTCCGTTGATTCAACGTTTTTACTTCCCCCGACAGATTTCTGATTTACTTTTGCTTTGTTTTGATTTTGTTTTCCCTATCCTACTTCTCCATAACCCCCAACTCTCCGATACAAAACACGTCTCATCATCATGACCGCAGCTACCGAATCTCACGAGGCAACCGCAACAGTTAAGAAGAAGCGATCACGTCGTGGACGCAAAGACAACACTCCCGGTCCTGTCACACTCAAACCGAAAAAGACCTTGTTTGTGGATGATCTAGGGAATGCCTTGGTTGACCAGCTCTACGAAACATCCAACCGCAACGACGATGATGACAACAGCAGGGCCTCGTCAGTTTCCCTCATGGAGCACTTGCAGAACAACATCGCAACACGTAACGCGACACCTTCATGTTCCAGTTCCGTGAGCTTTCATACAGTATCTGATTCCAGTCCAGCGACGAGCGTGAACAGTCATGAACCCTTCGTCACTCGCTCACAAGTACCAACCAAGATCGATGTCCTACAGCCAACCACCCATATCCCCCATCGAAGCACCGATTCCTTTCACACAAAAGCAGAAGACCAGGACCGAGATGTGGTATTCAAACTCGACGATCTCGATACCATGACAGCCATTCAGCACATAGCTGCACAACATGGCAGAGTGGCACACATGGGCATTCTCGATCACAGCTACCGATTCTTCGTGAACAAATCAAGGTCAGCAGCTTTGTCATTTAAGGTCCGGAATCGCGTGGCAGTGATCGGCGGAGACCCATTATGCAACAAGGATCAAATCCCCGAGCTGCTATCCGAGTTTGCGACCTACCGACAACAGCATCACTTGAGCATAGCTTTCATGGGCGCCAGCGAGTCCTTCCTCAAACACCATGCCAAACCAAACAATTGGACAACAATCCGCTTCGCCACAGAGCGCGTGCTCAACCCCCAGACAAACGAAGTGATCCTTGAAAATAGCGGGAAACGCATCTTGACCAAGAGCCGTCAACTCACAAACAAAAACAAAGGCGGCATCACCATGGGCGTATACGCCCCCGCCGTTCACGGCACGAACCAACAGCTACAATCTAACTTAATCACCCTCTACGATGCCTGGCGCGCCGAGCGCAACGCCTCTGCCAGCCCACAGGCCTTTATAACCGTCTACGACCCCTTTGCTATACCCGCTCTAATGACATTCATCTACACCCGCACCCCAGACGGAACCGTCAACGGTTTTGCCGCGCTTCGACGCCTCGGTTCCGGTGGCTACCATATCGACCCATGCATCGCGGCCCCAGGCAGCGTGAATGGAATCAGCGACCTCCTCCTCATCATGGCAATGGCTCTCCTTCGACGTGCCGGCATCTCACACCTCGGTCTAGGCGTCGAACCCCTCCAATCACTCACTCGCGAAGACGTCAGCGGCATGCCGTGGCCCTGTAAGAAGTTCACACGCGGCTTGTACGGACATGCGTTCCACCGTCTACCCATCGGCGGAAAAAAGGCATATCATGACAAATTCCGTCCGGACCCTACCCAGGACTCGGACCTTTATCTTGTTTTCCCATCGGGCATACCCAGTCCCCGACACGTGCTTGCTATGACCCACATGGCGAATATCAGTCTGCGAAAGATATTCCGGGCGGATGTTCAGGCTTTGGTGTTGACTCGGAAGTTCAAAGCTGGTGATGAGGTTGTCATCTCGCGTCAGAAGAAGGAAAATCGTGCGGACCAGACTAACGGTAAAGGGTTCGAGGAGGAACTTCGTGTATACTATTCTCCCTGTGCGGATTAAAAATTTCCCTTTCCTTTTGTTGCTATGTCAGCGATGGTCATCATACTCCCAGGCGTTCTGTTCTAATTGCTTTACCTGGTGTCCTTGCTAGGATCTTTGTACCTTAGGGTGGCGTCATTGTTGGGCTTTCTTGGAAAAGATTATTTATGTATCTCTCTACTTTCTATGCATTGACCATGTCTATGTAATGTTTGCTTGGTATGCCATGGTAGTGTAGGTTTGTTCAACTTTGTACAGAGAAGTCTCACGTGGTGAACTGAAATAGTTAAGAGACATACCCGGTGTTGAGGATGAACCTTGACTTCATACTCCATTATTTCCAATGCCGGTATCAATTCGAAATGCGGATCATGATGTATAATACAATGTTAAATGCGATTCCCAACGCCCAGCTATGACCCCGTAAAGACGACATGATTCAATTAACAGATCCGACCGAAAAGGAAGTCTTTGACGATAGGAGAGCCCGAGAATTCCGGGTTTAGGAGGACACAGCTGGAAGTGTGTGAGTGAAAGGCCTAGACAATGAATGCACAGTAATGCAGGTGCGATGAGATACTGACTTGAGGAAATACTCCAACCCCACACGCCTTGATTCCAGGAACTTAGGCCGGAACTTATCTATTGCAATTGGTGTTAGCCAATCGGCAATATAGAGGGGAACGAAGCACGGAGCACGGAAACATACAGATAACACTCTTCGGCGGCAATGCAGGCAATGCATTCCTTGCATGCGGGAAAGAAGCAACTAGCCGCTGACGCAGGTCATCGAACTCGGAGTATCTACAGCAAATCCACGTGTCAGCTAAATGTTCTCTCGAAACGGGCGGCATAAGTAACATACCTCATCCGAATAACAATCGGGCCACCCTATACCACAACGATCATGATTAGAAAATCATCCCAACTGCATTCCCTCACAAAATCCAACTCACATCAAGTGTCTGAATCCTGCAATTCCAAACAACATAAGACCCGACCCCTGTCATACCCCGTACAACAACATGATCTTCAATAGCAACGCTACTCGCCCAGAGCCCGCGACTCGTCTCGGAGTTCGGGTCGGCGGTGTGATCTTCTAGAGTGATGCGAGCAGCGTCACGCAGTGACGATTGCGAGACGTGTGAGGCATTGCGCTCGTGTCGGCGCCAGTAGGGTGGTACTACGGCGGAGACGGGGCGGGATGTTGTCGAAGTGGAGGAGGCGGAGCTCTGGGGCTGGCCATGGCTGCTGTGTATGGTTGTAAGGGTAGGATTGGGATCGTCACGAGCGTTATCGGTCTCGGGTCGGAGTGCGGGGGCGGTTTGGGTATCTGAGGGTGGGGAGGAGGTATGGTGCGGCTTAGATGCCGATCCGGCCTCCTCAGGTGCTGGCTCCATCCATTAGATGCTGTGAGGGATGAAGGTGTTGACCTGTATGATGGCGATGGTTTGTGTTAGCCTTGCTAGTGAGGTCCATTGCGCTTGCGGTCGGTGTGGCTCAATTTGGGAATGATCCCGAGGTAGTCTTCCCCTCCTTGTGCGGGGTGGCAAGTATAAGGTGCTAGAAGGGAACCGGAGGCTATTTTGGACATTGAGGTTGATGCAAGGATGGGCCGGAGCTGGGCGGGGTTGTGTAAGCGATCCGAGGTGAGACAGACTAACCTTGGGAAGTGTGGCGGCAAGATGAGTATGTATCAAGCGTAGATGACTCGGATTAAGAAAATCAATTGGAGTCGACAGATATGAGACAAACGGCGGTCACGAGCTATCGCTGGTTCGGGGTTAGTGGCTTAGCTAAGGGTGTTTCCATCTGCCCCAGGGGAAAATGTCCAATTCCATTTTGATTATCAAGTTTATGAATTTTGATTGTATTTCCAGATCTCAGAGACTTTCAGACTGGTCTTTCAAACTTGGAACTTGTCACTCATCTCAGTCTCTAGGGTTTCTCAATTCATCAGACTCCAAAGCCAAGCATCTAGTCCCAATACGGTAAGCGTTGCCTGATCGGCTCTAATCTTTAATTCTCGCTGGACTGAGACAGACTGAGACATGCTTCTTTATCTTTGAATTTGAAAAGCACGATGTCTGGTGGGGACCGGGGACCCGGATGACAGATGTCACACACTGTGGGCTGTCCACTTGTGTACAAACGTACAAACGTACAATCCGAGACCAATATCCCCGGATCGACACATCTCAAGGGCAAGCCCCTATAGCGGACCCCTCAATCAACACCTCACTTTTAAAAGTCTCACTACTGAAGTGACTTGGCAGGGAATACCTTGGCCTTGCAAGAAAACAAGAATAATCAAACAAAAATAATTAAAAAAAACATGCGATGCGGTAGAACCGCGAGGTGGCACTAGTGCGTGCCACTATGCAAACCAACTAGTACATTCTATACATAGGAAGTTTTAGTCCTGTGATTGCTTTTTTTTTCTTTATGAGCTCCCCACTCCTCCCTTGCTGGCTACTTTTTTTTCTCCTTGAACTACTTGCACCCCTATACCTTGACATCTTCGAATAGCCTTGCTGTTGGCTTTGGATCACTAACATCTTCATCCCTCCTCGTTTCTCTCCGTATACTCGAAAGACCCTAGGGTTCCAGGCTCGGTAGGCTCTCACACATTTCTTAGTCTCATTACACTTTCCTCCCTTCATTCCATCTACCCAATGTAGCTGTCGCCAGGTCTATACGGGTCTAGGGCGCGTTATCAGCCTGTCACTAGCATTCTTGAAGGCAGCAAGGCTAACCCTAAAGATTAGTATCTGTGGGCTACCACTTTCTGATCTCTTCGATTATCACCAAGTTCAACCGACACTATGCTGTCCAAGACCCTGTTCATCCTCGCCTCAGCTGCCACTCTAGTCAACAGTCAATTCGACCCGAAATCAGTTCCATATACTACAAGAGGTCAGTCAATATTCTATATCCTACCCTACACATACAATAATCATACTAACATGTTTAATTTTCCTAAGAGGCTTGGTGTAACTCCCAAACATCCGCATGTCCCCTTCTTTGTCTACAACTACCAGGAGCCTCGGGCTCACCAACATCAAACACCTGCTCAGCCGTAAGTCCTTCCCGTAGCGATTTCAAAAGAACTCTCTAACTAAACTCAACCTTCAGGACACACTACTCTACTACTGTCTATGCAGCAACGGCGTCACTCCTAACGCCACCGAATATTCCCAGACGATCCCCTATTACACCTGCACAGAAACCAACAACCAATGCGTTACCAAATGCGACGGTGACTCGACATGCCAAAATAAATGCAGAGTAGACAACCCATGTGGAGCACAGGATCCCAAGCGTGTTAATATCACTACTACCGCTAAATCTGCTTCTCCTACTGCAACACAGACCCCTGTCAATACCCTTGTTAACGGCAATGGAGCTACTGGTGCTGCTCCACGCATGGCTTCAATTGATATGAGTCATGTCTATGGGCTTTGTGTTTTGGTTGGTGGGTTCGTTGCTGGATTTGCTACTCTCCTGTAGAGTATTGGCTCGCCCTAGATGGCCTGATTCAAGGATTCAGTTGTTCTGGATAATGAATCTTGGAGTTGGGGTGTTCTTGCTCGAGACTTTACTAATCTTTGCTAGTCTTGTGTTTCTTCTTGGGTTTGCATTTTCCGGCTGCATTAGCATTGAGCGTTTGTTTCACCATTGTGTTTTTCTCGCCCAGGAGTTTATGGAGTAATCTATCACTGACCACTCGTTCTTTCTTTCTTGTTTTTACATTACCTACATTGGTAGTTTATATCACTAGAGAACATTTTTGAACCCAATTTAATGCATACATGGGCTATACACATTCTCGGGTCTCCAAGTACTAGGTCAAATCGCTTCCCCGGGTTTCAATCAGCCACAGGTCCAATTGACCTCTGATACTCACCGAACTTATATTTTTGCCTGTATCTTCGTGCTATCCATTCGCTGTCCTTCATCATCTTGCTCCGCAACCTCCAGGGCTGGAAATTTGGCCGGCATAATCCGCCGCGGCGTCGATCCTGGGATCACAGAGTACTTAGAGAAGTCAGAGACTCCACATTTCTCCCGGAGGAAGTCCTCATCTGTATCCAGGAGCCCGTTCACTATTTGATGAGGGGCACGAAGCATTGCCAAAACAGCCTCTGAGAATATTGTCTGTTGCAGCGTGTCAGTATTGACAAAACTAAAAAAAATGTTGACTGAATGACGTGTTCAAAACTGAACATACCGGCTTTCTCAAGTCCTTTTTGTAGGATTTGTCCGACCCTTTATTATGCTCTGTAGCTGCCGATTCAATTGACTGGGAAGTAATGCAGTCAGCGATCCACTCACGCAATCCAGCCCAGGATAAAATCAGAACCAACATACCGATGCAGGCCAGATACTCGTCACCGCCATTTCATTTCGGCCTTGACGCACAAAGTCCATGGCGAGACCTTTAACCAAGACACTCATTCCAACTTTGCCTACATACAACGCATCACATATCAGCATTTCAAACACACTCTCTGACCACGCCAGTCTCTAACTTCCACGAACCGATGAAAACTCACCCATCGCATAAGCAGTCTTTCCCCTAAAGAACCTCGAATAGATAGGCGGCGAAACAACAACAATGCGCCCTTTCCAACCATTCTTCTCAAAGAAAGGCAAAACAGCCTGAACACTCGCATACAGTCCTTCAGGGTTCACCTGCTGCATAAGCTTAAACCGCTTGAGAGGCGTATTCTCAACAGACGACCACCAGATCGCGCCGGAGTTGTAGACAAGTACATCGAGCTTTCCGAATACGCGCACTGTCTCCTCAACAGCATGTTGGATCTGTGTTGCATCGCGCACATCAGCGGCGACCGTTGCAGCGTGTCCGCCCGCTTCGCGGATCTCGCGCTCTACTGTGTTGATGGTGGACTGCGATGAGTTCGGGTCTGGCGGGAATGGTGTCACCTTTGACGCGTCTGAAGTTGTTTTTGCGGATAGCATTACTGTGGTCTGGTGTTAGTTTAGATGATACATGTAGCATTGTATGTGGCTGTACCAGCGTAGCCATTCTTTGCTAGATCGATGGCGATCTGGCGTCCGATTCCTCGCGATGCGCCTATAATTAGGGCGACTTGCTGTGTTTGGGCCATTTTTAAAACTTTGGTGTGATTGAGGTTTGGTTATGGTGTTAGAAGTCGAGCAGGAATCGATTGACGTCGTCGATGAAGCTCGATATATATATATCGGTCGATGTGATTACTCAAAGCCGAGCGTTCACGATTATATATCTGCTTATGTGTCGGCAAACAGAAGTATTCTAATCAAGATATCCGGCAAGATATTCGGCTCCTGGGCCGCTTTTATTTGGTGACTTGATGCTTAGTTTCCTGATTACTCAAGTTCCGAGGTAGTTCGGGTTCTTCGACCGATGATCTTTGGTGCCTCATGTACCTTCAATATCCAAGGCCACAAACCGTACTTCCATTCTATGCTTTGTGATGACTATAAGACCTATGGAATTGTGTTCTGAAGCAGCTAAGCTGCCCCATGGATATAGATTGTTGTGACCTGAGGGGCAGTTGCAGTTTGCTAAGTCGTCCTTGGGCCTGTATGTTCCTCTCGGACTATTCAAGAAGATATCTCACGCTAAGGTCTCAAGTTGACCTCAAGAAGTCATATTCCATTTCTCCTCTCTCCGTATATGGATCTTCATCTCCGTCTATCGTGTTCGTGGAAGGACTTGCGAATGGCGGTGTATTGGGCGGTCGGGATCTGCCAAATAATCAATCACCCATCACAATGATCAACCTAGTGACTGTCATTCACCTTTCATACTCTCTGCCTTAGACAGCATAGTGTTCTTAGCGTTCAAATTAGTTGATCTCTACCTCCGCTACAAAATTAGCTTGTGAATCAAGCTCCGCTGCCTCAAGATAACGTGCCAGTGCCACTTCTGCCCGCAACGCATCATCTGAACAGTCCGGCAAGATGGATACCACGCTTCCAGATGCCTCTGGTCCGTCTCGGGCAGATATGGATGCCGCAGCTCTAGAAGCTGCTACAGCCTCTGCCACATCCAGAGCAAGGGTACCAGTGAAAGTGGAAGGTATTTTGACCTCCATGCGGGGCTATCTCCGCGATTGTGCTGTGTGGATAACGCTGACACGCTTTGTTTGGCAGAACCCCCAAAATTTGATCTTGATACCTATATTGCAAACTATACTGGTGAGTGAAATCTATGGTTTCTAGGCAGGCTTGCCATTCTAATGCACAGCTAGGACGCACCCGCTACGACCGTCTTTATCTCATCGGCACATGCTCCCCGTTGCTCTCGACCGACGCCCTCAAGGCAGCCATCGCCGAAGCTAAAACCAGCAAAGACGTTTCTAGATATGAAAAGGCGGTTCGCGCGTTGGCGGAAGTAGCCCCGAACGATCCTGATGCTTCGCTTGACGCCGCCTGGGTCCAAGAAACCACTCGATACGTACAGACTCAGACTGAGCGATTGGAGCATGAGCTACGGGGATACAAAAATAATTTGATTAAAGAAAGCATTCGGGTGAGGAGCTTAAATATCGTGATGGGAGATGCGTGACACTGACCTTGATAGATGGGTCATGAGGATTTGGGCAATCATCATTACGAGACTGGTGACCTGCCTGCTGCCTCCAAGGCTTACTCTCGTATGAGAGACTACTGCACCACTCCCAACCACATTACTTCCATGCTCTTCAAGATGGTCAACGTTGCCGTTGAACGTGGTGATTGGCTGTCTGTGCAGTCAAATGTGCACCGACTGCGCAACTCTCAGTCAAAGCCGGATGACGCGGCCAAAAACCTCTCTAAAATCACAGCTGCTTCAGCTCTGTCGCATATGCACCAAGCCTCATATCTCGAAGCAGCAAACTCTTTTTTGTCTATCCCGCCAGATTTGGGCGACAATTACAACGAAGTCATCACCCCCAACGACGTCGCCGTCTACGGTGGTATCTGTGCTCTCGCTTCTATGAACCGCGATGAGCTGCAAAAAAACGTGCTTGACAGCCAGACTTTCCGCAACTTCCTCGAACTCGAGCCTCATATCCGCCGCGCCATCGCTTTCTTCTGCAACTTCAAGTTCCGCCAATGTCTTGACATTCTTGAAGCTTACCGCCCTGATTACCTACTCGACATCCACCTTCAACGTCATATCCCCGAATTGTACAAACGAATCCGCACCAAATCCATCGAGCAGTACATGATTCCTTTCAGCCGTGTCACACTCGACTCAATGGCGAAGATTTTTGCCCCTGCAGTCGTTGGCGGCGAAGCTCGTCCCACTGATATTTCCTCACCATTTGTGCAAGAGCTGGTCGGCCTCATTCAGGATGGTGTGCTGAACGCTCGCATCGACCTCGAGAAGGGGTTGTTGGTATCGAACCAGATTGACCTGCGGGCAGAAGTGCAGCACACCACGCTGGAGAGCCTACGCGAATTCAACGAGGAGGCCCATTGGCGGATTCTGCATGCCGCTGTTCTGCAAGCAGGATTAGAAGTCAAGCCCGAGAAAGGAGAAGGATCTGGATTAGGAAACGGTGGACGGTTTCCCCGAGCCTCGGGTTAGGGATTGAATGATGGAGACAGCACCCCCTTGACTCCAGGCAATCCGGGCGCATGAATGATGATGAATGAGATAATACCCCGATTCTCTAGCTGCGATTTCGATTGCAATGCAGATACTACATGGCTTACAGAAATCAAGTTCAACTCAGTGAAGTATCCCTGCGCGTATATTCCTTTTACTCCGATAATTGTGAACCATTCAAGAACATGAGACATCGCCCAAATTGCGCTATTTGGTCTCCGGGTAGCTTAATACATATAATTCTCACCTTGTCCGACCTTCGACTGGATATCAATCCCGCCGAAAACATCCAGTCAGTAGCCCTCCGTGCAACATGATCTAGCTAGTCCCACGCTTCGAGTGAGCAATAGACAGAGCACTTACACTAGAACGAATCCCAACAGGGGCTCCATACGGTAAAGACATGCAGAGAAAATCTCTTAGGATCAATAAAATTAATTACAGATAACCCAAATCTTAGGCCGCACGAGACGGCTTTCCCTCCCACTTAAATGCTCACTCCTTGCCCCTTTTCAAACTGATAGCTTTGCATATTGTAAATATTTCCCGCTTCTTCGCCCATGATATCTACAATTTGTGGGGCTGCGAGAGCAGCTATATCCAGTCAAATCCAACCCGAGCGTCATGTAGGAGCTCAGAAGCTTCAGATATCCAATTTTTTGGATCTCCATTATCCCGCGCGACTGCTGAGGAAGCAGATCTTTTTATAACTTCTGGGCCCGCGCTCAATGGAGCATTCCAGATCTCATCGCTGTCTGGCATGGAAAAACGCAAATCGGCCAGGGTCAAAAGGTCATTTCTGTCGCGATTGGCAGTTGCTCCAGGGGAATCAAACGAAGTCGACAACCGACATGTCTTGTAAAGGGCCATTCCAAATCTCTTAATCTCTTCAACATTCACATATACAAGTGTGAGTGGTGCATTAGTGTCGTGTTGTAGGAGCATGTTAGGATAGGAAAACATCCCGCACCATCGACAAGTTTGAACAAGTGCAGTCAGGAGTTTGTATTTGTCGTCTGGCAGTCGATATCGCATGGTCAGATCCATACTATCATCTTCTCTGGCAATGAGAAGGGCAAGGATGACATTTAACAGCACACTTTGAAAGGTGGTTATAGGGAACGAGGTGTGATCTTTCCGGTATGTATTCGAGTCAGAAATGCACCATTGGTCCTAATCACGGACGATAATGTCAGCTCCAGATTCTGGTTCATGGTTGTGTATAGAGTTAATCACCATTTGCGCGTAAAAAGCAGAACATAGTTTACTGTGCAGACGTAAAGATGCATCTCGCGCCTCCCGAGAGCCGTTAACCCATAATCCGACTGCGACAATGGATTGAACCAGTACACATGGCTCTTTGGTGAAATCGAATGTACTTCGATGGAGGAACGGCCACGCGGGATGAAAAGAATCAAAGTAGATATCGACATATTCATGAGCAATCCAAGGGGAGGCATCAGGGAGTAGATCATCAATTGTCGAAACAGGTGGCAGAGGGTAGAACTCATCGACCCAACGATTTTGTTCCCTTGTGCTTTCGCTCGGGGCGGTCACGCAGTTGATACCTCTATTTTGACAGGCATTGCATGGAATTCCACCTTCACAGCGGTTTTTTCTTGCATGGCAGGAGCTGCATGCCTTGGGTTTTCGAGATGGTGGCAGTTGTTTCTCTGGGTGATAATTTCGAATATGCCGTCGCAATAGATCACTTGACTTTGATATCAGATGGAACCGTTTGTAAAATGGAGGGATCACTCACTTTCTGGTCAGAACACTCTCACAGTAAGGACAGACAAGATTGGTTTCCCCATTATGATGATTCAGATGTCGCTTAAGGTGCTCCTTATGTCGATATCTTGCGTTACAATCTGGATAGTCACAATGGAACCAAGAGGGAACGACGTCGGCAGCGGGTGACATTTCTTTCCACAACCTTGAGGCTTAGTATGAAGAGATGCGATTGAACAAAGAAAATCAGGGGAGGGTCTGGGCGGGATGACCGGTTTACGTAGGTTGGAGTAAGGTAGAGAGGCAATACCCTGGTGTCCACCTGGATTTGCCTCCCACCGGAGAATCCCACTTGATGAGTAAGTGGGCCGAACTACATTGTATAGATACCAATTGGTCTTATTTTGCTGGCTTATATATCAATCAGTGATATTTGTTATTTGCTATAAATGACTCGCAAAAACTAAATGGACATTTTCATTCCCTAACTACGACCCTTTGTATCCAATTCTAATTGGATTCCATCATGTTTGAAAATCCTCACCCAGGGACTTTGCGCAAAGAGTCCGAACCGCTGGGTAGCCTCGAGACGAGCACAGAAATTTACTCTACGAATATCGAGCCAGTAATCTCCAGATTGGCTAGCATACATGCACCCCCGGAATTTGAAGTTTATTGGGATTCTGAAGACCCCGAAAATCCTCGTCTGTGGCCGCTTTGGTACAAAAGTCTCACTGTAGCTGCCATGAGTCTTGGTGCTACCATTGTCAGTCTCTCTAGTACACTGTACACATCTGGGATCCCGGGACTACAGGAGGAATTTCATGTCTCCAAGATTGTGGCCCTTCTCGGTGTCACGACTTATCTTTTGGGAATGGCGACAGGGAGCATCATCTTTGCTCCCCTCAGTGAGCTTGTCGGTCGCCGGCCAGTTTACCTTATTTCAATGACAATCTTCCTCTGTCTATTGTTGCCGAGTGCTTTAGCGCAGAACATGGAGTCCATTCTTGTGGGGAGATTTTTCGGGGGATTCTTTGGCAGTGCATTGATGTCGAACTCGCCTGCATCCGTGAATGACATTGTCTCGGATAAACACCGGGCTTTGGCATTTGGTTTCTGGTCCATTGGACCTAGCAATGGCCCTGTCTATGGTCCGATCATAGGAGGCTTTGTGTTTCAATACCTTGGTTGGAGATGGACAAATTGGATTGTTCTCATCATTGGTGGTGTCGTCTTGGCCTTGATTACTTCGGTGAAAGAAACATATGCTCCAGTGATTTTAAAGAGGCGGGCTGCCAGAAAGCGTACGGAGACACAGAATCCCAAGTGGTGGACTCGTTACGACAATGATCTTGATTTCATGTCTTTATTGAAAGTGAATCTCAAAAGACCTTTTGTGATGCTTTTTACTGAACCAATTTGGTAAATATCTCTTCCGTGATCATTTAAAGTCAAGTCTAACATCTCTTTTGGTAGTATGTTCTGGGATGGCTACGTTGCAATCGCTTACGGCATCCTTTACTTGTGTTTCGTTGCATACCCCATCGCCTTCCAGCAAGAGCGTGGATGGTCTCCAGGCAGTGGCGGCCTTTCGTTTATCGGTATAGGCGTCGGTGTCTTGGCCGCCATCGCGTGTGAGCCTCTGTTTCGCAGAGTTATCAATCTTCACCCCAAAAATCCAGAAACCAACATGGTCCCACCGGAGGCCATGGTGAGTATTATTTTCTTTGGTGCTACTCTTCTAGCCATTGGTCAGTTGTGGTTTTCCTGGACTTGTACTCCGAACGTTCACTGGATCGTCCCGATCCTCGCTGGTCTTCCTTTTGGCGTGGGCAATGCATGCGTCTTTATCTATACCCAAAACTACATAGCTCGGTCTTATGGCCTATATGCTGCATCTGCACTTGCTGGAAATATGTTTACGCGCAGTGTCATGGGAGCATTTCTCCCACTTGCTGGTCCAGCGATGTATGAGACTCTCGGGTTGAATTGGGCAGGTACACTCTTGGGACTTGTGGAGGCAGCTTGTATTGCGATTCCTGTCGTTTTCTACTTTTATGGGCACAAAATTCGAAAGGCAAGTCCACTTATCAAAGAGGTGGAGAAACTACAGGAAAAGTAAATTGGGTGATCATTTTGAGTGGGATCTTCACAATTGAATATATATATTCTTTTGTCTGATGTATAAGAGCATGCATAAAGAGAACAGCTATTATGACTGAACCTGAAAAGAATTAACATTATATGTATTCCACACTGATTGCTAGAGAGTAAGATTTGATTCAAGCTATGTAGTTGCATTGTTTAGGTACGCTGCCAACCTTGAAGGCCTATCGTAAAACGGGTTCTCCCTTCCAGTCTACACTTAAACCATGAATTTATTAACAGAAGCAGTCAATTATATACAAGAATACTTTGAAAAGAAAATGGAAACATCAACACCTGGTCACCTAGGCGATCCATATTCGATTACGAAATATTATTGATGAAAAAACTAGGGCTTGAAATATCGGAGTGGGATAAACCGTATTACATCATCCATGATAATCCCGGTGGGATATACCGCATGCACGGCGGGATGACCGGAGTATTGAAGCTGATTAATTTACCAACTATCATAATATAATAATGGTTTGCAATATATTTGTAACATAAGCTACAGTGGGATGCGCCGCACTAAGCCACTCTGCACAGCTTCTATATAAATATCGGATCAGCAGACTTCTCTATCAATTTTCACTACATACTCAACTCTCGTTTATTGACCATTATGTCTCCAACCCTTAATATTACTCATATTGGCACTGCCACTGCCATCCTTGAAATTGATGGCGTCAACTTTCTGACAGACCCCTTCTTTTCCCCTGCCGGTACCGCCTGGGACGCAGGCCGTATCATCCTGAAAGTGACAGAAGACCCCGCTCTCCGACTAGATCAATTGCCTGTGATCGATGCGGTACTTCTGAGTCACGAAGACCATCCCGACAACCTGGACGAGCTCGGACGTCAACTCCTAGACGGACGCCATGTCTTCACCACCGTCGACGGTGAAAAGAATCTTAGACCCCGTCCAGCTGTGTACGGCATGAAGCCATGGGAGAAGCGAGAAACCATCATTGCTGGCAAGAAATTCGAGATTATTGCCACTCCAACTCAGCATGTCCCCGGGGATGAATGCACCGGCTTCATTGTCACCGGGGACGATTTTGGAACTGGTCGTGACGGCCTTCCTAACGCGATTTATTTCACTGGTGATACAGTCTACATCGAAGAATTAGACTCCATCGCCGACAGGTATCACATTCGTGTAGCTGTGGTGAACCTTGGAAATGCTCATGTCCCTATGACGGAGGATCCCAATGGCCCTCTCATGCAGATCACGATGGGCGGCAAGGATGGAGCAAAGCTATTCCGCGCCATCAAGGCGGATGTTCTGGTTCCAATGCATTATGAATCTTGGGGACATTTCACCCAGTTCGGGGACGAGCTACGTCAGGCTTTTGAGGCTGAGGGCATCAGTGATAAAATTTGCTGGCTTAAAGGTGGTGAAAAGATCACAGTTCTTTGAATTCTGGTCTCATGGCTATTCTACTTTTCTTCATTTCGTCTTTAGGAAGGAAAAGCTTTTGACAGATGCATATTATACCACCTAGAATTACAACCACCTTACTTTGTGATCTGAAATCTGTCAGTATCTGGCGTTTTTCTATAGATTTTGATTGTAAATATCGAACTAGTTTTGCCAATCTATGTCTTTATATTAGCTCTTTGTCTACTCTATATTACCACTTACCCCTTTGCTATCAAGTTCTTTATGAGGATAGAGCAATCACTTGATAAATTGGTACAAAAATTGGATCTTAGAGCTAGATAATTAAAAGCTAGGTATGAAGAGTAATGAAAAGCCAGCGGTGAGGGCCTCTGGCTAAAATATCCAAATGAAAGTACTTCTACATAGACCTCCGCCAAGCCCATAAATGGGGACCAAGGCCCAACCAGCAGCGGGCTATGGGCTATGATGGGCTATCTATAGGGGCCCATAAAAATAGCCCATCATACCCCTTTAAGGGGGTCTTGGCGCTTTTAAAACGGCGACTTGTAATCGTTGTATTCTAACCTTCTACTGCTTCTGTAGATTTTGAATTTCAAAAGATGAGCTCACAACAGTTACATAAATATATAGCTAAATTTCAAATAAATTTTATCCCGCAGAGGTCGAAATATCGCGAAAAGAAATGCTTAATGATGAAATTTTGAAAATAAATGTGTATATTCTAGATTTATATGGCAGTGCCGCCACTTTCTAGAGTGAACTTTTGTAATTTAAAAATCAATAAAATAACGCGTGTTCTCGAAAAACGTAATACATACTTCCACTTCGTATTAAGAACTTATTAATCAAAATAATAAAATGACAAAAGTTTACCATGACAGAAGAGCTAATCACAGGGCTTAAACGGGTAATTCGGTTGTCACAATGTTTGTATTGTTTAGTGCTAATTGGGCCTAATGCCCCCTACCCCCTCATGGGCTAGTGGGCCCGGACCCGGGCCCAAAGCCCAGCCCATTTGCGGGTTGGGTTGGGTTGAGCTATGGGCTTTGTGGGCTTTGCGGAGGTCTATTTCTACTATACCAATCTGTGTATCACCACTTTTTCAGGGGTTTGATTTCTGGTTACTATGTATTTCTCTCTCTGGCATTGTGCGGCCTAAAAGGCGGTCTAAAATTCCGGCAATAATACTCAATTTGGACGAAAGTTGGCAAAATGTCGGCTAGTTCCTTAATTCTGTGCTGGTGAAAAGCTCGATTGTAGGACGCAAACCCCGGCAGATATTAGAATTGGTCATATACTCCGGCACTTCGCCGTTTGTGGGATACTTTTGTGATACCCCGGGCAAAGAAGACTCTTCCAGACGTTCAGTCTTTTGTGCAAGCGAACTGGTTCTTTGTTTGGTCTTTCCCCTCCCCAAGTGGTCTATTGGTCACTATGGTCAAATCTCGTTTGGCGTATAGATTGGCTTGCTAGGGATACCTGTTCAGGATATGATTGGCTTCCTGTGTATTTACCCCATGTGCTTGGATGACCGGCGATGCGACGCGAGGACCGTGAGTACAGGTATATTGTCCTCTCACACATACCCGCCCTCGACAGGGAATCCTATTTCTTCGCAAATCTTGTCGACGCAGGCTGACTACGTGCCAAATTCCACAAGAATGATACCGGAAATTCCAAAGGAAATTCCAAACCCGGAGGCTGGGTCAGTGCATGTCCCTTGTATTCCGTTAAAACGGACTTTCGATCAAATGGAGTCGGCAATGGAAGATCCTTCGGTGTTTACCAGGCGATTGTCGCCCGCTATGTCAATTCCAGAGCCGATCATTCGTGCACTGGGCTTACCGGATATACCTGAGCTCCCATTGCTGAACTCTGCGCCCGAGGCTGAGGTTAGCCAGCACAAAGAGAATTTAATCCCATCACCTGCACTAGCTTCAATTCCAGAAGAAAGTTCTGAGGATGGTGATGGTGAGGACCTAGACCAATTGGTACCTGGCGCAACTACCCCACTCACTGAAATTGGATTCCTTGCTCCAGCAGCGGATCTATCAACACCGAGATCTCTGCCACAGGCTCCAACGGACCCTGTAACTATGCCAGTTCCCGAAGTGGGTCACGATGGTTCTAATCTCAGTCCATCATCCATGCCACCTCTTCCTCTGAGCCCATTATCGCCAGCGAACAACGATGACCCTTTACCACCAGACGAAAGCGATGGGAATGAAGATACATCATCTGTAGCATCAACAGCCGATTATTCAGACTCTGTATTTGGTGATGGAGAATCAGGCAACACATCTGGCTATACGGCTTCATTGCTATCGGATGTGAAAAACTACGCCTACGAAAATGGAAGACGTTACCATTCATACCGCGAGGGCCACTACGTCCTCCCCAACGACGAACCAGAACAAGATCGGCAAGATCTCCTCCACCACGTCCGCAATCTCGTGCTCAGTGGGCGGCTTTTCCGAGCCCCACTGGGGGACCAAATCCAGCGCGCTCTCGATATCGGCACCGGCACCGGAATTTGGGCCATTGATTTCGCCGACAGCTTCCCCAGTACTCAAGTGATAGGCACTGATCTAAGTCCCATCCAACCATCATGGGTACCAACCAACCTTCGTTTCGTAGTGGACGACGCCGAATCAGAATGGCTGTACAGTCCAAGTCAGCCCTTTGATTTCATTCATGCCCGGGACCTAGGCGGTGCTATCGCTGACTGGCCGCGGCTGCTCCGTCAGAGCTACGAACATCTGCGTCCCGGAGGATGGATTGAGTTACAGGAGTTTGAAGTCATGCTCAAGTCGGATGATGATTCGATCCGCCTTGCGCCGGCTTTGTGCGAGTTCCTTGAACGACTAACTCAAGCTAGTGAGGCATTTCACCGACCTATGAACATCGCCGAAGGTCACCGGCAGCGACTGGTTGAGGCTGGTTTTGAAGATGTTCGAGATGATGTGTACAAGGTGCGACCTTGCTCCCGAACCCGGTTTTGGTCTCCTTTTTTTTTATTCGCGTTATGACTGACTGTGGTGCCCTAGGTTCCATCGAGTGTTTGGGCTAAAGATCCCGTGCAAAAGGAGATTGGTCGGTATAACCAATGCTCCCTTCTTATGGCGGTTGAATCCTACTCGCTAGCTCTCTTCACTCGTGTGCTGGGATGGTCAAATAATGATACTCAAGTTTTCTTGGCGGGGGTGCGCAGAGATATCAAAAACCCCGCGGTGCATACATACTGCAAGTTGCATGTCGTTTATGGTCGGAAGCCGTCTCAGTCTTAGTCAAATTGCTGATTTGACTAGGATATTCCCGAGAATGCTAGTGCAAATGTAGATAAATTTGATATGCGGGATGTGTCTGTATCTCCTTCCGGGACCCTCTTGCATCTGCCACTAACCGCTTTCAGCTGGTGCGACAGTAGTGTCTTGATTTCTTTGTTCTAGTTGAATGTCCAATCACGGCGATTCTTTGATTCTACGAAATCCCTTTTCCTTTCCGGAAAAGAAACCAAATGACCCCAAAGTAAATATGGCTTGCGCTCTGTGGACCTCTTTTACTTCGGATCTCACCATGTCTTGGGCAACCTCAGGTCCTGGCTTTTGGGGCGCGGCTGCAGGAAGCCTGGTAAGTTGCATCACCCCGTGCTCCCAACACTTGATGTCATGCAGGAAGCCCTACAGAGCCAGTCATCTCCAAGATAACTCTCCGGGGAAACACAGCAGCTCTGAGCAATGCAATCGAACTAGCCCTTCCTCTCTGGCAGGCTCATTTGCGGAGAGACTCGCGCTAATCAGAATTCGATTAATAGTTCCTACTCTGGATTTCCTACAGCGTTATCTATGCCTTTTGCTGGTCGCCTCTGCGTCACTTTCCCGGTCCAAAGCTATGGGCGATATCTCGCATCCCGTCTAATATCTCCGTCCTCCGTGGTTATAACCACCTGGACATGCTGGCGCTGCACAAAAAGTACGGACCTATCCTGCGTATTAGTCCCGATGAGCTGGCCTTCAACACAGCACAGGCCTTTCGGGATATCTACGGCCCCAGACCTGGAGGTTGTTTCCCCAAAAATCGGAGCCATTATATAGCTCCAGTGAATGGGGTCGATCATTTGGTCTGTGCGATCGATAATGCCACCCATGCAAGACAGAGACGACTGCTATCGCATGCCTTCTCCGAGAAGGCTTTGAGGGAGCAAGAAGGCCTTATCACAGGGTATGTAGACACCTTGATTACCAAACTACGGTCTGAGATTCGGTCTGGCACATCAATCGTGGATATCAAAAGTTGGATGAATTTTACCACTTTTGATATCACCGGTGACCTCATGTTCGGCGAGTCCTTCGACTGTCTGAAAGACAGTGAGCTTCACCCATGGATCAAGTTGGTCTTCAATTCTATGAAGGCTCTTGCTTATATTGGAGCTGCGAATCAGTTTCCTTTGCTCAAGGGTGTCTTGGACCTCTGTATGCCCCGAGAAGTCAAGCGCGTCGGACAAGAACACTTCGATCTAAGTTCGCAGAAGGTCGACCGACGCTTGGAGGCAAATATGTCCCGTCCAGACTTTATGTCTGCTATTATACAGCATGGAGTTAGCGAGGAGAAGGGGCAGTACCGCGAGAGCGAGCGTATCATGACTCGGGCTGAGATTCATTCTAATGGATTTATGTGAGCGGTTCTTGTTACTTTCACATGCTTCCCACTTTCTTTTTCACATATTGCACCTCTCCAAAAAATTGGTATAGTGTGGCAATGCTAATTAATAATAGTTTGATCGTGGCAGGGAGTGAGACGTCCGCAACCCTACTATCTGGCTGTCTCTTCTACCTGTGTTCGACTCCACACGTCATGAGCCAACTCGTTGCCGAGATTCGCTCAACTTTCAAAAAAGAAAGTGACATGACCTTCCGCTCCGTGGAAAACCTCAAGTACATGAATGCTGTTATCGAGGAGTCGCTGCGTATGTACCCGCCCTTTGTGACGAGTCTCTCGCGTGTTGTACCAAAAGGCGGAGCAATCGTGAATGGCCATTTCGTTCCTGAGGATGTAAGTTTCGCCTTTCAGTGCCATATTTTACCATGTTGATCAGCATACCAATGACGACCAGACAACTGTGGCATGCCACCACTACGCCTCCTACCATTCCGAGTCCAACTTTGCCTTTCCGGATAGGTTCATGCCAGAGCGGTGGCTGGGATCTGATCCGGTTTTCGAGAATGATAAGAAAGATGTCCTGCAGCCATTCAGTCTTGGTCCACGCGTCTGCCTTGGAAAACAGTGCGTTGACTCAAATTTTCCGTCTATTACAATTGCACCACTTTCATTAATACTTACACATCTTCCTCTCCTAGTCTAGCAAATTGTGAGATTTGTCTCATTCTCTGCAAGCTCCTCTTTCACTTTGACATAACCCTCTGCACAGAGAGCACAAACTGGGTTGACCAAAAAGTCTTTTTCCTTTGGGATAAGCCGGCTCTCATGGTCAAGCTCCAAGATCGATATCCCGACGCGGGTGTGTCGAGTTCTCAGGATCCTAAACCTTCGTTCTCATAATTATGGGCATGAGTTAGGGCTTGAGGTTGATGGATCAGGATGACTCGGATCTGCATTCGGGTCGCACAATAGGTACAGACAGCACTCTGTGGGGTTTATGAGATCTATGACTTTCACGTCTTTGCCTTTGAGTTGGTTCTATTTCTTTTACGACGGCTATATGATATCACTCATTGATTACATTGGATCGGTCTATTGTTGCGTCTTTATGACTTGCGACGGCGGCTGGACTACGATCTAAATGTCTAATGGAGGCTTGCGTTTTCTTTTCCCCTGTTTTCCTTTTTTCTGCTCGCACAAGGTATTCCTTTTGCTTGGAAGTGGATCGCTGCATGATAATTGCCGAACATTTTATCTATTCAGTCTGATTGAAACCATACAATGACTTTCCAGTATGAAGTTCCCCCTTTAACTTGCCAGCCGCGACCAGTTTGTCTATCACATCAAACAGCATCCCCTCACACCCTTTACCTCCCATAATATCAACAGCAACAGGCAGGACTTCAGTCCTGTTTGTGATTCTTGAGTGATATTCACTTTCTCCAACTAGCAGAAATCAGACACAATGCATTTTTTTGTTTCGATAAAACTTACTTGGCAGCGCAAAGTCAGGCGAACCGATGAATGAAGGAACGCGATCGATTCCAAAGCCCGACGGGATTCCTGGAGAATCAATTGGGTATGGACCATCCCGATACATGGTCTCTCCAGTCGATTGAGGATAGACAAAAAGAGAATGAGAGCATGAGTCCACACCGTCTGCTTGTCCATGAGAGTGCCACCAACTAGCAAATATACTCATATTGTGACGAGCCTCATCTATAGATGTGTCTGCTTGTTCTGTTCCCCAATTCCACCGGATAGATGGACTTGGGTCGATGAAAGGTAGTCGGCCTTCGTTCTCTTCTTTATATTGAGTGTATAATTCGTTTCCCACTAGCTGAAACTGCTCTTTTGCAGTCAATAGTGGGAAAATCTCACCAACGAAATCATCAAGTCTGGCTCCGTTTGCCTCTTTCGGGGCAGTGGAATTCCACATCCTTTCTATGTCGAAGACTTCGGCAGTTATGTGGAGAATATCTGCAAGAGATGCAGCGAAGTCCAAAATAATCTTATCGCTTTGGGTCGATCGGTCAGTAGGAAAGCCAACAAGATATAGCTTCCCTGGCAGAGAAGCGTTATCTGCGAGGCCGCCGTATAGTACTTTCGAGGCTTCTTTCCATAGCCTTGCGTTTCGGGTCAGTATTCCTGAAGACGGCAGTTAGGGAATACGTGAAAACATTAAAGAATCTTGAGGGTATCTATACCAACTGTATCCATCTCGGGTGAGAGAGGTATAATCCCTTTCAGCAAAGCTGGATCATGAGATGGCCGGCTTCCATAAACACCATTCACCCCAGCAGGGACACGTATGGAGCCTCCAGTGTCTGTCCCTACGGTCATGTCGAGCCAGTCGTATGATGCCACTCCAGCTGCCGAGCCACTGCTTGAGCTACCCGGATCTTGATAACCATCTCCTCGTGGGTTGAATGGAGCATGATAATCAACCCTATTTGTTTGATCAGAAATAAAGAAAATCAATCATGCTTTGGAATAGTAAGTACCAATCAGCTCTGTGTAGTACAGACTATAGTCAGCTTCCGTGTTCTGCCTTAGTGCGTTGTATTGAACTCACGTAGCCCACTATCGCTGATGTTTAGTATACAGGAGGGCAAAGATACAAGTTTCGGACTCACCTCTCCATTCGCGAATTGACTGGTTTTCATTTTTCCAACCAAAACAGCACCAGCATCGATTAGCTTCTGGATGGCGGGGGCTGTCGCATCCGCCGGAGGAGAGAGTGTATAGTAAGCCCTGTTCCCACCACTGGACTTGATGCCAGCAACATCGAAGATGTCTTTTACTCCAACACGTACCTGAATCACAGTTGATCAGCAAATGTAGAGCAGTTGGGTTACTATAAGAACGAAATTTCGGGGAACTATGCACTAACACCTGCTAGTGGCTTCGCCGGGTCCTTCATGGAATATAGTCTTGACGGTACCCCAATGGTCATCGACCCGGCCCCCTAGTGAACGGTCAGATTGAGCCAGTGTGTCTTGATTGATGCGGATGACCATACTGGTACAGCGGCGGGGATCACATTGTAAGAACCCTCACACGAGGGTATCAGACCTTGCGTAAAGGCACCTTGTTCATCTGAATAGAGCCTATACGCGGCATTAATTATTCCTGATGATGGAGACCAGAAATATGGCCCAGGGGAAAGAGGCGGCGTCGAGGCATCGACCGAGTATGGAAATATGGCATCGACTCCATATTTAGACCTTGTCGTCTGCAAGTCCTGAATAACATCATTTGATTGCCCATTGTGAAGAATGACTGGACAGTCAGTCAGTTCATACGCCGTGGAGTTATAGTTTGTGATGAATTGTACCTTTCAAAAACCCGATATTGAAAACATCATCTGATGATTGATAATCTGCAACAATTGCATCCAGAGAACAATTATCGCTCGCAATGTCTATGAAAGTGATGGGATACAAGGGTTCCGTCAAATTCGCGACAGCTGGACTGTTATCGGAGCCGAATGTACCAAGAGCGTTTGGTGGGAGGTAAAATGAAATTCCATTTAATTCGACTGTTTGGCCTTTGAGTGAAATGCAATGTGTCACACCGGCCAAAGCTAGGATTGTCAGTTGGATATTGCGATGGAGAAACATGGTTCAAGCCAATGAATCGGGGAACATACAAGAACAAGATGCATGAGCGAAAAGAGAAAGTTGAAGATAGATTTGAAAATAGTCAGATTCCACATGTAGTAGTATGATCCGCTTAGGACGAGAATGTAACGCTGTTGCTATCCAAGTAAGGGCTGTCGTGCAGAGGCTGGCCCAATCACGACATGTTGATCAAGTTAAAAACAAGATAATAAGCAACAGTTGACGTTTCTAGTGTGTATCAACTGTATGTAACCGGAACGTAAGAGACAGGAGAACTGGTGTCGTTTCCATACCCCTAAGGCAAAAGCACATCGTCAGCGATGTTGTCTCACTCTCGAAGGTAATTCTGTATGATCTACACGAATTCTACCAACCTCGGATGATCTGCGTCTCACGCATCTCGGGGGGCCGTGACTTGCAATTGGGTCGTTTACTAAACTGAAAAGGGAACGACCACAGAGCCTGCATTAGCTTATATCTCATATTCCGTCAGCCGACAGGATTCAGAACCTAGCATGTTGATGATTTCCACAATCTCGCCGAGGTAAACCCGGAGAGTGAGAAGATAGATTGACAAGTTTCCAAATATCCATTTGACACGTCTCATGGGTCAAATGTGTCATTAGCACACTAGTTTCTTTCTCCGTTTCTTGTTTTCCGTGACCACCGTCACAAAGATAGGGCTCACCAGTTTCAAAATATGTCTTCCTCTTCGGTAAGCTCCCACAATGGTAAATGATGATGGAAGATACTGACTGGAGATTGATGAAGCGCAAATATGATCCTATTGAGGAGCAGCCTGAAGACATCAACGTCTCGAGATACCCTATTCAAAAGCCAATACCCAAGCTCATCTGGGTTTCGTTCGCCGCATCTATCGTCCTCTGTGCCGCAGCCATTACTTTCTTAGCAGTAGAAATACGATGGCACATGATAAGACATCACACGCTGTCGCTTTATCCACAAATCGAACCGCGGAAGTACACATGCGGTAATTCGACGGAGGAAGCAAGACGCAGAGGGTGTACCTTTGACGTCTTGTCTATGAACTGGCTTCCAGAACAGTGTGCTCGTGATGAGACACAGGAGTTTGTCGATTATTCTGTCAACGAGACCTGGATTTACTATCGTGATAGACATGCAAAACATGCAATCGAGGATACAAATGAGCTGTCGGAGTTGGGGGATAAATTTTGGTGGTCCACGCAGAGGGAGCACCTAGTGCATTGTGCTTTCATGATACTCAGACTCCACAAAGTTCTCGAGCGAGGCGGAAACATCGATCACCTAACGGGAAGCTTTAGTCATACGAAACATTGTGTGATGATGTTGCTGGAGGCTAGCAAGGCGGATCCAGAGAATGACAAATTAAACACGCCGGGAAATGTTGCTCTTGGGTCATGCTAAAGGGGATTTTCCTGTAAATTTACATTTGAAACTATAGCAATGAGACATTACAAGCCTCCCATTCACAAGATACCACTCCTGTGTATGATAGAACTTGACATTCAACCCGCCTTTGCTCCCGTCTCCTTCCTGCAAAATCTTCGGCGGCAATTCTCAGCCGTCTCTGCCCCTTGCCGAACGTCAAAAGGCTTTGCTCGGTACACCCATTCATCTGATAAACTTACAAGTTGCCCAATCACAGGCTGAGCATGTGAACATGCCACTTTCTATGCGGGGCTTTCTGATATACGGGTGGCCTTGCATCACACCCCGAGCTTGGTATGGGCTTTCTGGGCCTATAGATTGATTGTGTATCAAACTCGGTGAAATTGATATTTCATTTACATTATGATTTCCCTTGAAATGTTACTCTGCATGCTGCAAGCCCTATGCAGCCCACCGTCACGATGCAGCTGTGGAAAACCATTGGCTAAGCTGAACGACTCCAATGGTTGTCGGTGTAGACTACTCTTTTCCTTTCCCAGATGGGTACTCGAGTATTGAGGTACTGAGGCCAGGCAAATGCTGACAGGGTATCAGGAACTTTGGGGCCTTGTGGGGAGGAAATTATGATCTCGCTGCTGGTGCTGACTACATTGGATATCTATCAGTATTTAGGCGAATTCTGATATAAATATGATGACCCTCCCATCATCAGCTACCTTTCCCTCCAGACCAAATCAGCCGGACCGATATTTTCAGTCAGTACTTTCCAACATCAGTGTCCTCCGTCAAACAAAGACACAATGAAGTTTTTCAACCAAGCAATCTTCGTGGCCATCTTCGCCGCCGCTTCTCTTGTGGCAGCTGCTCCTATGCCTACCGGTAAGACTTCTAGTCAATTCCCAAATTTACCGTTAAGTGATAGTACTCACAGTAATATAGAGGTTAAGCGTGACCAGTACGATGTCACTATGAAGTGCCAGGCTGCCTATGCCGACCTGCTCGAGAAGCGTGATCAGTACGATGTCACCATGAAGTGCCAGGCTGCCTACGCCGACCTTGTCGAAAAACGTGACCAGTACGACACCACCATGAAGTGCCAGGCTGCTTACGCCGACTTGCTGGAGAAGCGTGACCAGTATGATGTCACCATGAAATGTCAAGCTGCGTATGCCGATCTGGTCGAGAAGCGTGACCAATACGATACCACCATGAAGTGCCAGGCTGCGTATGCCGACTTGCTCGAGAAGCGGGATCAGTACGACGTGACCATGAAGTGCCAGGCCGCCTACGCGGACCTCGCCGAATAAATCTAGACATTGGTTGAAGAGTCCAATATCCGTGGATGGGTTCCATCTGCTGGACATTGGAACATCTCATTGATGGTGGATTGCTACAGACTGAGGGATCGTTTGACAATTTCTTGTCAAACAGCAAGGCTTCAAGTACCCTGCTTCTTTCATAGATTGAATTTAAGAGATTCCTCCTTGATCATCTCGCCTTCGTAGCAACACTATTAAATTTTAAGTCCATCTTACTGTATATAATCTTCTTTGATCCTACAAATTCTCCTAAGAAGGATCTTTGGTTGGCTTTTACTACAAGATAGTTTACAAATACGTGTATGATGTTCACAGATATAAGCCTTTAGGTAAAGCCTTGACATACAGTTATTGCAACCCCTAATCTCTTCCGTTGCTGTGTCATTTTTACTTTCCTTGGTGTTCGCCGGTATCTTCACAACAACCTTGACTGCAGCCTATCTCTCTTCACCTCTACCACTACGCTTTACATCTTTAGAATCAGCCTGAGGTACCCCACCTTGGATCCCGCTGGAGTAACTGCCCCATCCGACATCCTGCATTGCCCCTCAGTTGACCTTCCACCGCGGCACAAATGCGCTATTTGCTACCGCTGCAGTTAGCATGACTAGTCCCTTATGGCTAGTCCACTCGAGCCTGGACTTTTTCTATCATTATTTCTATCTATAAGGAAGACGTGATGGACCTTTCTACAAGAAACGGTCAACCTTATCCAGCCTCTTCTTTGCGGCTCGATATGAGCAAGCCTACGTAACTTTTGACTGACTCTACTTTGCTGCGCACGAGACATGGAATCAAATCACATATGCCGTTTATTGTTCTGCCTCCGCTCCTTGTCTGAGGTTGCATTGCTTGATGCTGGGATGATCCGTGGACCCTTGTCGCACCTTCCGACCCGACTATATCCATTTCTTTACAGCGCTCCTTCAGATGAGCCAATGGCTAAAATCCCGCATCTGCTCTGGACTGTAGATCGCAAAGTTGGAGAAAGACGGCTTGGCTAGATCGAGACGGAGCTACGACGAAATCATGTTTCATGGCCGTGAGATTGGAAGTTGTTCCGCCTTGGCATGATATATAAGCCTTCTTTTAGGGGACGCATGGGCCTCTTCTACCCTGCGGCTGAAGATCTACGTTAGTGGGGAGTGTATTACCTTGTTTTTCAATACGAATCTTTCATTCTGTATTCATACTCATCCAGGTGCAGCTGCACTCATGTTAGAATTCTGGTAACATATTCCCCGGTTAGTCTTCTGCAAAATCCCACCTCTTTTCTATGGTGACAGAAGACAAGATCTGAGAGCACGAGACATACATGACATTATCACCTCACACTGAAGATGTCTGAAGAGAGCCGACCTTTTATTTCACGCGGATCGGGATCGTTGTCGGAGAAATCGGATGAGTCGTCTGAAAATTTCGTGATTGAGCGCCATCAATCCAAGTCTCTGCGGTTTCTGCGGATTGCTTGTGTTCTGGAACTCATTGCTCTCATCGTGCTGGCGGCTGGACTCGTTCTTGCTTTCAAAACAAGACCTTCAGAATCAGATTCGGATCTTGAATGCGCCCGAAAGGTATCAGCTTATTGTGAGTCCATCCGCTAGGTGACTTGCAGGACAAGACAAATTGAAGCTAATTTCCACAGCCCCTCTTCTCGCAGAACCTGACTTGGTCAAATATACGGAGTACGATCTTCCACTATACTTTAACGAGAAAACGGATTATCGTGGTCCACCAACCCCAGAGAGGGAGGTAATGTGGGAGAAACTTTGGCACCGTACGTGATCTGAGACGATTTTTTGGTGAGACCTAAAAGCTAATTGCATACAACACTGGAGCAGAGGGTGCATTTGAAGTTCCCGAAGACAAATTGGGTGTCATGAACAAATCACATTCAGGTCGGACATATAAACATGTTCCACCGGAAGTCGGAACTGGTTATGCGGCTCAGCTGGAAGTCCTCCATCAGTTGCATTGTGTGGTATGCTCATGTTCAAGACACAATCTATTTGGGGAACATCTACTAATCAGTTTTTGATTTGACTGTTCTAGCACATGCTTCGACAATGGTCCTACAAAGAGCACTGGCTTGACCGAGGACTTGACTTACCTGGAAGTCTCTACGGAGACCCAAAGCTCACGAGGATGCATCTAGGTACGTCTAGCTAATCGTGACATGTAACAATGTGTTTTGACGAGGTTGGCAGATCATTGCATCGAGGTTTTACGAGCAAACATCATGTGTAGGTACACAGTCAACATTCGTATGCCATGACAACTAACGATTCCTAGGTACATCTGATGTGACACCGATCCTGATAGAACTAGATCCAAAGGCAAGAAAGATCTCCTTCAGCTGCTTATCGCCTTCCATTCTAATCTCTAGAGCAGGCGCCGTTCGGAGAACGTGCTGATTTCCGGTCAAACCACAAATGCCGCAATTTCTGGGAGATCCGTCAATGGGTCATTGACCATACTGCTATTCCTTGATTGTCAGTCGATGAAGATGTCGTGTATATGATTTTGTTTGATTACAATAAGTGGCTCGTATAAGAGGTTTTTATCGTTAGAGAATGAAGCGCCATTGTGAACAACAACCATAACCTGACTTGACCTTTTCCGATCCGCAACGAATATATGATTTTTTTTGGAACTTTTAGACTAGTACTTTATAGGATCTGAATGTGGAGACTAATTTTGAAGTGACTGAAAGCGAATCGAAAACCAAAGGTACCGTAGTGGGAGGCAAGTAGACCACCCATTGGCCATATCGTTCTTATGCAATGCATCTATCATCCCAGCTAAGCGAGGCCACCTCGGTTTCTTCCCTTCTATCTCTTTCAATGTATCTCTACACTAGTGACCGATTCTCCATATTTTTACCCAGCCTCTTCGGTTAATCTAAGCTGCCTTGCCAACTCAAGAATGTCTTCGTTCTATGTCGTGGAAACCCCCGAACGGGTGAAGAAGGCCCAGGTAAGCAATGTAAGATGATACCAACTTTTTTCACAAAAGCGAATCAGCCTTGCCCCTCCTTTACCGTAAACCCCGCGAAAACGGTCTATGGCTCACTTTAACTAAAGGGCCTACACCTCATAACTTCTTTAACCCCAAACGGAAGAAAAGTCCAGATTCTCCTGGAAGAACTCAAGGACGCCTACGGTTTTGAATGGACGACAAGTCTGATCGACCTTGACAAAAACGAGCAGAAAAAAGACTGGTTTCTCAGACTAAATCCTAATGGTGCCTTTTTGCCTATCAATATATGCATATATATTTCCTCGGAATCGAGACTGACTAATAATTCAGGGCGTATCCCAATCTTGATCGACAACAATATATGTCCACCCCATGTCGTTATGGAATCATCCGCCGAACTTCTGTACCTCGTCAATCTGGCAGACCGAAACAATCTTTTCTGGTTTTCCGATCCAATCGAACAAAGTGAAGCTTTCCAATGGCTGATATTCTGGCATGCTTCGGGGCAACCAAATCAAGGGCAGTATAATTTTTTCCGAAACAATGCAACCCAGAATCCTCGTGAGTGTTACCCTTGGAGCTTCAATACATGTTTGCTGAGAAATTCTAGTGGCAGTGGATCGCTTCAAGCGCGAAGTACTGCGGATCTACGATGTGCTTGAAACCCGACTGTCTGGAAGATATAGTGGTGACACGCGAGAATATTTGGCTGGAAAGGACAAGGGAAAATACAGTATTGCTGATATGAACGCCTGGGCCTGGATACGAAATATTCGACGGATTGGATTTTCCGAGGAAGAATTAGCCCAGTTGCCTCATTTACAACAGTGGGTAGATCGCATTGCGGCGCGACCGGCTGTGGAGCGAGGCTCGGGGGAGTGGTACGATGAGGATGTGCATCCAGAGTTGTTGATTGCGACTTTGTGACTCTAGATATGCTATGCTATGTGTGTATTCCCGTTTGTGGCGTTGCTGATTGCGTCAAGCTACGGATTCTCCCTGTGTCTCCGGTCGCCGGGTAATCAGACTACCCGGTCTTGTAGACCTCAAGGATCAAAACAGGGGGATTATGGTACCTAGGTGCCATATTCTACAATGGGAATATTGGGATACCTGAACTACAATGACACATGCCACTATAACGAGAGTGGTCTCATTCTGCTGGCAGTAGAGGGTGCTTATAAACAAAACTTGAAGCCTTTATATAAACCAAGGTGTACCTAAATTGGAGTAGCGTGTAGCATTGGTAATTCAGGCTGCTTTTTTGAGGTCGCGTCCAACTGAAGAAACAACCACATCACACCTCTCACGGCGAGCAATTCCTTCAAAAATGCTAGTTATTGATGCAGACGAGGCAGGCAGACAAGGCTTGAGAAAAGGGATACTGCAAGGGTTCTGTCAATACCTCCAGGCGAGGATTTTTCCCCAGGGCTTTTAATAATTTGGTAATCATTATAGAATAAATCTGGCATTGACTCGCTTTAGAGCCTTTCAATATATTTGATATTATTTAGATATGTTCTAGTTTGATGATTCAATATTTTATTATTATCTTGAATTCTTTAAAGATAAAAGAATTGATGAATTGACCTGACAGTAGAGATAGGATTTAGCCCTGATATCTTCCAGCCGCACCCCCATCAACTTCAAACAGTCTTTAGTCACTGCTAGAATGGAAAAACTCCGCGCCTTGTGTTTCGTGGCTATCAAGGATAACCCCCAATTCAAGAATGTGGGTGATCTCTTGGGCACTATGAGGTCTTGATGTTGATAGAAATGAAGCCATGTTAGTCCGCCACAAGCCTGTTATAAAGCTCGGAAGTTGCACTTGACGCATCTTCAATTCGTTGAGAAACTGTGCCAATAGCCTTTCGAGGTCGAATATGAAAAGCCTCTCTTCGTCTTGGATCTCCTGGATTTCTTCTGGCTCAAATACTTTGTATTGATGTAAGCAGGTATGAGTGATATCCAGGCTTTTGAACGTGATGAAGCGAATGATGTCAGTACTAAAATGGTCCTTCAAGGCTTCATCAAGCTCGGGCTTGAGGTTTGAAGGAAAGAAAACAACACTCAACAATTCAGTGAACAGATGAATAAGCTTGGCCGCAGTATCATGGTCAGTTCGCGTGGGCAAAAGTCCGCTCAAAAGGGTCGTCATTGGAGAACATCCATTTGGTGAACAGGCACATTTGCAATCATCTCGAGTATCGTAAGAAAGAATTTTTCTCAATAAAGCTTTTGAAGATTCAGTCAATGAATTGACCTTCCATAATGAGTGTTGCAAGTTGTCTTCTTTCATCCAGTACAGAATCGATCCCACGTTATTCCCTATGTCATGCAAGGCCGATCCAGATAATTTTTGGTGATGAAGATCAGCGCCTTTGCCGACCAGCCAATTAATCTTTTGCAGGAAGACGTCTAAGTCGCATGGTGGTGTTCTGGTCCAGACTTTTGTCAGACACGTCTGATTATCACGATCGATTTCATCCACGTCTCGGAAGCCAGCACTCCATAATCGCTCAGCCAGATCAAAATTAACACCAATGCAGTCAAAAACCGACCATCTATAGTGATCTTGAAGACCTTCTAGGCACACAGAAGTTGTTTGAATTAGTTTGTATGCTTCATAAGCATGGACATTGAGTAGGCTTGAGGATTCGATGTGTAATTCATCCTGGACACTTCTTGGTAAATGTTCCTCTGCAAGTGCCTGTAATTGCCTTCTGCGATGAATCAAACCTTGAACGATGATGTTGCAAATATTCTGATTAGGATGCAAACTGGCCATTTCAAGCACTTCATACCCAATGAAGCATTTGTAATCGTTCACCAATATCTTAACACTATCCTCGCAGTTCGCTTCACATGCCGCTTTGAGGGCGCCTTCTGGAGCTGCATGACCAGATTGAAGAATCATGGCTAGACCATCTCCCCACCGAGTGTAGGTATTGATCCATTGCTGGGAATGAATCGTCCTTTTCAGTTGTGCGGCCATGAGTTTCCTAGATTTGTAGATAAGAGGCTCTAGCTCCTCTGGGAGATAGATGTCTTTTTTTATAATTTAGCATCGCGGTTTCTGAGTTTTCCTCTGAGGTTAATCACCTTGGTGCCCTTTCTCATCGGCTATTCTCCAAATAAGGCGAAAGCTCAAGTCTTCGAAGAACTCATCATTCCTACGTCCATCTCCTCTGTGCATGTAGTAGCGCGGGTTGAAAATGTTTCCCCGATGCCTCCAATCAAGGGATTGTAGGGTCATACACCCTCCAGCTTGCAGTAAGTCTGAACAGATATCAATCGTTATTTGCTGCCTCTCCATATCGTTGCTTTCATGACCAAAATAATCAATCATGTTGTCTGCAGGGGTCTCCCCGTAGTAATTCACAAGGTCTGGGGAGAGGCCTGCTTGTAGGAGATTCTGGATAAACAAACGCCAGACAACCCGTGAACGCGAGTCCCAGTGAGAACTATAACGCTGCCACCTAGTGACTATCTGTTGTTGTGGTTAATGAAAGACATTCAAATAAATGTGGAACTTCCAACACAAGGATATCTCGAATATCTCTGCCCAAGATATGTATAGTTAACTGGCTTCGGAATACTCACATGCAAGATACTGTCTCCGCTTTGAAGAGTATCAGTCATTGATGCTTCACCAGCACAAAAAGCTTCTATAAGAGCCTTATGTGTATTTTGAATCACAGTTGAGACATCCCGCGATCTCAAACTCTCCTCAGCAGTATGAAGATTGATGAATATTTGGGATTCCTTTGGCACAATAGCGCGAAATTCAAGTTTAGGACTGATTGAGAAGCCTCCTGCTCCGAATGTGCTTGAGTAAGACATCTCAAGAGAGATGCTGAGAGCCCATCTGCAAAATATCCTGCGATAGAGTAGATCCACAACTTTTTTGCTTTCTGTATGAAGCGCACATCCGCTTGTAGAAGCTAGACCTGCGTTATGCTCTCCCCGGAAGTATGTCGTGCGACATGAGCATTTCTTTCGGCCCCAACTACGCTGGGATATGGGGGTGATTCCCTGGTTATGCGACTCTCTTTCCAGTATTTTTTGGTGCTCTAACGCTGATCGGAGTAAGCCTGGTGTGAGAACTGGCTGAGTTTTGTTGCAGCTATTTTCTATTCGCTAAGTTTAACAAGATTATAAGTATCAGAGTTGCATTTGTGTGGAATTTGGATAAGAGGACAGACATACCATCTGTTTCAGATGATCTTCAAGTATTTCCAGTCTATTCTCAATACTCATGCCGCGCTGATCAGACTTTTCAGCATTGAGTAGCATCCGACTAGTATTGAGGGCATTTGATGTTGAAAACGCAATGGCAATGTCTGTTTTCTCCTGAGATACCACCAACATAGCGCTTCGATTTTTTGGATTAGCGATAAAATACATTACCTCTTCTAGTTTTGACTCACATATTCAAGGTTTGTAGTGTGGTATTGAGATGCGCTTGTAGCCAGCTCACAGTTTCCAAGAGTGTCATCAGTGTATCACGTTTGAAAGGATACGTTATCCTATTGAGCTGAATTTTGCGCCCTAAAGGGCCCGTACTTGTGCTATTGCAATTATCTAGCATCTTGCGTAATCTGTCTAGTCCTTCTTGGCAATCAAAGACAGAGTCAAGTGCCACGTTTGCTGATTGGCTCGTCAACGGAGAGGAGAAAACTTGGGTGTTGTTTACAACATTCTTTAACACCTTCAACGTGCTGTCGAAATTCGCTATACGGTTTGCGACGTCTTGAATTTGCTCATCATACGCTTTAAATGGCCCATAGTAGGCCAGGAGGCCCTGACAGACTGTGAGACCGAGGGAGATAACGCCTACCGCGCTCCCAGCCACTGAAAATGGATCGGCCATATGAGGGAACGCTTGATGGTTTCGAGAATCTTTTATCGGAGAGATGAAGGTCAAAGATTTGGAGGTCACTAGGGGGTACTTGTTGGTATTTATGGAGTAAAGGTAGGCGGCTCCGACTAGAAGTCTTACCGCTTGTAGACAGCCACATTTCAATTCAGCCCAAGCTGTCAGTGCTATGATCGCGTGGTGCGAGTTCTAACACAGCCCCCCCCTAAAGCTGCGCCTTATCCTTCTTTCACCGCCTAGCAGATGCGAATATCAAATCTGGGGGTCGATATATTCCAGATTCATATCGACAAAGGTCATCGAGGTTTCCCTAAGTGAGCCAGTAAATGCATTGGGCTGCCCTACTTGTCCCTGGCCAAAAGAGGGTCATCGCGGCAATATCAGCGGCGAAAGGGCGACTTGGGCTTAAATTTAGCGCCCTGATAGATGTAACGACGTCATCCCACAGCAGCTCCAGGCTTCGGGGATTTTCTGCGAGCCAAGGGCACTTATGAATGTGAGGTAATGAAACTAGAATGCGTCGATGGTCCAAGTCGCAGTGGGTGCCGCGCTAGCCCATGAAATGTAGCCGATGTCACAGCAAAGACACCGTCAACTTGCGACGAACCCAATCATCTTTCACGCTTATGACTTTTCCCCAAATTCAAGCACATACATCTGACCAATGTGGAGAATAGACTTCCGGTCCGCTCAGCCGTACTCAAGCCGAACATCGAATGCTAATGGTTGCCAATCATTCCGTCTACGCTGACGGGTAAACAGCCGATCGCCGCTTGTTAGTCGCGCGACAAAACATCTTTTCTCATTTGTTACATGCATTATATATAGTCTTTGGCCCCTCAAACAAAGGAATCGTGTGGCACCAGAGGGGAGAAAGGTTGAATAGAAGGCTTAGCCGAGGGGCCCACGTCACCCGCCCTTGAACCTCACGCACTCAGGTGAAGGGCTGAAGTGAAGTGGTAGGGCGGCAAGGACCATTCGTACCCATGGAAAAAAAAGCGAGTGAAAAAAAAACATACAACAGTGAGGATTCGCTGGTGGTCACCCACCCAACTACTAACTCACCGGCGTGTGGCTTAAGTACGGCTGAGCGGACGGGAAGCCCTGTTTTCCACACCCTATGGTCGTATGTGCTGGATATACCATTGAAATGGTATATAGAGTCATTTTAAATTTGTGGATGTGATGCATAAAGGGCGCCGTCTTTCGCTCACCGGCCCTTATCACTTTCAACACCACTTTTATAGTACGCTGAACCATTAGCGTAAAAGGTTTTCACCAAAGTTCTCATATTTGATAGTTTGGATGGCGTATATTCTCCCATCGTAATACTCACCCGTGGGCAGCACAAGCCGAGAGCGAGCCTCCGTCTTGGCAGCATTTAGGAGGGCTTACCCGAGCTGCCCATTGGCGAATTGGGTGGTAAACGGTGTCATAGCCCCGCAACATGTCCAGGCCGAGACCGAACCTCCGTCTTGGACACCCGCATTCTTCATGAAACTACCGGTACTAGGCATAGCTAACAGTATACAATGCCTCAATATTTGTGGAAAATTCGGATATGCGGCAACAAGGCCAGGAGGTATATAAGGTCATGTCCGCAACTATCGCAATATTCTTGCGAGCATACCTACTTCTAAAGCCTATACTCTACTCCGTACAAAGATCGTCATCTTCGCCATGTTGATCCTTATCGCTGGTATTACTGGTAATCTGGGCAAGCATCTCGCCCGGGTTGCTCTTGAAAAGGGCCACCAGGTTCGAGGCTTGGGCCGATCCCCAGACAAGCTAGATACCAAGACAAAGGACCAACTTGAAAGCTTTGTCGTCTCTTCTTCCTACTATGATATTCCTGCGCTGGATCGTGCGATGATAGGCGCGGACGCCGTCATTTGCGCATACTCGGGTCGACCGGAGCTAGCACTCGACGGCAATCTTCTTCTCCTACGAGCTGCTGAGCGCGCTGGTATCAAAGTAGGTTGCTTCCTGACGTACCGCTCCTATTTACTGACATTGTCAGATTTACCTAGCGTCAAGCTGGAATGTGGACTGGCGACATGTGAAATTTGGAGATCACGAGAGTTTCAACCCGTTCCTTTCCTTCCGCCAGCAGGTTGCGATCACATCCTCGGTGAAGCCAATTTGGATTTTCACTGGTGTTCTAGCTGAAGTTTTTTTCTCCGTTCCTGGACATGGTGATCTCTCGCCCAAAAACCATGGTATCTGGGACCCTGCCGCGAAGACAATTGATCTTTGGGGAAAACGCCGGGAAAAGTTCGATTGGACGACTGAAGCAAATGCAGCAGAGTTTAGCATTGCTATCATTGAGTCCCCGGAAGCATCTCAAGGTGGATTCTATTCGGTCCGGTCAGGCTGTCATAGCCTTCGGGAAATCAAGGCCGTATATGAACGAATCCGAGAATCAGAGGTCAAGGTGATTGAAAAGGGCTCTGTGGAGGACCTTGAGAAGACTGCCTTGCAAGCCCGTGCTCGGGGTTCCCTTCTGGCTTTCTGGGAGTATATCGGCTATTTCTATCAGCTGGTTACCATTAACGGCTCGGCTGTTCTACGTAACCTGGACAATGACCGCTTTCCGGATGTGAAGCCTACGAGCCTTGAAGAATTTCTACGTCAGACACCTGAAGTTTGAACGCTAGAATTCCGAGGACGATACATTGTTGGTACGGGCGCCTGGAGGTTCAAGTCATGGCTCAAGATAGTCAACTAGTATTAATGACTCCCTAGATTTCAGAGCTTGTCTCTTCCAATCAGCAAGTCTCTTCCCCACTCTCTGTGACCCTTCGTCTACCGTACTGGTTATGAATCTCAAGATTAGAGCAGCTTCAGTAGAATATCTCGATATTGTCAGAGTGTATCCACATGTCGTTATAGATAATTTTCAACTCCGCCCCCAACCTCAAAGCCTGCTCTCGTCGGCGAGTCCACAATTTTATTTTACTGGGTAACGTTTCCCCTCGGCTTAAGACTAGGATAATAAAAAAGCAGTAGCACATTGACTAACGAGTAGCTGCTTGCATATGGCCTATACTTAGATCCTTAGTGAACATAATCATAACAGACATCCCCTGGAGTCCGGTCAAGAATGCCCCGTGCCAATTTTGGAAAAGGCACAAAGCGCGAGCCTATTTAATTCCGCAATGAAACCAACAGGAGTCCCCGCAGAATTATTGTTTGGCGGTTGAACCTTCAGGCGGGCTCTTCTTAAGCATAGAGAAACCTCACTCAGCAATTCTAAATCTTTGGCTCTTTGGGGGGTGTTCGGGTTTTGCAGCAGATTGCAAAAGACTGACAATAGAGCGGACAAGGGGTAGAAAAGGAGGAACCCGCAATGATAGTCAGCTAGGAATAAAATCACGTCATTATGGAGAGCGACATACCAGATGTAATCTTCCGAAAGAGCATGTTTAACGCCACGTAAAAATAGAAGTAAAGAACGACTAGCTTCAACGGACAGTTGTTGACTAGAATAGACGACATTCCTTGTCCCTCCAAAATCTCCATTCCCCGCTTTGCACCGATGGCTGGCTTGATGAATCGCAGCTACACAATGGTAATATTGTACCCTTAACATGATCGACCGGGTGTCAATCACAGGCTCCGACTGAGTGTCATTAGAAAAGTGAGCCAACATCCTGTCTGATGCCAAAAGGCAACCCTTCCACTTCTCTAAATCTTCGTCTAGTTCACGGATGGTCCTCAAAAGCTCAGCGTCCGATTTTCGGAGCGCCTTTACCGAAAAGAGTGAGCGGTATATTCTCGATGTGATTATGCTCACGTTCAGATCAGTAGGAAACAACAAAGGTCTAGCCTCTGGCCCGGCGGACGGCTGGGGTGGTATCTGGTCTATCAATGAGTTTGAATACCCCATGGGAAGGGTAAGATCACAGTCATCGTCACTGAGAGATGGAGGGCGGCCTGTTCGTAGGAATAGCTCTTTATCGAGGACGTAACAGATCCAGAACAGATTCCGGAGGTGATAACGTGCTCGAGAAGACAGATTTGATAGAGTCGGTGATGGTGATATAAGATCAGTGTCCTCATAGCAAAGGTTACCACCCAGCATAAATATCAAGCGTGTAGCATTGCCGATGAGGATATCTACTGATCGAGAATCTCCAGAGAGGGTATGATAGAGCGCCTAACGATCCCACCAGTCAGCGTTTTCTTGTAGGAATTGCACGGTGTTTGCGTGTTTGAGTATCATATTGCTGAGGAGCAGAACGCACCAGCATGAGCAAGCTCTGCAAGCCATCCAAAGTCGGTGGCTCCCGCAGAATCCCTGGAAGCAGCCTATGTGCCTCTGCCGCATATCTCTCGCCATCAACAGGAATTCGCGATGTAACTCCCATTTCAATTATAGAGCAAAATGCAAGGAAAGCAAAAATACTAGCTTTGCTCGCATTTCTGCTGGTAAAACCATCTGACAGTCGTGACTGTAATGGATGATACACATTGCTAATCGTTTTCGACTGCAAAGTTATATCGATAAAAGGGAATACAAGACACACTGGGGAGGTGAAGAAGATTTTCATACAATCCTGTGTGATGGTAAGATCTGGTAGCTCGAGTGGATGTCGCGCCGATGGGTCAGGCCACGAACTTCTTTCGTTTTGCCATGGAGGGATAGAATCATGTGGTTGGTTGACGAAGAGCTTCTCTCCAGTACGGGCCTGCACCCATTCCTGACCTCTGATGGAAAAAAATGGTATCCCGTTGTATGAAGTGATAAGTTCAAGCCCATGTGTTGGAAACGGTATCACGTATTCGTGGTGTAGTGCAGCTCCTTCACAAATGAAAATGAAGTCATTAGTGGAAAAAAGAAGAAAAGAAAATTTCCAGTGTATAAAATGTTCACAAACCATTGTCTATAGCAAGACTGAGAACATATTCTTCAATTCGATCGATACGCTGCGTGATACTAGGCACCACTAGTTGCCTAGAACGAGCCAAGTTGTTAGTGATTACTCTACCTAGTACAGCAATGCTTCAATTTTTAACTGACTTTTTCACCAGATGACCATTTCGAGACCTATGTGGACGACGGGAAAATGTACAAGCGACATTGTAATGGGCGCACCAGCTACAACGCGGTCTTAAAGTGTTGCATTTGATCTAGCTCCAATTTTCATATCAGCCTCGGCACTGGTGGAAAAGGGTAGCGGGCAGTTACCTTTCTCTTATAGCAGGAATCACATGCCCACGACTTCATTTCTTTTCATATGATTATTAGAGGCCAGAGTTAATATAGGAACAGAAAATACTCAGGCAACCAGGCATTACGCGTAGTTGAATTCTTTCACTTTGCATCATTGCCACCTTCGAAAATTGTCCTGATTAGTCATGTGGCTACGCCAAGCCACTAACCAAAATGGGATGATGCACTCACAGCGTTCCGCAAAGCCCATCAATAGGGGCCCAAGGCCCAACCAGCAGTGGTCTATGGGCTATCATCGGCCCCCATCGATCGCCCATCATAACGGGGCCACATCCAAGGAGTTTTGGCGCTTATGAACCGTTGACTAGTAATCGCTGTAGTCCAGCCTTCTACAGATTCTATATATTAATGACTGATCGATTAAAATAAGAAGATGTTACTACAATACAAGGGCTAGTTATAGGGCTTAGACATAGGGTAATGAAGTTTTTCAAAATGTTTCCTTGCATTGTTTAGTGCTAAGTATTGGGCTCCGTGGGTAGCGTTATGGGCTTTGCGGATGTCTAGATAGTAATTGGGTGGGTGGTCACCAGAGAATGTGTATGTTTCATTTTCGTTTATATTGTGTGGAGACATTGCTAGGAAGATTTTGTCGGATATGCAAAAAGATGCAGAGCTTGGAATAAGGTAGTCACCTCGAGGGTGATGAAACTCATCTCCACAGCGGGAGCGGAGCGGCTCACCTGTCAGGAGAACTGAGAACGCCATGAAGCAAAATATGCAGCACATATCACACCTACCTATTGCTAGCCACGATGTGGTATATTCCTCTCCATTAGTGTACATCAATGAAGACTCCTTAGAAAGCGGGTCCGGTTATATCAGAATTCTCGTTGGGTCCTAGGGAGACATATGAAAACCAATAGAAACCAACAAGAGATTTGAGACCAAAACAATATGCCTGTGAGAAAGAACTTGGGTCCAGGACGGAAGGGTACGTCAGTGCTTTGGAGGCGTGTAGGATATGCTGATTTATACCAGTGGTGTTTAGGCCATTCAGGTATATGTTAGATGGGCCGAAGAGCAGGGCGGCACGGGCAGTTGCCTTTAGAACGAAGAGGATAATTTACGGCAGGTTTTAACCGCCATCGCGCCAACCCATAGAAACTGTTGACCGCCCATTGCACCGCCTTACTCTCACCCCTGTATAATCACCCCTGGGACCCGGAAGCTGTACAGCTACCGGGCTTAGAACCTCATTTTAGGGGGAAATATTGATATCTAAAGCCCAAAGGAGCACCACTGCTCACACCGCTCTGTCTAAGGTAAATTAATTTAATACGTAGTTAGTCTAAGAAATAAACTAATGGAGTATATAGACCGGCATATCGGAGATTAATTTAATCCGGCTATTCAGTAATTTTAGATTAGTAATCTTTAGCCCATATAAATTACTAGGAAAGTGGATACTATAATACAGAGATGGTAACACCATTGATTAGACCTATACATTTCACAATACCACTTAAAATTAACAGAAATATATAGGATGACTTCTAATTCTTTAATCTTGATAAAATATGATTATCCGCCGTACCGTATAGTATCATGCAGGCCTAGAATTGACGTAATTCAAGTATTTATGTAGGTATAGGGCCGTATATCTACGGGATTATAGATTTGTTACATATGTTCTGCCAGGCAAAAACCCGGTTGGCGCGATGGCGGTTAAAATCTGCCGTAATAATTTCATCAAAATAACAAAAACATACAACAGCATGTGTATGACCGTGGTCACCTAGCGCCCACGGTTCGGGCGTGGGCGGCTCGCCGCTCTATTCAGGGCACTCAGGGCAGATATTCACCCACCTGAATATTCCTCACCCGAATATTCAGCCCGTACAGCAAAAGGTACATTTCTCATCATGACCAAAAAAAGGCTACAAGTACCCTTCCTTTCCCCGTCTATTTTCATCTCTCCAGCTTCGCTTTGCCACTCCAACCCCGCTTAGTCACGAGCAAGATGCGTACTAAGCATGACCCAACGTTAAAATATATGGCCAATGTGGTGGATTTCGGGGAGTATAGCAACAATGAAATCCAGCGGGCAGTGCTGCCACGAATAGAATCTGGTTATAGTGACACGTTACTTATTTTCGACGAGTATATTCCAATTGTGGGAGCAGAGAAGTAGTCGCTAAACCGTGCCTCTATTACTAGTTTTGTCACATTATATCCGTAGGCCGTTATTCCGCTAGATATTAGGACTTGTAGGGCTTTCCTCGAGTGGGTTTTAAGAGGAATAAACAGTCGGATCGAGGAACGGCCTATAGTCGAGACAATTCAAGGGTTTTTTAGGAAATTTGCGACTGGTATAAAGAGAAAACGAAATTTTGAATTTCCACTACCTATAAGGACTACTATTAATAAGGTTTGTACTAGTTTCCTTTTGACTAAGTCAGGGCTAATATCAGATAGTATATCGTGGGAGAATTAAGGATCAAGATTCCTCTCTTAACTAAGTAAATAAACAAAGATAGCGGTATATCCCTAAATGATTTGACTATCTTAATAACTTAATTATGGTGCCGAGATCACTATAAGTATCGTGGGAACCCTATAGATCGGGCTAGAGTCTAGCTAAGTGCCGCGATACTCCTATATTACTTTACCTCTGCGTGTATAGGGGAGGTTTATAAATTAACCGCTCGGAGACATAGAGCCCGGGAGATCGGGGAGGAGAGCGAGGATACTGAGTTAGAAGCCTATGTGATGGCTGCCTATTATAAGGTATATTTAAATAAGAAAAAGGAACTAATACTTAAAGCTAACTATATCAGTATTTTAAACTCACTATCGAGATTGTGGATGGTATAATAATACTTATACTTACCTACGAGCGCGAATTTGTTAAAGGGTATTAGCGAAAGACAAAATAGGAGATTCCTAAGCACGTATTCTACGAAGTTTACGCCGAGGATATACCTATATTTCTTAACTTTTTAATATTCTTTTTACCAATGGCCGCCGTAGATATAGCTTTTAGAGATTACGGTTCAGTAAGCGAGATCCTAGATACTATCGATACGTATAAGAAAGTCGGTCATTTAGAGGATAAGATCCTTAAGGTAATTCATGTCCGGGAAGAGATGAGAAATATGCCGGTTTTCCGCCAATATCTTGAGCACAATATAGACAATTTCAAAGGAAATGCCAGGGGAGCGGATTTATTTAGTAAGGCTTTGGTCAATCTAGGCCATAGAAGTGGCTATACGCTAAATATTACTATTTAGGCGTGTCGAAGATAGGCTTTATAGCAAGCAGGTATAGGTCTATTTTAAGTATAGGCTCGCCGGCTAGCTGATAATGAATTAGATAAGATATATTCCGAGTCTATAAGAATAAAGTTTGCTAGGCAAACGAATCGGGATATATACAGAAAGTCATACGCGTATCCTCTTAGTGAGGTTAATAGACTAGTAAACTACCTCGGAATTGCCATCCGATAAGAGTATATCTAGAATCGCCGAGGAATAGGTCTTTACCGCAATTCCTCTTTATTCTAACTCCTTCCTACAAAAACCGAGTATAAATTTCTTGCCCGCGAAGATATTTATGCTCTTGACCAAACCATGGCAAAATTGAGTTTGTTGCTCTTAGATACCACGCCGGAGGAAAAACACGAAATCTAACTAAAGCAAAAGCGGATCTATAATAAGAAAAAGAGTCTTTATAATAAAGAGCTCCGAAAGGTCTAGGCTCTCTTAGGGAGGTAATATAGAAGTATTTACACTAAAACTATATTCTATTATAGGAGAAAGGTAATACCCCACAGAGACTTCTTGGCTAGTATATTATATTATAAGCTTAGTCTCCGGAGCTTAGATAGGAGAAGAACTCTATAGGTATTAGAGTCTCTCTATAGTGAGACTAATACGATTTTATACCGCGATAGCCTTAGCCCTATAGGCTAGGCCTATCTCTATAGAAGGTCTATTGAAGAGTATATCTTCTAGCGATAGGGAGATATAGATTTCCTATTACTAACTTAAACAAGATTCAAAGATCACCGAAAATAGTTATATCTCTACTGTTACTACTTAAGGCATTACAAAGCCACCCACAGATTTACTTAAATCTACTTTGAATGTGACCTATGGTTTACTAATAAATCGGAATAGGAGAGCTATTACCAGGAATATCTTGATAATCTAAGCGATTTACTCCGTTATGATCCTATAAACTTTCGGAACGCACCTATAAAGCTAGGGCTATATCTGTTTTGCCTAGGTACGAAGAGAGAGAAACTATCAAAGAGAATATTTTAATTTATCCTCTCACCACCAAAATAGCACTCCCATATTAAGGATCATTTGAAGAGACTTAAACTTGATTTCAATTATAAATATCTAGCCTACTCTATAAGCTTTAGAAGCCTAGAGGAGCTTACTTATCATCTCGTTAACACGTATTACTAGCGCCCTAGGCGGAAATCCCCGAAGAAACGAAAGTGGGTAGATATTAAATTCTAAGGTATATAGATTGGGCTAGTTATTATTTGGACCAACCCTAGGTTTTGAATACACATATATAAAAATAAGACTTAGTTAAAAGGATCTTCTATATTTCTCACATCGAATCATACGAACACCTAGTAGCACCACAGTTCAACTATATTTCCTACAACCGAGTTAAATTTCTAACACAGTATAGTGGTAAAATCTATTAAGCCCCAAAATCTCTATCTTTCAGCTAACTTCTCTTACTCAAAAGAAGACTTAACAGTAGAGTCGATAGGAGCTAAAAGTTTATAGGCAGACTTCCCGTTTTTTTTTTTCTTTTTTCTACCACCCTTCGTTAGGCTAGGAGATTTCAACAGTCCCGGTTCTATAGGATACTCCAAAAAATATTCATCGTTAATAGCTTACTCTAATAGGTCCAGGGTTAATGATCTAGACTATCCTTCGGCTGATTTAGTCAATCATATTAGCCAAGCTACAAGAGCTAGAAGATCTTATAGCCCGATTACTTAATAAACTAGCCTACAATATAATTTCTCGAATCTATAGACTTAGTTAGTATAATATTAATTTAGGCTAACTTCTCTTATCTAGGCCTCTAATTCTAACAAAACGCTTATAAGTATCCAAACCTTTCTCGAGGATCTATCACTTCTTATTCAATTATTCTCGTCGACTTTAGCTTTCCTTAGATTTACCTGCGATTTATCTAATCAAATTTTTAGGCATCTCGAAGGCGGTTATTAGTATAAAAAGTGTAGTAATTTCACCTAGAAGCTTTACTTCAATTACCTTAGTGGTAATATTATCAATAAAACGCTTAAGTGTAACCTAGTATTGATATTATAAATATTAACAAGAAAACTAGAGAATTAGCGGTAGATATTAAGTACCTTATAGTACGTAAGCATAGAGTCAAGTACTTCCTTAGATACAAAACGTGTTATGTCCGGTATGGTAGTCTAGATAAGAGAGTTAAGAAGCCCTTAAAGATCGATAGTATGTAAATTAGACTTAAAGGTTGAAAGATTATTAACACAAAAGTGTGATTATAGAGCTTTATGGATAACTTCTTTTTAGCGATCGGCCCGAGTTTTTTGGAGCGTTTCAGTGAAGTAGTAGTTATAGGTAATAGGTATAAGGAGCTCTTTGCTTTCCTTCTCCAATATATATCGTAACTTTTCTAGAGCCGGCAAAATTATATTGTTAAATAAGGCTTTTGAGGTAACCTTATCTGCTATATAGAAAACTGTATATTAAAGAAATTCTCTTGTAGATATCTACGCGGTAGTAATAATAGATAGCGATCTTGTGGAGTCCGAAAATTACTATCGACTTAGTACTACTTTTTCCGGGGTGAAAGTTATAAATAATGTCCGCTATTGGTAAGCTAACTATCGATCTAGTGATTTAGAGTTTATAGAAGGTTATACTTTAGGCTTAAAGGTTTGATAAGCGGGGTTTTCGGTGGAAGTAATTTAATTCTCGGCCAAACTCTTATTAAAACGATGATATCACCTCTAACGGGACCTATAAAACTTCTTGTACTTTTAGATATCCTAAAGTACAATATCCCTACTAGGTTAGGGGTGTCTGTATAAGTAACTAATCATATAATAGTAATACTAGCCTCCGTGTGGCCGAGAAAAATAGCCCTTATACGTATACAAGAATATTATAACCCCGTAGTTTGCACTATATAAATTTAGAATCACTAACGTGCCTCACGCTAGGGGTACCAGTATGGTCGGACTATTATATGGCCGGTTCGAGGATAACGAACTATCTTTGGCCTATCGCAAGGCTTTTTGCCTTCTATTACCGACCGCCGCCTGGTAGACTTAAAGCGTCGGAGGTGATAGCATAGATCTCTAGAGTATTAGGAGGCTAGGGGGATATTTTGCTTCGGTGAACAGGGATAGGTGGAAACTGTTGGTTGCTGATACCGTATATCTTTGATTTCTAGTTATTGGCGCGAGTTATTCTTTTCCCAACTTATAGGGCTTCCAAGAAACAAACGTAGTTCTTTTTCACCGCCTATTAATTAAATTATATACTGCCCCTATTATTATTATATATTACAGGAAAACCTCTAGAACTAGCTAAAAGAATATATATCGGACTAATGCCCCTCTGACGCTCGAAACCATAATATTATATATAATATACAATAAGGATAGGACATATTACAAGTTAGTATTCTAGGAAGCCTAGTATGATTAATACCGCGGCGGGTGTAAGGAGTGATTGAGGAAGATAGACAGGATATATAGTATAAGGTCTTACAATTCAATACAGCGATAAATAACAAATTACCGGCAGAATAATAGTGGAGAACTATATTTGTTTCTTAGAAGCCCTATATCTATAAGCCAATTAGCGTGGTCTATAGGTATTCCAAATTTCGCGGCCTTCGCTTATAGGCCAATCACGGCAAGTTCGCGATCGACGGTCTAACTACCCACCAGGGTTAAAACCCAAGAGCCATCCTTATCCTAGTCCGGACTATAAGGTCTTGCTTACAGCTTCCTTATTCCTATAGGCGGTACTGGACATAGCGCGAGGTCTCGTATATACGTAGCTTTTAGGGTATAGTAACTCTCCCTTTCGGTTTTGGAGACCCACCCTTGTCCCGATATCTAGAAGAAAGTTTGGTTTAGGCCTAGCTAACGAGTGATACGTTTGTGATAGGGCGATATTAGCTCGTGGCGCAACCTTTGCGATAATCTAGGATAAATATAGAAGACTTAAATAGGAAATTTGTCGGGCTAATTAGCGCTATCATATACTAGACTCTAATCACGCCCTAGATAAGTTCTATAGAGATCTATTACTAACTCTAACTCGATTCCCGATCATTAAATATAGTCACTTGTTTCGGCTCTATATAGTGAGAATATCTTCTAGTATATTCTAGATTTATCTCGATCTCCTATTGGCCTACTAATATACTCTATACCTTACCACTAGAAATATTGTCCATGATTTTGGAATACGTTTGTACCTATATAGCTTGACTTTATGACACTAGGCTAACTTACTTAGTGCTACCGAAAGGAAGATCTAAAAAACCTTTGCTTAGTCTTAAAAGCCTTACACTCGGCGACTATACCACGACTTTACCGATCAATCATTCTTCTTTCGAGAAACGAGGATAATCTAAGTGACTTGAACGTTGGACCTCTTTTGGAGCGGGGTTCTCGATATCTTAAATTTATAAGGGAGATTATTCTGGTCGCGGAGTTTTGTTAATTGCTTCGCTATCGCTGTTATAATTATAACTCTGATGACTCTAATGACTCTAATGACTCCGATGATTCTGATAATAGCTCCGATATCGAATATAACTCCCCTAGCGACAAAAATTACTTAGAATATCGAGACTCCCCTTAAAGGCTTACTATTAGTAAAGATATAAACAGAAGTACACTTTATAATAAGGACTAGGAGAATCAGCTAGGCGACAAATCTCATCTAAGAGAGCGGCCCAACGATCGCTCTAATGTCTCTTTAGTCGATTATCCTTATATTAACTCTCCTAAGGGACTCTCGGATGGCCTTATATGGTAGGAATAGCCGCTATATAAGTGGTTTATACAGATTTTGGAGTTAAGAATCTAGTAACTTCTGGATTTAATTCTAGAAGGTAGGTTAGAAAGGTTTAGGTACGAGTTCCTTAATTATAACTAAGCTCATATAATCCTAATACGAAGCAATAGCTAGAATCTCGGTACCTATATTCCTAGAGCCGTAATCGAATACCTTAGCACAAAATAGCCATAAATCGCTTATCTAGAGGTCATCACTAACATAACTTATCTAGGCCTAGATCATTTAAATATATACAATTTATATAGACTTAAGAGACTTCGGCGCCTTCGCTTGGTTATATCTACCTTTTTTTAGGACCCGGAATACTCCCTTAGAGAATTATTCCAAAATAATGCTTCGGTATTAGAGGAAATTAAGATTAACGAAGTTAGCCATAGAGGACTACGAAGCAGAGTTCTGGGACAAAACAAACTGCTTTATCAAATACTAGCGCTTCCTCTAGGGAAAATATAACAATTATTTCCGTCACTAAAGAATTTAACTTTAAGCGCGGTTTCCTTAGAAAATAGCTATGATATCATACTATCTATTTTCTCTTTGAATTACCTATATTCGCTAGCTTTAAGAAACTGTGAAGAATTAGCTGGCTTACTCAAAGCGCTCGGATCAGATAACGTGTTACTACACTCAATAAGACTCAAGTCCTTTGAATATCTTGATAATAGTATATCGGTAGAGCCCAGGGGCATAGAATCTATTGCAAACTTTCTTATATCTTTCGAAGGGCTCTAGGATTTATTCCTATTATTCCTTAGCGTCTTTGAAAATAGTCTCCTAAGTTCAATATCTAATCACAAATCTTCGTTAAGACAGCTTCTGTGTTATACCCTATAGATAACCCCTCGGCGAAATCTAACCCAGCAACCATTAAGGTTCTAATCCCCCTTGTTTACCTAACTCTTAAGAGAAACACCGAATCTTATTTGTTTAGGGCTTTACTATTCTCTAGAAGACCTAGTAAGCATAGATTACTTATTTTGGTAAAAAGAACTTTCTACTAACATAAATAAGCGCGCTCTTCTTTCTCTTCCAAGAATCTACCCCCACCTCCGACTACTATATATTAGAGCCTTTAGGTAGCTAGTATTTAAAGGGTATCATAAAGGATTAGATAATCAATCGGAGTCTAAATTCTCTACTATACTTCCGGAGATATATAAACTTACGAGTTAGGCTTTTAGGCCAGAGAGGTTACCAAATCTATAAGTTCTTACTTATAGAGACTTTTCTTATCGAGGGCGTAGGCCATATCTTATGCTCTATAGATTTAAATCACTAGATAACGTGGATATACAAAAATCGGCTACTAGGCTATCTGACCTAGTATACAGAGAGGTCACAAAGGAAGATATCTCGGAACAAGAGATTTTGTACACAAATACTCATTTCTTAGAAGCCTACCCTAAGGATACTTTGTTATATAAATAGAATCGCCCGTTCTGATTAAAAATTCCATATTCTGGTTCCTCAATTTCACCAGGAGAAACTAGTTAGAAGTATCTATCGCTCCCTAGCAGTTCTTCATAATAACTAGCGTCGATACAGTAGACTATTCATAATAACCTACGTATTTCGTTCATGTCCTAGATTATTACTTACTTATTCCTAGAAGATTTTGATCCCATGATATTAGACAAATAGGATGTTTACAATTCGAATTTTCCTTAATTCATTATTAGTTAGCGTGGCTATAGGCGAATATATATAGTGAGGTACAGAGGATTGATTACCATTTAGTATAGAAAGTCCCTATCTATTAGCGCTAAAATTAATTCTACTTCAGTTTATATAGAAGGCAATATCAGTATAGAGCTTTATAGGCTCATAGCCACTAAAATAACAGGCTTAGTGAACATTATCGATCTTCAATTCCCATCCACCAGGATTAAAGGAGTTCAATCTTTAACTCCTAGGAAGTTTTACTCCACGAAGAATAGCGGTCTAGTGCAGGAAAGTATAGATTCTCCACCGAACCACAAGGGGACAGGAGACCCGCATACAGAGTATAGTAGCCGACTATAATCATCCCACCAACAACCAGTACCCGGCTTCTATCTCGCAACGTGCCATAAGTCTCTATATTTCAGTATCCCGAGTGTCCCTTATTACCTAGAGAAGAGAGAAATACCCTTGATATATTATATAAAATATAATATAGAGGTTATCACTTCTATAGCTTTCACTTTACCCGGTATAGTTCCTCTTATTTAGTATTAACTAGTGTAATAAGGAATCAAAATACTTACTACGCATTTGACTTTACCTCTTATTCTATTTCTATTGTGTTATATAGGCATTAAGATTATAAGGTTACAAGTAGCAGATATATACAGATTAAGAATACACACTCCTACCCCTCTCTAAATCCACTTTCTAGGGCAGTAAACCTAGGCTCCCTTATATGAAAAGTTGAGTATAAAGCTAAACTACGAGTGCTAAATCGACCCATATACCACAGAGCATACAGCCTTAAGCGTTCCCCTTTTCACTAGGTAGGGCTTTACCTCGATCACGTGATATTCGAAATATCATAGCCAATCATTTTACCATATTTCCCTACCTATAGGTCTAGTCAACGTACGTATCGAATATCCTATCCTAGGAGATAAACACCCCGATATAGTTAGCAACGCTAGATTAACGTACTACCATTCTAATATAATATATATCAATGCCTATCTAAAATACAAAACACAGCCCGATTACCATCTATGTAAGTACTTGGTTTTTTTCTAGGCTATATTCTTTTTTTTTTTTTAAGGATCCATAGGTTATTTATGGGAATCCTAGCTCAAGCGTAATTTCAAGACTGCTCTACCAAAACCCAATAGCTCTTCGAAAAAGGTGCGTCTTTGCCAGCACAGTCGACCCTACCGATAACAGCTCCTAGCAGACGTATTGATAAAAGAGAAGATAATGATATTCTCTATCTAAAAGCAAGACTAAGAGAGAGAAGAAGAAGAGAAAGTAAGTATAAATAGGATACTAAGATCCTATTTATACTACCAAACATAATGGTATATCAAATATATTTGATCTATATACCTAGATACCTATGGTATCCGACACGTATTTTCATTTACCATTAAAAGTTTATATACCTATTTGAGTATAGTATCTATGTACCTATGGCTATCTATACGCTATCGACAAAGTCCCCATTCTCTATCTTCCATCAGCGTTTTAACCGTAGGGCGAGCCCTGTGAGCAAGGACATCATATAGACCAGCTTTTGTCCTCTAAGAGTGGGCCTAGGCCTAACATACTCGCCTTAACTCCGTGGCTGAAAATAGCGACATAGAACAACAAGCTTCTAGTTAGGGATTATACCAATCTACTAATCGTCTCTATTTTTGAGGCCCCGTTCTTAGGACTACCCCACACTTGACCAGCCTACTTGTCTAATTGACCTATAACACTATATTAACTATAGGCACTATTTTGAGAGAACCGTATATCTATACCTACCTATATCCGGTGTAACGCTATAGCCTAGCCATATACCATCAGCCGAGTTATCTTTCATAGTGATATCGGCATTGTGGGTTCTCCCGTATATAAAGGGCCTCCCTAGCCGGTGTTATACTATGATTTTCTCTTCCTTTCTTATCCCGCCAAGTCATATTAGTGTTTCTTCCCCTGCGGGCACGATAGTAGGCTATTCTAACACGATTATTATCCCTAATAACAAGGGATCACCAAGCCTTAAGTCAACTACCTCGCGTCCTCGAAGGTACCCTCGGCGTGACTATAGATACTAAGAGTTTAAGAGTATACTTATTAAAGCAATCGATAATATACCTATTATACCTCTATCACGTAAGCGCAAAAGAACTGAAACAGAGCCGTCAATTCTAGTACCAGCCCCTTATAAGACTCTCCTTTTCCCTTACTAATAATAGACCAGGACAATGTTTTCAAGAACGTCCGAAATATAGTTGACCATAAAATCCAACTATTACGAAACAAAACCCGAGCGCTATAGGAGGAACTTTGTCAAGAGAGAGAGGAGCGCCAAAAAGCGGAGGAGGAAGTTCGCCGGGGGAGGGAGGTACACCAAAAGATAGAAGAGCAACTCTCCCTAGAAAAGGACTAGCTTGTTTTAGAATACAAGATCTACTATATACAGCCGGATCTCTAGATAACTCTTTTATATAGGCACTTATTTTATAACTTATATATAGGGCATCTTGATATATCGAAAGCGTGTCCTATCTATAGAACACCTATCATAGGATATATAGGATACCGCCAATTTTCAGGGTAAACCATATATATTATATTATAGGCCTAATTCAAAAACGCAAGATTTAATAATAAAGCTTCTCCTAATCAACTAGTTAGCTCGGTTTTGAGTCTATAGAATATTGGAAAAGGTGGACAGAGTATAGTCTTGTCTAGAAAGGTATCCATTAGTAGGGAGGGTATAATTATCCTTATACCTTATCGGGGCTTTCGGGTTATTACTCCAACCCATTAAAATCTCTATATAGGTAACCGTATCTAGGCACCATCGATCTTCTAGAACACCGAAAGGTTTAATAAAGAATAAAGTCAAAGAAGTGATATCGAGATTGCTATATACTTATTTATAGTCGGTAGCGAAATTAGCTTCCGCTCCTATATTATCTCCCTCAAAAATCTAGATTGTTTCCTAATTCAGGGCATCAAATCAACAGTGAAGTAATGCCTAGAACTCAGCTTACACAATTATATTAACCTTTCTATTACTATAGAGAAGGGCGATCACGAGACAGAGATTAAAGGTGTTTCTACACAATACCGGCCATATATACGCACCTATCGTGGGATAGAGGCTAACAGGTAATTATTTTGTGAGCGTAGCGGAAGAACTAAGCTTAGGACGGCCTAATTCTAGATTCTATTACCTATAGTGAAACCGAATAGTATATAGCCAGTATTGTCCGGGTCCCAATTTCTAAGTCGTTTGAACAGAGATACTAGGCGTAATAGTGGTGTTTCCTAACAATCTAAAACGAACTATATATACAGGACTTATATTCCCGAAAGAGCTTCGTTAATAAAGTAGGTGACGAATAATCGTGTTAAAAAGCTAGGCAAAGTATAAGCTAAATTATGGTGTATGTAGAAAGTAAATATATCGTATTATTTATCTTTCTAGTAGTATTACTTCTTCTTTCCTCGTTAGAAGACCCTCCTAATATCTATATATATAAGTAATAGTTTTGAACATTATAGAGCGCCGTTTATATACGATAGTGGGCTTATATCACACGTTCCATAAGCCACACGTTCCTTAGTATAAGGGGTCATTTAGCCTATATTCCTCCATTATAAATCCAGCAACAATTCTATAACCTCCTACTAGAAATACTTAGCATATTCTATCATATTACTTAAGTTAGTATAAGTCTGGCCATAAATAAGCAGCTTACGTTAACTTAAGAAATAAGATACACCTACCAAAGAATAGGTGATTATATATACTAGGAATGTGACAAAGATAGCCTATTGGTTAACGAGGATATTAGATTAAGTGTTTTATAATATAGTGGTGTATAGGTATAGTATATTAATAGGTCGCCCGAATGATTACTATTGTATAAGGATATTGGCCACGTAAGGGGTTTCTGAGTGATAGGGGGTTATCGTTGATATAAAGGTCCTTTGGATTATAAATATATAGGGTTAGTGCCATATAATAGAGTATCTACTTGTTCGTTCTAATTTATCTCCAATATAACTTTTATAAACTTCACAATAGATACACTTAAGGGCTTATATACTCAAGAGTAGCTAGACCTTCTAGATTCCATCGATACGCTCCGATCACAAGGCATCAGCCATTACGTCTCGCTCCCGCAAATAATTGTATGCGGAGACTAATCTTCCGGAAAAAGCTCTGTCCTCGAAGCGATATCCGGTGTGTCTTTTCTAGTGAAAAGTAGTCTATACACTAGATTCCCAACTAAGTTAGTTCTTCGGAAGAGCTCATAAGTAGGGGTTCGTGTTTCTATTGTGCCTCACTAATCCTGTAGTGACGCAGAGCAGTATTCTCTCGGGAGCTTTTGCGAACAACTCGATAGGTTCGATGGCCTTTTAAACTTGATGGAAATTGTAAAAGCAGTGATAGGAATATCTACCCACGGAAAAGTATTTTCTAATAACCTTCTTCGGGTTGAAATTTTAGGCCCTGACCGGCCATATCTCACAATTGTCGACCTTCCTAGTCTGATTTGCTTAGAAACACAACAGTAATCAGTAGCCGATACATAACTAGTTCAAGATATGGTTTAATTATATATAGGGGAGCCGCGAAGCGATATCCTTGCGGTTGTCTCCGCTAAGAACGATTTTGCGAACTAGATTGTCCTTCTTTTAGCGTAGGATACTAATCTATCCGGCAACAGGATATTAGACGTTATCTCTAAGCCTAATACACTAGTCCTGGGATCCGAAAGTAAGGCTTCCTTTATATCACTTACTAAGAACTAAGAAGTAGCGTTTTGTCTTAGATAGTATATATTGATAAATATAGATTCGGAGAAAGGCCAGTAGAGCTTATCCGATCGGGATATATAGAAGCGGGTATTCTTCTCCTAAGGAATATAGGAAGACTTACCTCGATCTCTTATAGGTATGGATTTATTGCGAACACGTCTAAACAGCCTACTTCTTGGTTAGATTACTAGTAAACTTCTAAGCCTAATCAACGAGATAAATTCCAAGATTAATTCCTATAGGTCATAGCTCTAGAAGCTTAGAGACCCTCGTATAACACTAGATAACCAAAGATCGTACCTTTTGTATATTAGTCAAGCGTTCTAGTCTCTGGTCAAGGCGGCTGTGGATAGCACTTACAACGATCCTTTTTTTAGAGACGCAAAGATAGATGATAGGTACCGGAAGCGTATCCGAGTAGTTATACAGAACCAGAATCAGAAATTTACGGACAATATCTCCTACCATGGCCATTTTCGCTATATTCTTAAAAATAAAGAACCCAGACCGGTCTCTAAATATCAGGTACTTCTTAAGAGAGAAGAATACATTCAGTATATCGGAATACTTCTCAAAAAGACAAGGGGCCGAGAGTTACCTAGGACTTTTAATCCTTTGATTGTTAAGGATCTATTCCGAGAACAATACGCCCTATAGAAAGACAAAACAAAGAGTCCGACACCCTCCAAGTTGTTGAAATCCTTATTGATCGGGGTGCTTCTCTTAATTCCCTTATATACTAAGACCATCAATATTTTTAGAATATATTTCCCTTTATAAGGGAAACTCCCCTATATATAGTAGTGGCTCTTAAAAGATATAACGTTATTCGTTATCTGATTCACAAAGGATCAAAGGTAAATATTAAAAACTATAGGGGCTAAATAGTTATACAATCTATAGGTAAAGACACTAAAAGAGTGATTATATAAGAGATTTAGAAGGGCAGTATATTACACGTATCTTTATGATACGTTTTTCCTTTAAGTAAATATTAATCATATATTGGAATTAGACGTTTCTAGCTCGGGATAAGCTAATTTGTATTTAGTATAGTCGTTGATCTCAATTTCCAAGAATAGACCTTGTATTTTATATAAAAATGCTATATATATTGTACTTCTATGCTATCCTATCTACCCTAAGTAGGAGGCCTTTTAGTCGGTTATTAAAGGTATATAGCTCGATATCGACGATCATACACGTCGGTAAATGGCCTAGTGCCTTTCTTTTAGTGCTTACACCCCTCCACGTTATCTCAAAACAATCTCGGCCACTAGGGCCTTAAGTTAACTGTATTTCCTATTTTCACCTATAGGTCGGCTTCTACTATATTCTGTGTACGAATCCTCTATCTAGGTATAAGTCGTTAGAGGATCTATACCGCTATATACCTAACTACTATTCTCTATAGAATAAAACTTTATAGGAGGTAAAGCTTAAGTATAGCCTCCTTTAATACTAGCTGATAGGAATTAAAGATCGACAATATTCACCAATCCTATCATTTTATAGGCTACGAGCCCAGAAAGTTCTATGACAATACTTCCTTCTGCGTAGACTAAAGTGGCAAAAATTAATTCCAAACCTCAAAAGGGAGGCTTTCTACTGACTAGCAATCAACCCCTTTCTTTTATCTTTGAAAAAGTCATTAGGGATAGCATCCTTCGTATTCATAGCGGAATAGAGCCTAAAAATTCTCCTATACTTACTATTCCATATTTCGTGAGTCTCCTAAGTAGGTCAGGCGGATGGTATATATATCGCGAAACGAAGCTTCTAGTGTGTTGTTAGTACTAATCAAGGTAAAACTATCATTGTTTCGATATATATAAGCCCTATTGTCCTTCCGAAGGAGCTTATCCATCTAGTCATATATCTAGTCGAGATTTACTTTTCTTTTGTCAGAATCTAAAAAGAAAGATCAAATATTGGGGGATAACCTATACTTATGATCAATCTCCCACACAATGAATATATCGCAATATATGCGATTGTTAATATTACTTTTAACTATAAGTCTAATATAGGATAGCAATAGGGAAATTCTAATACTAGTGCCAATAAGAAGAATGTGGCTATAACCTATAAGTCCCTCTAAACAACCATACAGTCTATCTAACTAAGTTAAGAACTCACTTTTCGGATGCCTTATTAGACTTTCCGCGAAGCCCCGTTCCTTACGCACTAGTAGCGTGATACTTATGGTATTACTATTTGTATCACTATCCCACTATAATATTGGAAAGGAATATATCTAGAGAGTAGAGCGTAGGCTAACACTAGGCATCTAAATATAAATACTTATTCTAGGTTAAACTTAAAATGGTCGGTTAATTGGGATCACGACTCGAATAGTATTCGTATATTTCATCCGAATAATGACTGCACAGGATGCGACTTTCCCATACTTGATATTCTGGATAAGAAGCAATACCTATCGAAGTATAAAGAGGAGAGAAATTACGACGCCGGAAATCATAACTCCTAATTGTGGGAAGT